AACGAACTACATCGACTGCAGCTGAGCATACGTAGAGTATATGTAAAGTACTTATGTAGAGTACTTATGTACACTCACTCACGGGGTGAAGGTGGATCCTGTCTGATGGCGGTCAGGGATTTGAGGCCAATAAAAGAGTTAGGTTTTAGACGCCAAGGGCAAATTACTGCAAACAGAACCATCAGACAAGATCCGCCGTCAGTAGGTGAGCGACTGTACCTATTGTATGTATATCTGTCACTTGACCAACACAAAGATCGCGGAGGCCCTAAACTGCCCCGTGCGCTCAAAGTTCATGGCTCGTAGGTTCATGACGTTTCCGAACACGACTGCTATTGCATGCCATACAAAAAAGCGCCAAATCCACCTTTTTGTATGTCATGCAATATTGGTCGTGTTCGGAAACGTCATGAACCTACGAGTACATGTAGGGCTCACCAATGCCGACTAGCGCTATAGCAGGAAGAAAAAGTAAAGTTTCTCAAACTTAGCCAATCACAAGCTTTTGAAATAAACATTGCATACTCAGTGCCAGTATATCTATATATGCACTACAAGAAGTTTCCGGCCTTCGGCCGGTACTACTCGCAATTTCATAGCGTTTCCGGACGCAACTGCTATTGCATACACAGAAAAAAATCGCCAAGGCTATCTTTTGTATGGCATGCAATAGTGGTCGCGTCCGGAAACGTCAAAAAACTACGAGTACATCTATAGCTATATCAATCAATCCAATATACAGGCAAGCCGCTTTGCGGCTTATTTTCTCTATTTGCCTGGCAGGCAAAGTCTATCACTATATGTGCTTGATCTGGTCGATATGTGCCTTTTCTGATATCCGCCATATATCAGTGGGACAATTTCTCCAGTTCAAGCTGCAAGTATCCCTTTAACAGCCACTAAGCCGCTAGAATCGAGCTACTGATCGATTCCCAGAACCAGCCGAAAACTATTATATTAACAGTCTAACACTCAGAACAATACCCTATGTTCATATCCAACACAACATGTTTCAAGTGAAACAAAACCTCTCTCAATGAGCCAATCAAAAGCACATGCATATGCAGGCTATAATTATATACTTATTATACATACTTGTTCGATGTAATCGCTTAACTGTGGCCATAGATTTTCATACCTCCCGAAACTGGGACAATTCCAATATTAATAATTCAGTATATACATATATATAATGAGTAACTACTAGCCTAGGACGCATACGCAGCCCAAAGCAGTACTGGAGTCTAGCTACAAGGCAAAGGCAATCGAGGAGATCACATGTACGTTTAACTTACTGGCCAATCTCAAGCAGTTCAATATATATTTGCGCAGTCATCCTGTTATTTAATTAGTACATATAAGTCCAAACCGAGTACATACATATGGTTCTCATAAAGTACGCTTGATTCCTGACAATGTACATGTAGTTGATAAACCACGAACTGGATATAAAGTACATGTACTTAATAAATTACGTCGTACGTACTTACATATTAATACATATTATCATCAAGGACTAGTGGCAGCTGCCTCTAAGGCAAGATGTCATTTCAAACGTAGTAGTATTTTTTTAATATACATATAGTCTATGTTTCTCTCAAATATCTTAAGCACCTCAGGGATCAATCGCTTCGCTTTACTCGAGTAAGGCAATTAATGCATAGTATATATATATAGGTATCTCGAAACAGTTGTTTCTGCTCGCCAGCTTGGGATGTAACCTCGTATACTTGAGCAGCATGCAGCAGTGCGTACGTACGTAGTAGTCCTGTCGAATATACTTGCAGCTTGAGCGCTATATATATATATATATGTTATACGACGTACTAGAATTAAGCCGGTCGAAGTTTTGAGGATGTTGTTTGGCGGGCTTCTGATCCATATATCAATAACCTTCCTCCCCGGTATATATTTCTTTTCGAGTTTGCGTAATTGAGTGAGAAACTCCAAGGGTATAAATATCTGCAGCTAGTTAGAGCTACATAATTAGTTCGATTTTCCGAAAATAAGTTCTAACTAGCTCGTACCAAATCCTTGGCAAGCTGGGGGACTTCTGCTCGACGTTTGCCAAGCCTAGGTATGTCGAGCGATATACCATGATTCAGGCCAGTCCAGGACTTCATAAAAGCTAGACCGCAAGAACCCCCCGTGCCTACCACACAACTCTCTCTCTAACTTATCCCTTGATAATATACCATTAGCACTTACTAAATTCGCTACCTCTACACGGTATACACGATGGTTAACAAGCTATATTGCTATGATCAGACAACACTCATGGAAGTCGGGCCGTATCATAATCTCGAACGGACTTGGCTTAGCGCCGTGAACTCGTAATGTGGTTCCGGTCGGTGGTCAATGGCCGAAGATGTAAGGTATTTGTATGTGAAGTATTATAAGTTGTGATTGAAAGGTTAAAGATAAATGATAGTCATAGTAATATTCAAGGAGATGCATGTAATTAGTGTTATTTTTCTCGAATTAGACCTTGGCTGAGTATTGAATGTACAATACCAAAAAAGGGGTAGGGATAGGTATCGTAGTACTATGGTAGTGTTGCCCTAATAGGGTATTTTGAGGACAGCGGCATCATTTCAGAATTTTGAGGAAACTATTTTTCACAGAATACCGTAGCAACACCGTAGCAATACCGTAGCACTACCACAGCAATATAGACGTATTTTAGCTCTGTGACCCGCAGCAGGTCCGGTGCGCTAGCGCCAAGTACAGTGAGCCAGAACCAGGTCCAGCGCTAGGTCCAGTAAGCCAGTATGCTAGGTCCAGTACCACAAACAGCCACCATCACCATCACCATCATCACCATCATCACAACCACCATCATCATCACCACCACTACAAGAGCACCACAACCCGGTAGTGGGTGGTGCCTCAGGTTAAAGTAGCGAGTATATGGATGCTTCAGAGCACAAAATTTATTTTTCAAAAGTATATCCCAAATGTTTAAAGCCCATCCTAGGATAATTAGAATTGATGGAGCCAAGCATGAATGAATATCTGGTGATCTTTGATTCCGAAATGCTTCATCCCCAAATATGATATTTCAGGGTTAGGTGAGAGCTAGCCTGGCATTGTCCCAAATACTATGAAATGCGGAATCACTAGTATGGTAGTACAGATTTACCACCCACACTATGCAATCCATAGAATACATAGTTTATATAATACAGTATTGATACGGCATTGATACTAGAGCATTTGCTGAAATGCGGCTTTACTTTTTTGACTACTGGAGCGCTACCCTATTTTGTGGAATGCGCGTAGTACTACCATACTAATCCCTACCCGTTTTTTGGTACTGTAGCGTTCCGAATTTACTAGAAGCCTTATTATCGGGCTGTTAAACCGAGCTGGGTATTGCTAGAGCTAGAGTTAAAGTTTAAGATAGTAATTCAAAGCTGACAAAAATAGTGTGACTGGGTTTAGTATCGGCTCGATCAAGCTGCTCGTCGTATCAGCTTTCACAACTTTCGCACTCTATATGAGTGATAACCTGTGACGTAAATTGATCAAAATTTCTTTTTCACAAAATTAATAAAAACCTGAAAGTATAGTATGTTATTGGCATTTAACGCGATTAACCAGTATTAGTTTCTTTGTTTATTATCCGCCTGGTCAATAATATGTTTTGTTGAGTATATAGAGAATTTCTGTGTACCTATGTAGCTACATGTAGGCCTCTACATGTATCTGCGCCCAGATCATGAGAGGAACATTTGCGGCGTTAATTGTCTACATATATTAGCCTATATAGTATTCAAGAGCGCACGTCTCGAATTCTCTCAAGATATCTCCAGATTAGTTTAAGTCTGTATCGCATCGTATGTACATGTAGTATCGCGTCTAGAACCCACATGTAATTTATGGAAATACGAAAGTTATATATATTAGGCCCGTTCGGCAACAGTCCAAGACGGCGTTTACAGGGATGAAACCTCAGTTTTGGCGACTTGTTTGTTAGGCATTGGCCCTTGAAAACTCAGTTTTGTCTTGTTCCCGAACGGGCCCTTAGTTAAATGTAACAGGGTTTATACGTTAACTAAAACTGAATTTAAATAGTGTGTCAGTCAGTGGCAAAATACATACATGTACTTAGATGTACAACAGTATGCAGGCCTAGGATCCTTCACTAAACGTACATGTAGTTATCACTCTAATTTGAATACCACCCAAGGTAATCCCATGATTATAACTTGCGCTCGCAATGGTCTTTGGCGCTGGCAGGTGACAATTGATCTGTAAACCTAGGAGTATCTACATGTACACATATATGTATGCTCCTCTAAAAGGTGAAATATATAGAGAAACAGGCAAATAAGATCCATGGTACTATGGTCGGCCTTGTAGTTACCCACAGATTTTATTTGGCTTTATTGTTTTTTGGGAGTGAAATATATATATATTTATCAGATTTAGCACGGGAAAGCTCCCATGGGAAAGGTACGTACGCCGGTGATGCTGTTGTTAATTTATTTAAATTTATTGTATGCAAATGAAGATACGGTGACCCGTATGTGCGAGGCTCGCACGAGCTCGAGCACATATACAGCCTCAGTTTACTTTGATTTCCAGAACTTGAGTCGTCAGTGCTAGCATCAATTAAGTCCTTTATGTTACTACATGTAATTTTGCTAGTTATAACTCAGGGCTAACTGAGTCAATCGATGGCCATGCGAAAATTCAATATATATCCTTCCAACTGACAACCTGGATCTTCATTTTTGTCCATGGCCTAACCTAGAATCAGAAAGGCCCTTATCAAAGTTGCTAGTTGTGATAATGGATTTCTTAATGATATATAGTACTATAGTGTTTCTGCGGTAAAATATAATAAGTAGTACATGTAGTATTGGAGAATGTTTCTACATCCTTTACGGATATCAGATAGAAAAAAGCGCCATTATTTACATAGAAATGTTTGCAGCCCCTTCCAGTCTAATCTAAGGTACCTCAAGTCTTTTCAAGTTCTCTTTATGCCTTCGCTAACCTTTGGTATTATCTCCACCGCCTCCCGCGCCTGTAGTGGTATTTACCGGCGAAACACTCTGACTCTTCTTGAATTCCTTCTCAAGCTCCTTCTGCATGTCAAAATCTAATTGACGCTCTCTCTTGATTCTCGACCGCTCCTCGTCACGAATGACACCTGCGTGCATCAACTTTACTCCCCCAATTTCTGTCAACTTAATGTTTCCTTCAAGTATAAGACCTAATATATGGGTCGAATGGGAGGCAGACGTACTTCTTTCTCAGCGCGCTGAAAATAATGTACGAACCAAACAACACCCCCGCAAAGGGCAGTGGTAACAGCAAGAGTTGTCTTTGAGGCTTTTGACATCGTTTTCTTTAGTTGCCGCAGTGCGATAGATCGATGCCGTTCCTGTCGATTCTACTGGTACGTTAGCTTTAAGTTGCAGAACTGCTGAGCATTGGCGGCTTGGCGCGCATCAAATGCTGTGTGACGCATTTTGTATGGGATCAACAACGTCCCAGGTCAACGACATGTATTAAACATCCACCGCAATTTGAAATTGGTAAAGCTCCCGTGCCAATTACAGTCGCCTTATGTTTCTTTTTCTTTTTCTTCTTACTAACCACGGCCTTTAGAAACTTTAGCGAAACAAAACCCGAAAAATGGCATCTCAGTGGGGCGTTGTGGAGCCATTTCCAATCTACCTTGTCAAGAGTCGTTATTTCTTGTACGATGCTAATGGTACGTAAAATCTCTGGATCCCCGTGGTCTTCGTTTTCGGATGGGAGCTCTCTAGGCAGAAAGAAATCCAGATATTTGGCCTTTGAGATTCAAGAAGACTAATCCAGCACTCTTACAAGCCCAGTTGTCTCCCACGTCCGAGCATCTCACCGCATGTGCGGCTGTCTCACTGGAACCCTCCCTCAAATTCCCCAACAAAATGTTTTCCTCGGGCTCCCCCTTGAGCTCATGACCGAAGAGGCTGCCCTGCTCGTCGAGAAAGGTGCTGGCTATATTGTTAATGATATACAGGCACACTCACAGGGACTCAAATCCATGCTCGAAGCCGACAAGGCCGCATACCTCGAAGCGCGCGAGGCAGAGTCGATACGTGAGATGCAAGCCCTTCAAAAAGCGGCCGAAGAGCGAAGGAAGGCTTTCAGAACCCCCAAGCCAGCTTCTTTGAAGGATAACGATGGCGAGGAGGAAGAAACTGGAGAGGAAGGAAAGATCAGAGATGGAGAGGAAGACAAAGTGGGAGCCACTGTGTTTGAGACAGACACTGCAAAAACGAAGCTTTCAAACGCTGTAGACCCCGCCCCACCTTCAACACTTCGCTACTATCCTGTTCCGGCCACTTCCGAAGCTCTCTATCATGCTCTACCCACCTCGCCCGGGCTCCTAGAGGCTAGAGTGCTGGAGCCAGCGCCATCGGAGACCTCGTACCCGCTTTACAAACACCTTCACGAGCACAACTACTTCCTCTCTCCAGGGCTTCGGTTCGGATGTCAGTTCATGGCATATCCGGGGGACCCGTTGCGGTTTCACTCTCACTTTGTTGTGACGGGACTAGGATGGGATGAGGAGATAGAGATGCGGGATGTTGTGGGTGGTGGAAGGTTAGGGACAGGTGTAAAGAAAGCGTGGATGGTGGGAGGCGAGAATAAGGACAAACCTGGCGAGGTGAGAACATTTTGTGTTGAGTGGGGCGGGTTTTAAGTGCGGTTCAGTGCACTTTGTCTAGTCAGAAGTTCAAAATGGCCTTTTTCTTTTTCTTTTTCTTTTTCTTTTTTTTTTGATAATGCGGTGATTACGACAAATTTCAATATATAAAAAATGGTTTTCTTCGAAGAATTTGCAAGGTGGCTGTCAGAGACATTCATTAGGCCCCGCAATATGCATTTACATGTAATTATACCCTAGATAGTAGTTTTGTAGCCAAGATCTTTACAACCCCAGTAAAAGAGTAGAAAAATGATAAAGATACAAATTTGAAAGTCGATAGAAATAATCCTCTAGCTCCTGACAGCCCTCCACGCATCATTCCCAGTATTTTTTTCCCCTCTCCTATTTCTCTTCTTTCTCTGAATCTCCTCTGCATCACTGCTAGTGGCTGTTAGATCGATAACCTGTACCTGACTTTGAGTAACTCCACTCTTGACAGTAATCTTCTTTAGACCATTGCCCACTCCCTTGGCACCCTCAACCTCGTGCTGAATCTGCCGTTCATCCAATGACTTCTCCTCCCGCGAACTTGTTTTCATTCCGAACGGTGAGAACACAGGCAATGGTAGGAGTTGCGGTTCATCTTGAGTTGAGGCTTCAATCTTGACTGATGCTCGCTGTGAGTGGGAAAGCATATGTTCGAGACTTGGAAGACAGTCAGAGTCGTCGGAATCGTAGACAGATTGCTGCGCGCTATGGGCCTCCAAGGACGGAGGAGTGTCAGGTGCTGCTGCTGTAGTGTCGACTACCTGTGCTTCTGGCTCAGGCGTGTTGAGTTCACGAAAGGAGTAGGAGTATTTCGGAGAGTTTGTGACCTGCGCATCTGGCAGCTGTGTATCCACCGCCTCTTGGGAAGCTGCATGTTCATCTGTGACCACTGCCATGTCTGCGGCAAGTTCCTCTAAAAGAGCTGCTTCTTCTTCCGCTTCTAGAGTTGCTGCGATTCTCTCGGAAAGAGTGGGGCTAGTTTTACCTGCCGCTTCGGTGGCGGTTTGGTAAGTTACTTGCCCAGAGGTTGGCTCTTCGTCATTCTGGACATCACCTTGTCCAGAGGTGGGTTCTTCACCACCCCTTTCCGCTTCATCTGGTTCTCCGTTTGGGGCATCATCCATTGCTTCCTCCGTTCCATTGTCGTCTCCATCTGCAGCTCCGTCCGCACGATCCAGAGAAGCATTGTCCCCATCTCCGTTCGCGCCCTTTCCGTCTACTTTTTGGTTTGTTTCATCATTAGAATTTGCCTTTGCACCTTCGGGCAACTTCACCAACAATGGCTGGATAAGCTCCCCCCACATCAACTCCTCCTTCCCCTCATCGGATCTGGTATCCCCAGGCATCTCGAACTTCCTCAAGACCTTCTCGCCGGTCGTTTTATCCACCTCTCTCTCCATACGATCTCTGATTGCTAGTCTCATCACAAGCAACGGGCCATCTGGTTCGTCAATGACATCTTCAACAATGGCAGTTTTGTAGTCAGCGATTATTGGCGTGTAGTTTTTATCCATTGTGAACTGTTTAAAGGCAAGCACCGTTCCTGGGAGAACCGGCTTTGAGAGTGGATGAAGAGTGGATAAATCCGCTGGGAGAGGTGGGAGGTCGTCTACGAAAACCGGACCCTCCATAGTTATATCTTTGGCTGGGTAGGTTGTGTCATCGTAGTAGTCATGATTGTTCCAATCATCGTAATCCTGCTGCTGCTGATAGTAACCGTCGCTTTGCCCATAGCCATTTTGCGCCCCGTATTCATCCTGTTGTTTCTTTTTCTTCCCACCACCTCTTTTTCTCTTCTGCCCTGCCACAACATCACCAAGAGGGAACCGAGGCTGCTTGAAAGGATAACTCGGTTCAGGGAGTACCACATTGTCCCACTCACATTCTACTGCAGTGAGTGCTAGCCTTTTCCTCCACGCATCTGGATCTTCTTCCTCCTGCACGATTTCTTCGGTATCTATAGAAGCTGAAATGGGGTTCCCATCTCCATCATAAATGATTTTTTTTGGCTTTTTCCCAAACTGTTCTCTTGCAAAGCCTTTCCTTTTGTTGGTTGTGTCGCCTTTATGTGTAGCTACCCACTCCTTTCGCATGTTTTCCTTCTCTACAGCTTGGCTTTTTGTGATAGTAAGATCGTGATGGAGCATGCGCCGAGCAGCAGAGATATTTACACTAGGCCGGCCAGGGATGTGCCTTTCTTTAGAAGATTCCTCGACTGGTATGTCGTCTGTAGGATCCATCGTAGTGTCACCATCGATGTCCTTCCCATTGTCCGTTCCCTTTTGTAATTCCATGAGGCGCCTCTTTTCCCTTTCATTGTACCATTCCTCAAAGTTCAGATCAGTGGTTTCAGCCTTTCTTGCTTTGTTGTATATTTTTCTATATCGCTTGCGGCGTTTGGCACCGTTAGAGACCTCATTGCGAGTCAATTTTTCAGTATCTCTTTCAGACATAACTTGCTTTGCTTCAACGGCTGATTTTTCGGAAACCCGGGCTAAATACCCCTCATTACCCATATCCACTGGGATCATACCCTTCTCTTTTAACTTATGCATCTTTTTACGTTGGTTTCTTAACTTCGTAGATTTCTTGCCTTCGTTTGGGAGGGTCCCTGATGCCACGGGAGGTCCTTTAGGGCGACATGGCAGCTTCTGCGGCGGCTCTGGGGAGCTAGATGAACTAGATGAACTAGATGAACTAGATGAACTAGATGAACTAGATGAACTAGATGAACTAGATGAACTAGATGAACTAGGCGAGCTCGACGATCGATGCGAGGCTACTTTTTTCCGTGGTTCAGGGGAGCTGGACGAACTAGACGAACTAGACGAACTAGAGGAATGAACACAGGACCCCTGTCTTTGTAATTTTGGTACTTCTCTACTAACATTTTAGTTGTTTGGACTTGCGGTAGCGATCCTAGAGGGCTTACTTTCTGGGTTGGAGATCTGCCCCATCCTCCTCCTCCTCCTCCTCCTCCTCCTCCGACGGCTCCGGGCTGCTGTATGCCTCGTCTGAGCTTTGAACTTCGGCAGTAACCGCCTGTGGGTCGAAATCACTATCTGACGATTCATCTTCTGAGGGGGCTATTATATCGGAAATTTTGAATTCTTGGGTTGTAGGCTTTTTCGCTATGGGCATGGCCCTTTCCATTCTGCTTTCGTCCCCATCTACGTCCTCATCTTCGTCCTGATCATCCTCGTGTTCATCATCCCCGTCTGACGATGAATCTGAAGATTCTCTAGGATCGTAATCATCATCGGATGAGTCAGAAGAGTCAACATCGGCAGTTAAGATTTCTGCAGCGGATAATTTTTTCGCGTTTGTTGGGCTTCCTTTCTCTTCCTCAAAATTTGGGCTCCTTCCCTCTCTAGTTCTCTTCAATTCCTCTTCCTTGTTAAGTTCTGTCCCGGGGTTGATTGTTTCTTTACAATAGAGATCCATCAAAGGGTTATGATATTGCTCCATATTTGCAGAGTTTTCATCCGGATACTTCCTATTTTGTATCAGACTCCTCCTCGCTGGAATAATTTGTCGTTCCTTCACGGCCTCGTCGTCATTTTCTGAATTCGAATACTCCATTTCCGTTTCCTCGTCTTCCTCAGTATAGCTCTCATTGTCTTCGGGCTCAAGTTCAGCTGCAATTGAATCATCTTCAGTTCTTCTCCTTTTGGCCGGCCGAGCTGTTAGGGCTGGTCGATCCGGCGCTGGCCGAAGAAAGGTGCGACCAAAAGGAGTGCCGTCGATTAGTTTCCGGCCTGACGTGCTAATTTGACGTCTACCCGAGAGTCGTCGCTGTTTGATCTCATGCGATGAGAGTGGTCGTATCCTGCATTTTCACGGGCCATTAGCACGCCAATGATCGCAGGATGACCGATAAACTTACACAACTTCATCGCCATCCCTAATGATACTATCCACCTCCTGAAAATGCAAACACTCAAATCCACCAATCTCCACGGCATAGTCCTCGAGGCCCCACTTTGAAAACTCCAGTGGAACAATATGGGATACACAGATAAGAAGTGAAGAAATATTTCTGTCATCGCCGGACTGGAATGCGGATGTGTCCCACCATATCTTCATGGTGGGGAGAGAATTGCGGTTTATAACCAGCCGAAGGCGCATGTTTAACAGATACGATTGGGCGGGGGTGTTGTATTTCTGGTGAGATTGGAGGGAAGACGCGCGCGTTGGTAGATTTGTAGAAGTTGAAGTTGACAGGGTCTCGGAAACAGATGGCGCTAAACCTGACTTGGGTGAGCCTACTGTACCCCGGCGTACACACCAGTCTTGGCACTGGATAGGTATCTCATAGAACATACCTTACCGTCGAAACGCATACAAATTTGAGCCTTATTCAGTCGGCTTATCCAGAACGTAGGCTCACAATAGCTTTATCAGTACAAAAATCCTTTTTTAAGCCTTATTTCATCCTTAAAACATGCTTAAATAATACTTATTTGAAGCTTATTGGATTCATAAGCCTATTATGAGCCTACGATCTGGATAAGCCGACTGAATAAGGCTCAAATTTGTATGCGTTTCGACGGTAAGGTATATACATGTATTAAGCTAAATACAATATATATAAGACTCTGTTCGCGCGGACGTAAGCACGTACGGACACCAATACCATACATGTAGTTTTTATTCCGAATAAGAAGGTATGTAAAAAACCAACCTATTAGGTGTTTGAGTGCTCGAATGACCAAAGTTCTTGGTTTTGGTACGGAGGCCCCATGATATATTAGGCTAGTTTTCATCAATATGAAAAAACTTCGTAGATCACTCTGCAGATCTGCCAAAATGTTGTTGCCGAGGAAAACAGCGACTGAACCCTCCTCGGTATACATACTGCATGTACCTCTGGAGGTATACATGCCCCTACCCTCTACCCGACAGATTTTGGCTCTATATATACCCCCGAGCCCGGTCCCGGCCCGATAAGTGATACACTGATCCACCAGCAGAAGAGACGTTAATGGAATATATATAGAATTTTCTAATCATAATCCTGCTAGGAAGCTCCGCGGACAGACCAGCTAATTTTAATTGTTATCACTACTACCTTTATAGCAAAAACTTGACCCTTTATACATGCATACATATATATCTTAGAATCCGCTAGTAAAATTAATCAGATAAAGCGTGGGTCTATATATACATGTATCTAGAACACGCAATATACATAATATATACAGCCACTCAGCAAAAATGTTCGTGATATAGTTTTAATGTTAGTGCGTAGTGTGGCGCATGACGTCCGTAATACTGATGCTATTAAAGTTGAGATTCAAAACAACGAAAATATATAATATAGTTCTAAAAAGATAGGTCATTGATCAACTTACTCTTCATTAATTTGGGCGCCATTTGTCACTGGGAAATTAAGCCTTCTCTTGGGGGGTTCTTGATGGTCCACCACGGTTACATATGGAGAAATAGAGCGTGTTTGACAACTGTCGATTCCGACAATTGACAGTTCGCCGGCTGCAATAGCGGTTTGCCGAACCGTCAATTTTGATTGATGAGGGTATCGGCACAGGGTACCGGAACTTGGAGCTGGACTCTATCAATGCGTAAAAGGCCTTATGTCTCGATCTCGTCACCACTGATAATGGTAAATAATTTGAGAGTTCGTGAAGTATAATGTCAATTTTGCGACCCGCAACTGTCAAAGCCGAACTGTCAATTGTCGAAATCGACAGTTGTCAAATACGCTCTAATGTCTCACTCCGAAATCTGAATCACGAACACTTTTGCAGAGTGGCTATATGTATACATATATACATATCCATTCTAGTAATTCAAGCATAATGTATGTAAATACCAATGAAAGAGTACGTAATTATAAAATATTCAAAGATGTGTGCATATTGGGAATGAGATCCCCGGCCCCGCGAGATTTAGTTTTAGCTGGGGGTGGGGGGTCAAAGGGTTTAAATTTGAAGATAAAATTTAAAAGGTATATGTAGCCACATGAATAGTCACCCGGCCGATCTGTCAGTTGAGGTACATATACATGTAGTTACATATAACTATGTAGCCCTAGGGTCGACTGCATATATGTAGCTACACTTAATTTCTACCTGCATGTACCCAGGGGTGCCGGAAAGTGATGCAACGACTCAATTTACTACTCACGATTTCAACCATATGCAACCCAACTTTGACTTTAACGAAGCAGCGATATATAGTATGTAAAGTAAAGAGAGTATGAAGAATTCATCAATCACATCAAAATGAAAGAAATTACATGTAAGGTGGTTGCGAATTCACTAAGACCTCACCCTATATTTCCAAGCCGTTGCATCACTTTTGGGTACCCCTGGGTACATCAAAAAACATAATAGTAATCTTCCACAAAGTGCAAATCAAGACAACTTAGGAGTAAGACATGAGAGGCTTTCATGTACATTTGACCACCGACGTACTAGCTAACCCTTTAATATGGGTCAATTCCACCAAGGTTCTAGACATACTATTATATAAGATAATTGGGTAGATCTAGACGTCGACCTGAATGAACGGTCGATCCGTATGTACATATTAAACATTACAATCTACATTAAGGATATATATGCGACTCAATGATGCGTTAAGAAAGCTCTTGTGGGCACATATAGGACTCGCGTGGGCATCCCTTAATAGCGGACACTGAGGAAATGATAATATATATATATATATTTTTACCGTCCATATTGATTATGGTCATGTCTCACTTCACAATTAACACCATAAAAATTAAAAGATCGATCCTAGGATTAATGCACTTGTAGTACCCAATACTCTATTACTCGGCCATGGTCATATGACCAAACTAAACAGAATATTAGATAACGTGCACCTGTAGCTGTGACATATTCGCGCCTCAATATAGGTCTCTATTCGTCTCTTTGCCAGGGGCTAACCTTTGGCACTCAAATCGTCAAAAATGGAACTGTGTTTCAAATATTGGGTCATAGAGAATCACTCGTGGTACTGCGATATAACGGATCGATCAACCATGATCTATATCAAATTACACTCGACACTAATGGCACTACCCAATTAATTGAGTTTCGGCCCACAGAAAAACAAAGCGGAATTATGTCAAGAGAAAGATTGGAATAGCGTCTACAGAATTTAAAAGCATCCAGCACACCCGCTACTAGGCGTTCATCATATCAGCAGGTAAAGCCAACCGAAAATTTAAACCCCTCAATTAAAGACGATGGCCAAACCCATGTCTGCCTCTGGTATTGGTCGACATCAAGCAGTAATCAACAGCATTAAATCTTTCAGGGTTGTAGAAGGTTAGCTTCAAACAAATTGCACCCACGTACAAGTTTGTACTCCGTTGATACCTGTATGTGTGACGATGCGGATATTGATAGATACACATATATATCATCCATTTAATGCCTTGCATGGTACGTATACGTACGCTGCACACAAAGACTCCCCCCCCCCCCCCCCCCCCCGCGGCTCTTACCAGTAACATCTCTTCAATCTCCCTTGGCTATAAATGACCGAAAAATTCCAAATCTGTGCCCTGTACTCCCTTATAAACCTGGTCTCTGTGTGAGTATCGATATTGCATATTAATTGGTAATTCACACCGCCGGTCGGAGATGGACCGTAACAGCAGTGACCGGGTTCACGCAACATTAGATCAGTGGATGAACACGCTGCTGCTGCGCTACGACAATGCCTTCTGTTCGGAAGCCGTGCAGGATCTGTTATCACTACGATCACGCCAGCACCCACCCTCCAACATGCAATCGTTCGACTCAAAATCCTACCTACGTGTGGTAGCGAAAACATATTAGTCTCTGATCCGGAACAGTCCAGGGGGCGATCCACCGCCCTGCTTTCTTCTGCGCACGGAAACATACTGCAGCGGGGAACTTTACACGGTACACGTGTGGCATGTATCAGCGCTCTAAACTGGTCGAGGGATGTTCTCTTCTGGTCCGCTTCCCAATATACGAGCGAGAAACATCTATACCAGACTCGCTGTGTTTAACATGATATATTAGTTATAGGTTAAGTGGCCCAGTGGAAATCTATATTTTCAAAATAACTCGCAAACAAAGTCGGGGACGGGTGTTAGAAAAGACGTAATGAAGTCCCAGAGGCGTTGCTCATGATCATGCATACAATGATCATCGGCCAACGCTCGCTCAAAAAGTTTTGTCTTCTCAATTGAATGATGTCCAATTCGCAAAACTGGGGGAAGAGAGGTTTGCACACGTGCATATTCAATCTTGTGATATATCCAGCTATGTCTTCGAAGCTAATGAGACTACATTTGTCTCCCGGAGTAGGCAATCCAGTCTCCGCCCTCAACCCATCTTTGGCTTGTTCCCAGTCCGGTCCATTCGGAATATATAGTGAATGGAAATCATACAATAGAATTAATAATGGTGGAACTCGCGATCGTTAAAGTACCGTTCCATTACATATGTGCAATAATTCAATCTATTTGCTGCGGCGCGGCGAATAAATTTCGAAACAAGAAAGAGGGATTTCTTCAAACTTCCTGTGTCTTAAGATAACGAAAGGACGGCTTGATCTAGTTATGGACACCCATCTATTGTCGATAATCAAATAAAAACAGTGTTGAATCACCATTCACTCGAATTTTGGTTCACCCAGTCAAGCAAGTGCTCACACAAGCCTGTGAAACAATAACACCCCCCCGGGGGGGGGGGGGGGGGGTTGGTAGCGGGATAAAGGTATCGGAAGCTGGAGTTCTGTAACCCCCCAAATAAGAACTTAATGCAGTACTTTAAGTTTTAAAAAACGAATTGATGAACGAGATCACAATAAGAAATACAAAGAACGGCAAAGTTGTTCAAAAAGCACAACACCAATATCGCCTCCCTACTATCCGCCGGAGAAGAAAAGGACGTTTGTTTGGAACTACTGCCTCGCCAAGGATCGGGTTTCATCTTCTCATTATTTGCCGTCTTTCCCCGCCGTCTGAGGATAGATCTTCAAGTACGTACGCCCAAAGGCAAGCAACCTTACTTTTCCTTTAGTTTGAGCGGGGATACCTGCATTCAACCGCTCTTTACATATTTTTAGTTAAACGGTCCTCGATTCTAGCTGCTAGCTGATATATATACACGTACGACGCATAAAATAAATCGATTATTGAAAAGTTATTTCTTTAATATTGCGAATGCTATTATACCGATGCAATTAATGAATTAAACAAAAAAAAATGCTATTATACCGGTGAGATACAACCCAGGAAAGTGACACAAAGGACCAAATCATGTAATATCACTCGGTCTTAATCAGTCCCGAATCAAGACATGCAGCTTTTCGGCGGTGGCACAGATTAAGACAGCAAACACGAAAATGGTTTCTAATGATTCACATTGATCGTCTTTGCATAATCAGATCCAGAAAACGGGAGAAGGAAGTGTCAAACCTGATGCTTATTAGGTATATGATCATGAGCGAGGCAGTCGCCGTTTCTGAAAGAAATTTGAGACCCTGATCATGAAACTAGTCACACAACAGGGAAATTCAACTTAAAAGGCCGAATCTAATGAATGTATCATTTGTGCCTTGTCTGGTAAGCCAAAACTAGATGCCTACATTTTGTCTATATCTGGTAAAATGTTTCGCATTTTTTTGCTCCTGACTCCTCTTACTAAGATAAGACAACAAGAAAATGAGAGCATGTAAAGGACAGATAAAGGCTATAGTGTGAGCAAATGAAAAATACATAGGAAGCGAAATAAGAGAGAAAATAAATATCCTCTCATGTTTACACAAATATCTTGGAAGAAAGTTCGAGCCCCTAACACCCTCAGAAAGAAAATGAACCAAACGAGAACAAAAGTTACTTTAGAGCAGCATTACAGTGAAAGCATCAGACCCTACCCCAATCGACTTGCGTCGCCCCCTGTATCGTTACTAAACCTTATCAATCTGCCGGTATACATATGCATCCCTTGAATTCTCAAAACGACCCCCTCTTTTTATAGTCTGGTTTTCCTCCCGACAAAGTTTTATCGATATATCGATACCACACTACCACAAAGCGACTAACAATTGTAATCTGAAAACATCCCTAAACCAACGAAACCTAAACACCTTGACCCATTCCTATCTCACCCTTCAGGGTGTACAATTTAAGATCGAAAATGAAACTGGACAGAAAATGATTCAAACATAGCGAATCAACGAATCAACGAATGGCTATCGAGGGTGGAATAAAGAGAATATTGAAAGGGGTAAAACCAGCGAACACATGTCGGGAGATTTGAAAATAAGCTTGCTCAAAAAAATGAAACTTGAAAGAGACCATGTTGGATGTATATAATGGGATAAAGATGCAAGAAAAAATGTAAAGAAAATAACCAATTTAGGCGACCCTACATCTCGTAACCTATACTCTCGTAGATTTAGTAAACTTTATTGAACTCTGAAGCTCTATGCTGTTGCATCGATTGTCCTCCGTGAGAATTCGTGTCTTTGAACAGCAACTCCTCTATGTTAGACTAAATTTGTATAGCCCTCCCCAAATTGATCATTGGATTGATGACACCCACCTACGCTCGATCGCGTATAGCTTGGCGTAGAATTTGTTCGAATTGCTACTGCTGGCGCTATAGTTTTTGAGCTGTTGCTTGACTCGGAATTGCTACGATTCTTCTGGTTTTGCTGGTGTGCTAGAGCCTGAGGAAATGAATCTACCGAAGAGCTCGAGATGAGCGGGTTTTGTTGCGACAAGGATGGAAGCAAAGAACTATTCGATGAAGAGAGCGGGAATGTTGGTGGGTTGTGTGAGTCGTACGTGCTTATCTGACACGGTACAGGCAAAGCGGGTGTTGGCTGCGAGGGCATTCCTGCGGCGGTAGGGGAATTTACAGCCATACCAGCTGACTGGGAGGTCGCCGAGAAGGAAGAATCCCCAGCCCAACTACTAGGGAATACTCTATACGAGGCCTGGAGTGACTGGCGCTCATAGTTGGAAGATGTCGAATCGTTCACCAGAGTGTTCCCTATAGATGGAGGCCTTAGGTTTCCCGCATTATTGGCCATTGCTTCTGAAGCCTGTGTTCGAATCGGCAGTGGAAGCTGGACCTTTTCACCCCCGGGAGTCCTTGGAGATGCCCCATCGGGAAGAGAAGAAGAAAGGGAACTAAGCGCTGGAAATACTACACCGAAGTTTCCCATAGACTGGTTAGGTGAAATATAGTTGTTCATTGGAGACTGATCTTGGTCTAAATAGAGACTCGAGCTCCGTCCTCCAGACATGGTGGCCCATTGTTGGCCGTGAATGTTGCTCGTAATATCAGGATGAAGGTAAGGAGCATATGTCCCATTATACATATCCCCGTTGCTAACAGTCATCACATTACCCCCAGTCATATCCCCTCCAAGGCTCTCATATCTCCCTGAAAGGATCAATCCGCTGGTGCTATCCCCGCCGCTACCATTTCCGCCTAACGGATCCTGGTGACACAAAGACCTAAGAGGCATTGCACTATTATGCATATGGTGACTGGGGCCACTATTTCCGACCCTAAGGGTATGAGCACTCATGTTGTAAATTTGAGATGGTGTCGCATTGTGATGCACACCAGCCATGGCCAGAGAAGAGGCGGATGACGATGCAGATGAGGATGTGGAGTACGGGTGATGGTGGAGGTCGACTGGGGCCGAAGACACCTGCTCGTAACCCATTATGAGCATATGGTCCGGGACGAGCTCTCTCATTTCGCATTGTACTCTTAAAAACGTGCATTTCCCCTGTTCAACTTGAGCTTGTTTGCAGTTTTGGCATCCGCTGTTGTCTCCAGGATCTCCGCTGCATCGAATTTTTCGTTTACGACATCGCCCACACTGTCAGGAAAGTCAGTTATATTACTGGAAACAAAAGAGAGAAAACCTCAAGATATGTATTTTTTTTTTTTTGTTTAATTCATTAATTCTCAAAATATGTATGAATGTGCACGATGTTTAAATGCGGGAGGGATCAGAGAGACAAACAGCTACTGGAATACGCCGCCGTGGACTACTGGTGGCATTGCTGGTAACATGTGGAGCTCGTGGGGGTGGTCGTATATGCGGATCTATTCGAGGGTTTGGGCGAGAAACTAAATAGGCCCGCTCATGAACTGTAGGGGCTGGGGGACCCCTAGACGGATGCCTATACGGCTCCATTGAGCTCTCGCTGGGATAACCCAATTGATTGGGCACATGCCGTGCCATTGGCAATTGGGGATTGACCGATATATGTATCGACGGGTCGGGAGTATAGTAGTGAGGGATGTGAGTTGATTGACGGCAAGGTTAGATATAGTAGAACTCGATTACGCCCGCACTGCGGGTTCTTCAGATAAGAAGGTAGGAAATGTAAGAAAGAGTAAGGATGTGAGAGAAGCGCACAAGCTAAAGGCGATGTAGGGATGATGGTTGAATTATAACCAAACTTGAAGCCAGATCCTACGGTATTGATCATATACTGATAGGACTAATTTCTCCGCAGTACATGATATTACAAGATGCAAAGACAGAGCTAATTAGGTAGCTAAACGTACGTGGACATTTCAGCCATCCCGTGCTGTCCCTACATATCGGGCACAAAGAACTGATGGTTATGTACATGTACTTGGCTGGTGCGAGTTGCCGAAATAATGCGTTTGCAGCTAGGTGATCATGCGATCGCGAACCGTAACATTATAAATGCAATTTAGATGTAGACGACTGTTTAGTACATCGTCTCCACCACCACACATATAAGCAAACATACATGATACACAATTGCGGGTAGATGCGTACTAGCTCGGTGGCAGGTCATATATTTCTCCAGGTATCCAGAAAGCCCTATCATATATGATCATGAGCTGTGGCTCGACCAAACAAGACGCAGCATCTGTCACAGACAAAGAAAGTTGCATCTTCTCGAACGTCGAGAACTTCGAGTAACCCCCCACCCCCCCCACCCCCTTTCCCCATAAAAAATATTCCGTAGTGCTTATTATATCAGCAGTAAATTATAAACATTCCTAAACTAAGCCCACCTTACCCGGATAGATCATATTATTTACCTAAATACATATAGTTACATGTACATCAGGGAGCCGGGGTACCTCATGAGCATCGTTTACCACTAGCTGCCGGTTGTCAATTTAATTCAAGTGGGGATTCCTCCGATTATGTGGCGTCAATCTTAAACATGCACGTACTGGTTTCTTCGTAAAACTACATGTACTCACTTTTCAATTCCCTCTAATTTAATAGCTCTGTTGCCTACATGTACATACATATATATAGGCAGAAAGTACAATTTAATTTTATAAAGGATCTAGTTATCGTCTTTGGGGGGTCGATTCCGCCTTCAACCATTCTTAATCTAGATCATAGACCACCTGACATAATATCGAGTTTAAGAATTGAAAGACGCGCTCGAGTGATTGAGTGATTTATATGATCTGTTTTATCGCGGATAGACGGTGTGAGGCTAGCTGTAACCATTATAAATGTAGAACACTACATGTAGCTTGGATGCCTGCAACCAGCACCTCTTCACGATCTTTCCGTCAATATCATTACTCGAGCCTCCCATTGATACGTTCCCCAATTAAAAAAAAAACGTAAATTATAAATCATCACTGCCTGTGAATTTAACGTAGGTGTTCGTTAATGTGTTGTGGCTGCATCAGTTTTATTATACATGTCTTTGGCCGCAATATTGTAGGTCGATCTAGATTTACGCAGGTAGGTTTCGAGTTCTCTTAGATGGGGCAAAAGACAAATGTTTGTAGAGCTCGATGTTATGCATGTTTTTCTGCTATACAAGGTCTAGCAGTGTTTGTACCTGATGTACATGTATGTATGTAGGTTGAGAGTGAATTGCGAGCTAACCTATTTTGTATTCTATTTGTACTACCATACAACAGTAAGCAATCACATGATCTCTACTGACTCCGAGTCTCAGATGCTGGTCACACTCCTAACTTTTCTCTCTTCACTTTCTCCTTCACACCGGTAATACACACGTCAAGTTCACTCTCTTCTCTTTTCATCATACCTACAGTACCTATCGCTTCACAAACCTAATTTTTACCCGCCAGCATGTCAGTTTTACTGGAATTAGGCGAAACAGGGGATATTGTCATAGATCTTTTAGTCGACTTGGCCCCGAAGGCGTGTGAAAATTTCCTGAAGCTGTAAGCAGCCTCTACCCCACATCTTTGTAGCTGCCGGGAACATGCCATACATGAGCTGAGAACTAAAACTGCGTATTCGGTAATAGCTGCAAGATGAAATACTATAACTTTTCGCCCATTTACAGTGTGCAAAAGAATTTTTCGTTTCAAACCGGTGACCCTATTGGGCCCGACTCAGCCGATTCAGATGGAGGTACTTCAATATGGGGCCTGCTTAATGGGCCATCGAGGCGGTTTTTCCCCGCCGAATTTCACCCTAAACTAAAGCATACGGAACGTGGTACCGTGAGCATGGCCACTGTACCTGGTAATAACCCTGACGAAAGAGTGAGTGGGAGCCAATTCATTATCACTACAGGGGATGAATTGGATTTTCTTGACGGAAAGGCGGCTATATTTGGGAAGGTAGTAGAAGGATTCGATGCGCTGGAGAAAATAAACAATGCATTTTGCGACGATAAGGGAAGACCACTGAAGGATATTAGAATACGACATACTATTATATTAGAAGATCCGTTTGGGGATCCTCCAGGACTTGTAGAGCCTACTGAAGACCCGGTTCCAACAAAGGCTCAGCTTGCGACAGTCAGGATCGGGGAAGATGAGGATATTAACGAGGATGAGAATCCAGAAGAGGCAGAACGGAAAAGACGAGAGCGGGAAGCTAGAGCACAGGCGTTGACATTGGAGATGGTGGGAGATCTTCCGTTTGCGGATGTCAAACCTCCCGAAAACGTTTTATTCGTCTGCAAACTTAATCCCGTGACCCAAGGTACCTGCGTTATTATCTACCCTACACACCTCTAACTAGGTGGCTAACAGACCCTGGGGATAGACGAGGATTTGCATCTAATTTTTAGCCGCTTTGGTAATATCCTCTCATGTGAGGTCATTCGCGACAAAAGAACGGGCGACAGCTTGCAATACGCATTTATTGAGTTCGAGGACCAGAAGTCTTGTGAACAAGCCTATTTCAAAATGCAGGGGGTATTGATTGACGATCACAGAATTCACGTTGATTTCTCACAGAGCGTAAGTCTTTCTTGCACACCCAATCTGCCATCTCTATCTCTTGAACATATCCAGACCTGGAAATCACCATCTTCTTGTTTTCGATTCGACACTTCGAGTATTAAATCCATCTTTCTTGTAGGTCTCGAAGCTATCAGACACGTGGCGAACAGCGACGAATGCGAAACGCCGAAACGCAGCCGAAACACGTGGCTTTGGTGGTTCCAACCACTTGGAGAAACGACGGCAGTATAAGGAGGGTGGTCATGGGCATCGTACCCATAGCGGGAGTGGTGGGAGCTCCGGTTTTGTCTTTGATGAACAAGATATCCGGAAACATGAGTACTCAAAAAAAACAGACGACAGGAGTGGTGACAGATACAAAGGTCGTAGCAGAGATAGGAGCAAAGATCACTATAGACGTAAATACTCAGAAAGGAGTAGAAGTCGCGATCGACGTAGTGGTAGGGATAGAGACCGAGAAAGAGGGTCTAGTCGTAGGTACTCACAAGACAGAAGTCGAAGCCCAAGACGAAACCGCGGTCGTGATAGGTAAAGTAATTGTAGAGTATATTCATCGCATTGTTATGGTACAAGAAGTCATTAATATCACGTTTTTCTTTCCCTTTTTTTTTTTTTTTTTTTTGGAATATTATGATCCTTGATCTTTATGATTATGGTAGAACAGCGCAAAACTATTTTTTTTTTTTTTTTACAACTGTAACCTATTATAGTTGGCCCTGAGGCAGTACACAGATACCGATGCATGCCGAGTGATTAGCTATGAAACGAACTACCTTATTTCTCAATGTTATTAGCTCGCCCCGCCAGGCTCATGCCCAAAACATTTCTCTACATCAGAAACATACATCTATTTAGTTCTTGATCTGTTTAAGGGATTTAATTCCACTACTCTAGACCAGGCGCTGCAACCCCCCTGCATATAGCATTATACAATCTTAATTATTATCATAGTATTAATACCAATATAATACATGTACTTATATTATTTAAAATGGCTGTATGACCTGTATGACCTACAAGTATTATAAGTTACATATTGTCCCTGATATAATTTACAAAAGCCCACTTTATAATTTAACCCTTCTAGTACTACATACATTGTTTTACTCTCTTATTCGAAATACCATTTCCATAGCCAAGCAGCCGCAGCAGCTTAGTGGGTGGGAAGGGGCAAGGTATGTGGAGTTTACGCCTCAATTGCAACTGTGTTTCCCAATCATATATTACAATTGCAATGTACATGATGTGTGATGTATACGGGACCCGATCTACAAGCCATGAATAACGTAGAAGCATCGCCAAGGCTAATAATATTGCCGGATGTGATTTGTTCCTGTACATACATGTATGTATGTACGTAGCTAGCTACATGTACTCTTGAGTATATTTATTATGGGTACGGGCCACACGCTTTGCGGATATTTCGCGCACGGTAGCCCACAGCCAAATTAACTACCCGTACAGAAATAGATTGGCAAAGTGATACATGCACCAGTCCTAACTCGCTGGGGGGGCGAGGGTCGCCAGGTAAAAAAAAAAAAAAGTGAGTGTTACCGCCACGTGCTTACCTGGAATTCCGGTTAGATTTCGTCGCGCGCTATCTAAGTTTGACATTAATCAGGGCGGCATATACGCGTGGGGAATATATCCTCGATCTTATTGGCGGGTTACTGACAAAGCTTGAAATAATTATATAAAGCGAACAAGTTCTTCATAGATATAAGATCTAGATCTGAAGATGGAGGCCTCTTCCGTCCTCTTATCATCTTGTTATCATGATTCACAATGTGCAGTTTCTTAGTCATGGAGGAAACCAGTACACGGATGGTGTACATATTTTCGTCAGATTCCAGGGGAATGGGTTCGAAAAGCAAAACTTGACAACTGAACATCTCATGGTACTGGTTCATCAGTATCAGTACATGTATAAAACCTGATCTCGGAAGCGCTTATGCTTAAATATGCAATGTAGCTTCATTCTTGGAGTACCCACTAGTCGATGTAAGGAGATTTACTTTCTAGATTCTGCTTAGGGTTGCCCCGAAATCACTTAACTTTCGGTTTGCTACATGTAAATTTAATATACATCAAGCAAAGCCCAGCATTTTAAACTGAGTTCCGTCTGGGGATCAGTCCCGTATGGCCATGGGATTTTACGCAGATCTTTCCGGTGTAAAGACTGCTCTCAAGGCACATGTGCTGACACGATTGTGGAACGCTATCCAATCTTAAAAGAATGGCCTTAATAATACTATGCTATACAGAGTTTGATAGGCCCTACCGGCCTTATTCGAAATTCCGACGGGGCATACTTCATTGCCGGACGAGAAGAAGACCACGACAATCAGAAGGTGTGTTGACGCCTCCACTTTATACTTGTTCCAGATATCTGGCGAAGGCTGGCCACCACCGAAAGAACCCAATTGCTAGAGTAGGTACGTACGTAGCTAGGAGTCATGTGAGGAAATTACAACTACCTTTGTTGCCCGCTTAACCCACTTTTTTGCTGGAGTTGCGACCAGCGGGGCTCGAGACTGAAGTTTCACCTGCAGGCGGCCCTACAGATCTATCCAACTGTACGTAACTGTTCGGAGCTGTTTATTCTAATTGAAGGTCGGAACCCTCAATCTAGGTTTACCGCAAACTCGGCCTGTCGGAGCAATGAGATTCGCATCTGGGAAAGAAAATTCTCCCCGAATTCTAACGTCCGCAATGTGACATAGAGGCAGCCATTAGCAACTCCGCATAGTCGAATATTATAATAACTCGTTGTCTTGGCACATTTATCCAGTCTCCCTACAATAAACGTGATCCTCGAAATTATTATGCGTTCAAAAGTACACTTTATTACGGCGGCCATTGTTGTGACGATAAGCGTGGATTGTTTTTCGTTCAGTGGCATTAATTGACTGCACAGCTAGCTGTGTCTTGCCGGCGCATCATATAATTGCACCCGCGCATATATATACTCCACATGTACTTGCTTGCCTACAGTTGATTGTTGCCTGCGAACTCATATTATCCAATGCCGTCACGTCATCGGCAAGGGAGCAACACAATCCTGTTCACGGCCGAGAGGTCGGTTAAAAAGCCAATTGCAATGGCCCCGTTTCGACAACTCCATACAAATCAACGTTGCCGATAGATCTGTCCGGAAGCCGACTTATGATGAGTGTATATATTGACAACTCAGTATCGACATACATAGTCACGATTTCATGAATCATGATATGGGAATTTGGCGAATACATAATATAACATTCCGCAGAAACCCGCGCGTGCCAACTCCGATCCCAAGATCTAGAGGTTGAACCATCTTTGGTACTTTAAAGCTTCGAAATCATCTTGTAAGGCTTGCTAGTAGTTGTGACCTGGGTCCACAGTACAAAAATGTTTTCCTAGCTAAGACTTGATCCATCCGCTGCCCATCGATGCTAGTGAGTAGAGACGTAACGCATAGTATTCTCAAATTGAGTTATTTTCTTACCATATGTTTTTATCGGCATTTTCGCAGCAAGGCCCTGTAGAGCGTGAGTTCCCCCGAATAGATGTCGTCGCAAGTAAGCGAGGAATGTTTCTGTTGTGGGGATGCATGTTGTCATGTCAGCAAGCCGGCCCTAATTCAAGAATTGAGAACGCTTTCGAATTTCTGTGACGGCTAAAGTTTCCTCTTATAATGTTCTTCTGTTGCATGCGCCCCACGGCAGATACATACATGATATATACACATGGGTATGGTTTTGGTTTTTGGGGTGGCGTGAGGAACGCTTTGCTCGGGCCCAGCTGGACACCTTAATGTCATAAGATATCACTCGTCAAGACCAACAGCCCAGATCCATTAATCCGTAACCCGGCCTTCGGCGCCTGTTCATGAACGTCCAACATCATATCATATCGAAACTCTACCGCTTCTAGCTTAGTTCAATGAACATATACAAATACATTCTGACTATCAACCTATGGTCTACCTTTGGAGTCGATCCCACTTCACGCTTAAGATAGTCTCGCCGATACCTTGCATGTTTGTTCATAGTAGACCTTAGTGTTCGAAAACGTCCACAGGTAGGTATGTACTCTAATCTTGCAATTGGTGCACCTCGACAAGATTTAGTTTCTACCATTTCGGCGGGAAACTGTTTACATGAGACACTCAAGTGCAGGTCTAACTCTCCTACCTACAACAATTCCCTCGGGCTCGCGCCACTAGCGCTAAACCGGAAATATCCGTCTTAAGTCAAAGTGAGTGATGCCCCATGACTCAATATTATTCAAACACGTTTCTTTTCTTAACACCATCTCGTATGTGATCCAAACGGGTACGACCCATCTCTACTGATCGAGCCTCATAGTAAAATTCATTGATAGATAAAAGGTCTCACTGGGGCGCCTGCAGGTGAGCTGTCGTATTTTATTTATTTCACATTGTGATATTTGGCGTGGTGGTGGTGGATGTCAATGATTTAAGACGGGCCGCTGACATGTGAGACGCTAGCGTGATCGTCAGGGGCATTGTTTCATACGGCTAAGCTGGCGATTAATACCAAATCAACAACTGGTTAGTTTATGATTTATTTATGTATACCAGATTGTACTCTAGAACAAACTGAGCCTAGAACACAGAAGATACACAATATCCAATTGAAAATATGGATATAGGTATTGTATTTCGTTGATCAAGAGTTAGTAAAATTATACTTGCATCAGTACCACATCGTATAACAACTCCTAAGGATAAAAGTTGATCATTGACAAAAGAAACAGACCCAGGCCAGGCCAGGCTGAGAAGCCATTAAAAACATTAATTACCCAAACGAAAAATTCAACTAAACAAGCCTCCCAAAAAAATACAAACCAAAAAAAATACAAACCCGCAAAACTTTTGATAGAAATACTGCGCTTACAAGATCCCTATTACCACAACAACAGCCGCCACTACACCCAGTAACGTTGTCATCTGAACCCCACCTACTCTTACCGCTGCATCCTCTACAGGTGCATCCAAACTCATCACAGAATCCACGCTACTGTTACCCGCCTGATCCGTCACATAGCACACTGTGCCCCGCTGCTCGTTGCCGCCTGCGAACTCACAGGCCCGATTAAAGACTTCGTCGTTGCCGGCCGCCGAGTCAGTGGTATTATAATACATGAGAATATATTCCACATCCATGTATACATCATTTGAGGATGGGGGGCCGGACCAACTGCCATTGTTGGCCCAGACGTTGAGTATTAATTTCCCTTCGTGAGTGGGGACGTTCTTTGTGATGTTGAGTACGTTTACGTTATTGACGTAAAAAGCGGAGAGGCCCTCAGACCAGTCGAAGCGGTGTTCGTGGAATTCATTCCATGGGCGGGCGAGCTGGTGTGTGAAGGCGGCGCCTGGAACTAATGTGTCGGTTGCGACTTCATATGCTGCAACGAGAGTCAGTATGAATTACTACCCAGGTGGAAGCCCAAAGGTGGAGAGCACATACATGGGTGATTTGTGTAGTGAATTGCGCGATCTCCGTCTTTCGTAAGAACTTCAATATCGGTTTCGTTCTGGTCATCCTGCGTAACATATCATGTTAATAAATCTATAATAAATTTATCAGAATAGTAGTACAATAGCTCACATAATATAGAAAGAACCCTGCCACCGATCCCCCAGTCGCTCCCTTTACTTGCACAACCCTATACCTCGCCCTGAAACTTCCATGGAAAAAGTTTTGATTTATACTTTGCAGCTCCGCAACCTGCACCGGCCCAGTGTCATTGACCCCATATCCTTTCTGCAGCAAATGTAGCAAGCCGTCCTTGATCCATACAGAGCTCATGGCATTCTGGCGGCCCAGTATACCGGTCTTTTTATCGGCTGCGAATTTGTATTCTTGGATTTCCCAGTCGGGGAGGGAGCGGGTGAGATTGACTCCGGTGGTAGTGTCGGGGAGGGCAGTGAAGTTGTTGGTGAATGTGTGGGTAAAGTACTGGTTAGTTGTCGTGAGGACGTAACCGCATTCGCAAACCGCGGCGGTGAAGGGGATGATGGTTAGGGTGCTTAATATTATCGAGAGGAATTGAGTGGATGGAAACTGGGGCTTCATTGCAGCAGTAGATGGAATGAACTGACTGGATCAAGGCAGAAAGACGTTGGGTTGGAGAAGTCTAGCTAGGAAGGCAATTAGGATAAGTAGGTAAAAATGAAAATAAACGAAAAATTATATTGATATGAAAAACACCGACAAAACAATGGAGTGCTGTGCTATACGAAAGAATTAAATACCAAAATGAAGGGGAGGTGGTGGGACCATATGTATGTATAAATAGTACGCTACCCTTCACATTGTCTTTCGAAGTTTGTATACCGTCCAATAGTATTGGGAAGCTAGATGTCAACAGAGTAACCCGTGTTACAGACTTGCATCGTTATCCTAGGCCCTAGAAGCATTCCCCGCCGAATAAGCTAGGCAGTAGACCTGCACGTAGTGATCCAGGAGAGGTATCTCTATGTATATACCAGGTACAGGCATGCATGCAGCACGAATAGACGCTACAGGCGCCACAACTCTTCTCCATGGAAATACCTACCAAATACCACAGGTGATATGTTGGTATGTATAGTACATACATACCCATACCACCTTCATCCCACAAACAACAAGAGAGCATGGTGCTATCATCCAGTCGGAGCCCAGGACTGCATGTAGCTCTTCTGTGTTGCTTCCGTGTCAGCACCTGCCGGCAAACACAGCCCCGAGGAGAGATCGTAGCTCAGGGTACCTGGTTGCAGCATCAATCCCGTGCTACACCCTGACAGCCGATCGGATTCCCAGGGGCACCAACGCCAAGCATCTTAGAGTAGGGCAGTGGAAGCGGTTCTGCAGCGACAAGCAATGGACAACAACACGAGGCCGCAGTGCCGCAAAACCCGGGGGAGGGAGGAGGGAGGGAGGAGGGAGGAGGGAGGGGAATTAGCCAGACACAATTTCTTAACATTCCCCAGAGTGAGATGTGAGACGTGATGATCATGGTTGTACATAGAGTACAGAAGAAGAAGAGTTCGAGAGTGGTAGTATTATTCTACGGTCTGACCTATGAATCGATGACGTTTGATAGAAACATCGGCAATCCCCTTTAGGGGAAATTTTAGATAGAGTGGGTGTGCAATAAGGTGTCTTCTGGACACATCATTCAATCTATGTATGTAGTTATACGTTCCACGATACACATACCTTTCTTAAAATGGCTGGTACAAGGTGAACCAAATTGACTCGGTTCTTATCATGATGTATGTGTAGGATGTCAATTTACATACATGTGCTCTATGATGTACTTAATTAGAATGTAAAAAAGACAGGGTTTTAAGGCTCTTGGCCTCCTACTCCACCCTCAGGTCGATGTTCGTTTAACTCTAATATTCGCTATTGACCCCCAAGGGGGTTAGATAATGCTTGTCAAGGGCGCGGAAGGATCTCCATGGCGTCATGGCTTTTCAGCCGCAATAATCACTGGCTCGTGCCCTACAAATACCATGGAGCCACTACTACATACAAGTATGAAAAGCTCCAGCTCTACGCCCAGCCATGCATCATCCACGTAGAACAATATACACGAAACTTCAGTAACGTCCATTTTACGATGGTTACTCTGCATATAAACACCCGGCACTTATATATACTATATGTACCTACATATATTTTTGCCTAATCCCTGGGATGGTTAGACTCCTAGCTAGGTAGGCTTCGATCGAGATTGTAGGTATTGGGCAATACTGATTTCGAATTCTGCCACAGCAGAAAAAAATATCTAAAAAAAAAAAGAGAGAGAGAAAAAGAGAGGCAGCCAGGGACTTCCCCGGCCTATCTTTTCCCTCGCGATCGATGATCACTTTTTTTTTTTTTTTTTTTTTACAGAAAGGCTCTACTGAATTCATTATTTTATTCTGTACAAACATGTACTAGTACTGCGCATGCGCATGCAACAAGGTAGATGGCTTTCACATGCTCCTCGAATCAGCGAAGCGAGTACGCGAAGGGCACGGGGAATCTCAATTCGTATACTAAGGCCGAGGAACATTTGGAGCTGAGATCTCACACCGTATCGATCCTGACCGGCGAATCACTACCAGAACCGTCTGCCTGGGCCGATTGCTTCTTTTTTGTGATCCTAAAATCTGTCCGGAAGTTGAGCTTCCCGCTGGTATAATAGGCCTGTGTGCGGTTGATCATGTTAGCTCATATATATTTACTTAACTGGAGGAGAAAGGGGGAGAAGGTGCACAGACAGTTGGGAAGACTGTCACAAAACTCAGTAGGCCTAATGAGTGATATCAGAATCTCAATGTTAGTAATTGTGCACTAGTAAATACATATACATGTAGTCCAGTATCATGTAGGGATCACACCTAGCGACCAAGTCATAGTACCCCATCCAGCCGCGTCTTTTACAAATCCGGCTGTTACACACGGGTGATCAGCAAATTGTTACCATTAAATACGTGTGTTACCAGTAACATGGATTTACCCCACAGCGGGCCAACCAATGTTCCAGCGCTCCAGGCCACGTTATACAAGCCATACTATTGAACTTAGTATCTCAATATCAATGTCAACATTACCAAAAAAAAATGGAGTGACTTACACCCTGCGCATAGGCCCCGTTATTTCCAAATCTGCCTGGCTTCTTTTCCTCTAGCCCCTGAAGGATGAATGTAATCTCAGCCATCGCTGGTGGAGTTATCATTATGAAGGATACACCAAGTAGGGCTAAAAGAGCACACATCAATACGATACTGCCCGTTGAATCATCGGTCGGTAGTCTCAGCAAGATGAAAAAGGGGCAACAGAGAATGAAACCCGTGGTTTCGATCCATCGATGGCTGTATTTATCGCACACCCATCCTACAGCTCATTTCATTAGTGGTGTTTGAGAATAGAGGGAGACCTTCTACGTACCAACCAATGGCGCCAATAGAGCAGGGACTACGATAGCAAGGAATATCAATCCGGCACCAACCGGGCCGAAATGGAAGTTCTCGTGTGTATAGAGCGGTAAAGAGGCTTCGAGGGAGGTCAAAAGAGTTGCTTCAGCCATGCATGCCCATAGGGCAGCAAGAAGGCGGGGATAACGGAGGAGCGTTATGACAGCGGGTAGTTTTGAAGATTTCTTATTCGTTGTTGTGAAACCTGCAATTCCGGTATCCTTGGGGTTGGCTGCTGTGTCGTTGAGTATCAATGATCGTTTTGACTACTACATTTTGGTTGAGCTAATAGGTGAACTCACGAATATCGGGCTTTGCTTCTTTCTCTTCCTTATCGGTGCTAACCGCGTTAGGAGACAGTGAGACCTCCACTTGCTCATTTACGTCGAGTGGTACAGTGTAAAGCATTGCTACTTTTTTCTCAATGAGGACGAGGCGCCAGAGAATGTCGACGCCGATCTAAGAACAACCGTTAGAGCCAATGGCAACCTCTTAGCCACACGGGTCGGAATTACAAGTACGAATGCCATTGCGAAAACTAGATGATCAAATGTTAGCATGCTTCTTATTAATAATTTCAAGGGGGTGGTATACCAGCATAATATCCACCTCTAGAAGAAACATTGCCATATACATATTAGCATTCATCCATTCAATTCGCCCCATGAATAACTTACCGATCATACACTATGCCGCCTAACAATGGCGCTAAGAAAGTCGCAGCACTCAACGCAGCGCTTACAATTCCCATACTTCTTGCGATCTCGTCCTTCCCAACTGTATCTACCAGCAAAGCCAACCCAACCACCCATACAATTGCCGCAGAAATTCCCTGGAATAATCGACCGAGAATAAATAGGACAATATTTTTACCAATACATAGCATTATAGTCGAAGCGGCAAGAGCTGCCAAACCACAGAGGAGAGGTCCACGCCGCGTTGTTGTGCGGTCGGCAAAATAACCACAGATGGCTTGAGGTAAATGATCGTAAGAATTAGACAGTTTTGGGGAGCTTAGTTATATAAATTACTTACGAGAAGCGACAAGAAGACCCCCGCCATAGACGGCCAAGAGAACTGAAACCCATGTTTGCACGTCTGGATGTGAATATTAGCGAACGGTAATTTAGGCATTGCTATATAGCGCTTGATATACTATACCATCAGGATGGATATTTGCCCGCGATTCAAGAGCAAAAGGAAATACGGGGACAACCTAATGACATCACGGAGCGCAATTAGTTTTCGACTTGGACATTGTGCGAGCCTCATTATTCAAGGTAATGTTACCAATCCGTAAAGGAAAATATCCTATAAGAGTTTTACATATTAACAGTTGCTAAATGGCCGAAATTAAAGCGAGAAAAAGCAAAAAGGAAGGGAAAAACGAACAGTAAAAATCGCCATAGCAACTGCACATATAATGAAAGTCTTACTGCTTCTGAACTTCAGAAGTATAGGCGGTCGCAGCCTCACAGCGTCATTCCCTTGCTGTTGCTTCTTCTGCCAGAAACGTAGAGATTGCATCTCAAGCTGTCTAAACCTCAATTCCCGAGTTTGTCTCTCTGTGTGTGGTGTATGCACGCCGCTTGCCGGTCGGAGTCTCACGGGAGCCCTTGATGGTCCCGGTATCGCGTTCTCACACTTCCCAAGATTGCTACTCGAAGGATGAACGACGGTTGGGGCTGCTGGCGGAGTGAGAACTGGTGATCGTGCAACTTTGGCGGAAATCGGATCAGTAGCCAATTCAAATGAATCCGGAGCTGGTGTTCTAGCACTAGAATTAGCACTAGAATAAATACAACTCAAGCTTTACGGCAACAAAACTCTTTTTTAAAGGAGCTCTATCTAGCGCCGCGCCGAGAAATTGACTACAACAACGCCACCGGGCCCCGTTTCTCCCGAATTCATTGTTACTCATGCCTCCTGCTTACCAACGATTTTCGATTCTCTGTTTAATGCTAATGTGGGGGGTGCGTATATCTCAGCATTGGTTACATCCTTGTCCGTTGCCCCGGTCTCCGGAAACTGAGAACAGACAAATTATGAAAGTTTTGCAGGATCGGAAGGTGGAGGCGTTTATTCCAAACGTCACAAGGATCCAAAAGAAGTTCTCGAATCATTGCCTGCATTAAGTTTAAGAGGATGTATGCACGAGTATCTACCCGCATACATGGAGTTTGGGACCGATTTCCATCTCGTATCGACGTTCTGCGCTGCATGAGTTTAACGCCATGCAGCATTTATAATGGGAGAAAACATCATATATTCTCGGCTATAGCGCGTCTCAGAATATTGGAATCTGGTGTTTGTATATCCGAATTCCGTACCAATCACGCCAGTTTATCTATCGGGAATCATCGTTGGTTCAACGCCGCAATTGCATGTCGATAGCATTACTAGGCCTCAGAGTCATTTATTAAACATCATTAGGGCTACAGACATCAGTTAGACACACATTATATCGGACATACATGTATCTATGACATAGGATTTTAGCTCTGGACCAGATACTTTATATTCGTGAGTCATGTTTCAGATCTTGATCTTCATCAGGCCCAACGCACTTCTTTTCCCCGTTGGACAGCGCAACTGGTCTTTCAAATCAGTTCGTATACCGCTGTATTTGAGAAAATTCATTGCGCTGTAGTAGGGGTATGAGCCAACCAGAGGCAGTATTTCGACGTCAATATGCAAGATTTGGTAGAGAAGACCCCGGCTGCAGCGCAACGAATTTTCTCAAATACAGCGGTACTGCAAGAATCACGTATGTATGTAGCATGGCTCTCAAGGCGTGCGGGTGTACCCGAAACAACCTCAACCGAGAGTGCGGCACCTGGTGATGAACGCACATGGCAGTACTCTTGCTTTATATCGGTTTGGCAGTCTTGTGAATCTAGAGCAGATTTGCCTGCTTCTAAATATCAGATATCAGATTGCACTTTTCTTTTCATTCCCCAGGTAACATCTCCGCTCGGGAGAGCAACCGGTGGCCGTAAAAAGCCGAGTCAGCCGTAGCTGAACACGCACTGTACATAGCCGTTACCTGAAAGAGGTTACTGTAGGCTTAACTATTTCCTGGGGTCCAGACGGATTGCTGGGTTTAGTCGGTATTCGACCAAGTGAGATCCAGAGGAAATGATCTAACTATAATATAAAACCAAGGGAGGTATAAGTTAGCGGGGCCGCAATCTTCGTAAAGTAATATTCTTTTACTATAAAAACCTTGAACGCTACACTAGTGCTCGTGGAGGTTCAAATAAATATAAAGGTGCCGGCGGGAGACGACATTTCGTAGGAATATGACTTGTGACTTGGCTATTTGCAGCAAGACACTCGAGGATCATATAATCTAGATCCTATCTACCTTGTATTTACTGGAGATGAGGGCCACTTCATTTATTAAGTTCTGCATCTGTCTGCCCGCAGTCCGACAGGAGAAACCGGGGTGTAGGTATTTGCTATGGCCATGAATTGTCCGCCCGGTTCTATATGGATCTTTGCATAGAGGCAAAATTGCTAACCCTTCTAGAGCACTGCATCGTTACTAAAGAAGCTCGAGATGCGCAATATTATAACGGTATTGTTGGATTGCACCTTCCGGTTTGTTAGCCGGTATGAATGAAACCGAGATGTGTCACTTAATTACACTTTGCACAGTCTTTGCATGAGGAAGTAAGCAGATCACATGCCTTGGGTTTAGAGGTGTTTGTGGATGCCACAAAGACCAGTAGGAACACTAGGATAATGAGTTCATCTTTATCCATAGAATTATCAGGCCCCAGAGATCGTGTTAAATCCAAAGCACGGACGTTTAGAAGATGTATAGTACCTGTACCCGTACCGTACCCGGGGCCGGCCAACTTAACTCGCGATATCAGTACCTAGGGTGCACTATATACGTAGGCCTATTCAAATTATAGCCAGCAGTTCAACGTTATATAGTACATGTATGTATGCATGTATGGCGTATCTAGTGGTCCATCACTGAGTCGCATGTAATATAGTGTTTGCTGTCCATTGGAAATGTTGAGGACTTAGATTTAGAAGCCCTACGTAGGGTAAGAAAAGAATACCTGTACATACTACCGTAAAATCTCAAGTTATTCGGGGGGTTGCCAAGCCACCTGCTAAACCACATTTAGTTTAGATTCTGCAGAAGAGCGCTGTTTTCGAAACACGTAACCATTAACTTTGAAAATTATGTAGCCTCTTAATTAAGACATTACATGTATATTAAATTATAATGTCGGTTGATTTTGCATGCCTATTGTTGGTAATGTATTCGGGCCCAAGCCAAAGCTCGAAGATAATCTAGGCAATTTGTAACTTCGATTTAAGTTATACATTTACATTGCATGCTTGTACTAGATACAGTACCAAAGAAGTTAATTTAATAGAATTGGATATACTGTAGTAATATACAGAACTGTGTAACTCTCCGCAAAATCAGAATCTTATGAGCTATTATATATATACCTAGCAGTACTGCATGCACAGCAACACCCCAGTCTCGCGGTATTCTGCCAGATAAAATATTGAATCCACCCGCTTTCTGTTACTGTACACACCATATGTACACTTCTTCAGTCTATCCTACAATGGTTTGTGGCAGTCACGGAAGAAAAAAAAAAGTAGCTGGAAAACGGACTTAATCACAGATTATCACTCGGTAAATATGGGAATTGAGTTGGGTCCATTTGCCTTATGGTAAAATCTACATGTACTTTCAAGCCTTTTGGAGGGTTCATACATGTACATGTATGTTCTTTAGCAAGAACAAAATTGGATACAGTTGTGGGTTGTGGCATGCGCAACTAGATTTCAGTGCGGGTATTTTACTCGGTAATAATCCTTGTCTGCACTAGTAGCGGGAGTACCCACAAAAGAGCCGCACTAAAAATCACTAAAATCGGCTTTGAATCGGAAGCTTGCCGATTGGTTACTGTATTCTACTCGCCGCTACACGTCATAGCAAGGCCAGCCATGAGGTCCATTTGTATCTGTTACCTAGAGTACAGCTATGTACTACTTATTAGCAAGGAATCATGAATTACGAAGGCTTAGAAAGGTCAAGTAGAATGGTACTTTATCGGTTTAGACACCGAGTAGTGTACGTTATTTGACTCCGTGCAAGTAAGAAACCCTCTATTATTGGGCCGGCCCAAGACCTGACTGTAGACTACATGTACCTACCCCCTAAACAATACCAACATTCAATGACGTCATAAACTCACTCTTCCATCATGCCATCTTTACCCCACTCGAAAGAATCCAGTATATAATCCCTCACTCCTTTGTTTAAGAAACGGCCAATTTTCATGATTCCTCTTCTCCGCATGCAAATCACGCGCCAGCTCTTGAACAGCACACGTAACATTGCCCATCTCCCTATCTTCGGACGTCGCCTCGCTATTTCTGCTTCACCCATTTCTGTAAAAGGTTCAATTTTAACAAGAACAATGGCTACAGTCCAGGAATATCGTCTTAAAGTTGATAATGAGGAACTCAAGAACGGCCAAAAGAAAGAGGCAGAGGTTGAGGGAATCGAAGGAGCGAAGGTTGTGCTTCTTAAGGTTAATGACCAGCTACGAGCTCTGGGCCCCAAGTGTACCCGTAGGTTCACCACCCCCGTATCCTCACTTACCATACTAACCGAGTTTAGATTATGGCGCCCCATTAATCAAAGGCGTCGTAGCCGGCGATGGCCGTATAACCTGTCCCTGGCACGGTGCCTGCTTCAATACGTCTACAGGCGATATTGAAAATGCTCCAGCTCTCGACCACCTTGCCTCATTCCCTGTTTCTATCAAGAACGGCTCAGTATATATCACCGGCACCGAAGCCCTCATAAAGGCTGGCCGTCGTAAGCCAGATATCGCCTGTAAACCAGTTACTACTGCTGGCTCCGAAAGTGTCCTGATAGTTGGTGGCGGATCTGGTGCGATCGGGGCGATTGAAGGTCTTCGTGAGAAGGGCTTTAAGGGCGGCATTACTGTTCTTTCGAAAGAGACCTATTTACCAATCGATAGGACGAAACTTAGCAAGGCATTAATTTCAGATGCAAAGAAGGTTGAATGGAGGGATCAGGCTCACTTTAGTAAGGCTGGAGTCGACTTCCATCTTGGTGTTGAAGTAGCCAGCGTGGACTTTAAGGCACATAAAATTCACACGAAAGATGGTGGAGAGTGGAGCTATGGTAAAGTTCTGTTTGCGACTGGAGGAACACCAAAGAACTTGCCTATGGATGGCTTCAAAGAATTGGGTAATATATTTTCCTTGCGAGGATTGAGTGATGTAGAAGCTATCAATAAAGCTGTTGGCGAGAATAAAGGACGAAAAGTTGTCGTTGTGGGGACAGGTTTTATTGGTAAGTGATCCTATTCTTGGAACTGTGGGAGCGGGGGTTCAAACTAGATATTAACAAGTATTAATTATTTCATAGGGATGGAAGTATCCAAGTGTCTCGCAGGAAAAGGTCACGACCTGACTGTCATCGGCATGGAGGAATACCCATTAGAACGTGTGATGGGCGCGCAGCTTGGAAAAATTTTCCAACGTCAACTCGAAGAAGCAGGTGTCAAATTCAAGATGTCTGCCAGTGTCGAGTCCGCAGTTCCCTCATCATCAGATTCCAGTAAAGTGGGGTACATTGCTCTCAAGGGCGGCGAGAAGATTGAAGCCGATCTTGTCATTTTGGGGATTGGTGTTGCGCCGGCAACCGAGTATCTAAAGAACAGTGGTGTGAAGCTTGAGGAAGATGGAAGTGTCCTCGTTGATGAGTATTTCAAAGTTAAGGGTGTTGAAGATGCCTATGCTGTTGGTAAGCAACCAATCGTCCTTGAGTGAATAAACAGTGCTAACAAAGCCGTGAAGGCGACATTGCAACTTATCCTTACCATGGCCCCGGATCCGACTCCTCTACAACTGTCCGCGTAGAACACTGGAACGTCGCGCAAAACGCTGGGCGCCAGGCTGCACTCCACATTGCTAAATCAGAGAAGCCGGTCCATTTCATACCCATTTTCTGGTCTGCACTCGGTGCCCAGCTACGCTATTGTGGTGCCACACCGAACGGATTTGACGACGTAGTTGTGAAGGGAAATCAGGATAAATATTCCTTTGCTGCATACTTCACACTTGGAGAAGCCGTCGTTGCGGTGGCGACAATGCAGATGGACCCAGTTGCTATGCAGTGCGCAGAGCTGATGAGAAGGGGGATGATGCCAGGGAAAAAGGATATTATTGGTGGTGCGGATGTGTTGCAGGTGGAAGTCCCGTCCGGGGTTGCAATTTAAGCGAGTGATAGCCTGTGGAACGAGATTAAGATGTTACTCAACTCCATGTTTAGCTTGTTCTATGGTTTTCTCTTGCTAAGTAGGTTTTTTCATGTCGAAATTCGACCTATGTCTAATCTATTACACTTATGTTTTGTCGGGACTTTAGCATACGGTACATACGGTTTTGTTCCTTGAATACAATGTTTCTCGAAACACATAACCTCGGAACTTAATGCAACCAGTTTATGCTAGCCCATTTTGACGAAGTGGTAACTACATAATATAGGTATGAATGGTGAGGTCAACTGGGATTCCAAGCGACCAAATGTATTCTACAGAGTTTGGAAATGAATCAGGGGATGTGTATGGCCAAACGGACGAGTATCAATCAATTCGCCAGCCAGGCCCTTCAATTGTGTCGGTAATGTGTACCTCGCCAGCAAGTATCTGTATTAGCGATGTGTAATTGATGCCAAACAAAGTCTGTCTAACACACCCCTATGGTAATGTTTACCCATTATCCATGCCTCAGGGAAAGGTTGTCGAGGGTGCCGTAATTAGGGAAACAAGGATGAATGAAGTAACAAAGCACGAGGAAAAGGTGTTGATTTTGGGCCTCCGAGACTGGGAGTTATGCTTGGTGTTGTGGTTCATGGCTGGCTTTGGGCTGGTGTCACGTGCGTCGCGGGGTACTTATGATGGAAGTTTCTGGTATCAGTTATGCTATGAATCATACGGGATACTAACAAGGCCCTTCTATGTAAAAAAATTCTTTTACAATATTCCTGTACCTGCAAACAACAAAAAATTATCGAGTGATATAGCGTGATTTAACCTTCGTTTCGGGAACTCTTGGGCACAGTCAAGAGCCGAATCAGTGGCTCTACTGTGGATAAGATTCCGCAAGAGTCTCTACATAATACACTGCTTTATAGTGGTCCGTTATGGATTATATACAGCTACATGGAGATTATGTAGCTTATACTGGCCAGTTTGAGACTGCCACTCCCCGAAAATTTCTGTGGTTTTAAGCGTATACGTATCTGCATATATGCTCTGAAATCGGGGCGGCCTGTAAATGTTGCTGGTGCTGGCGGGGCAGGAGTATTTATAACTATCTCGTAGGTTGGTTATGTATTGCGGGTTATCAATTATCTGGACGCTTGAGCTCGCGTCGATCGCAACCACACAAATTGGCATTTTGAAACCACTTCAATTGAGCTTATATTTAAGCTTAAGATAATAGAAGCATAAGAAATCACAGAAATCAAATCTCCTGTACTCTCTCCTTGTGGTTGTGGAGAAAGGCGACGTTGAAGTTGGAAATTTGGTTGCAACGATGTCCGGATAGTTTTGATAACTCGCAATATCAATACCTAGAGCCCAGATTTCCGAGTTCAATACCAGGTAGGTAAACACATACATGTATATATACATAACTCAAGATAGAATCGATACTCTTTAGGGTTATTAATTACATATACCGTATTAGCGCTAGCTCTTTACCCACCTTTCTTTAAATATATATAACAAAACCAGTCGTCCACGAACTATATTGGGGGGTGGCTAGTCATTCTCTATTGTAAGTCATAGGATACATGTAGTTTACGAATAGTTCCGGACATCGGTAGTAGGTGCAATCCCAGCCGGGCCTGAATATTAGGTACATGTACATGTACATGTATTCAATGGATCTTTTCAGCGATATGGTGGCTAGCGCTGTTATATGCGGTAACATTGTGACTGTTAGTGTCCAAAGTGAGCCAAGCGAACACAAACAGCGAGGTTACTCAAGTAAGGTGAATACAAACACAATCTAGATTTTATATCATATCATGTACTTTTATAAACTGATACTTTGTTGGATTAATCAAATAATCAATCATATTTCACGCGTCTAATGAATCAATAAATCAATAAATCTCATCGTGATATCGTGTCATGCACAATCACTCGACAGCAGAGGTAACGCTAAGCCACAAGGATTGTTGGCGCTAGTGGTTGTGTGTTGGTTGGCAGGGCAACCACCACGTCTAGCTGTTTATCATTTTTAGCAAAGCCGTTCTCTCTCTCAACCTCCTCCACAGCCGCTTTCCTCTGCTTTTTCACTATTCCCGCTTATTTCTAACCCACTTCAAGAAAACCCACAAATCCTTCGAAAACAAACACCAAAACTGTCACTATGGATAACGACGCCGAAAACAGCTCTTCAGCCCCCACTGCCCCCAATGCCAAAAGCGCCGGTCCGTCTGGTATCAACGCTGGGCAATCAGTGTCTAAGCGTCTTCAGCAGGAACTAATGCAACTAATGGTAACTTCCTCCCCCGCCTGTTCTGGGAATTACAACCTTTAATTCAGTAGCAGACGAACTCCACCCCTGGAATCTCTGCGTTCCCACAAAATGGCAATCTTCTATCGTGGACTGGAACCATCCATGGTCCAGCAGAGACACCTTACGATGGGCTCGTCTTCAAGCTCTCTCTCGAGTTCCCGTCAAACTACCCTATGTCTCCTCCAACGGTGTTGTTCACTACGCCCATGTTCCATCCTAATGTTGACATGGCGGGGAGGATCTGTTTGGATATCTTGAAAGACAAGTGGAGCGCAGTTTACAACGTACAGTCGATTTTGCTGTCACTGCAATCGTTACTTGGAGAGCCGAACAAGTAAATATCTTCACTGAATAACTCAAGAAAACAGTAACTAACAACAAATAGCAAATCGCCTCTCAACGGACAGGCTGCAGAGCTTTGGGATAAGGATCCCAAAGAATACAAACGTCTCCTCATGCTCCGTCACCAAGAAGCCGAAGACTAGGGTCTTCCCTTTTAGTTAGTTGGAATATGGCCGCGGCAATTGCATTCAGCTTTTAGCCTTGTTTTTTCTTTCTTTTTTTTCTTTCCCTCTCTCTTCTCGTAGGTCATTGTCGGGTCTAATGGGCTGGCTAGCTCGTTGTTTAGAGTTGCAACATTCAAGACTCAGCGGATACCCAGATTTTTCTGAATGGTGATAGCGTGGAGTTGGGAACTGGAATCATTGGAGTAATGGAGTAGTCATGAAACACGTGTAGGGGACGAATTAATGAATGAATTAGTTTTTATAGGTTACTTGAGTCTGGGTGTGTCATGTGATATTTCTTCGTTGAGAACTCTATCGATATGGCAGAACCTACTATCCACCAGAAATGAACTCAACCTGCCCCATATGCGTAAAGTGCCAGCAAATACCCATGCGTTTCATGTAGTCATGCCCCGCGAGCACATCACCACATGTGAGTTTCCTTCTAGAACACCCCTCCCCCCTAAGATACCGAAAACCGAAAAACATATGTATCCCCTCTCTCAGATTAACCAATAGCGTCCCACCAAGTACCAAACCTGATAACAATTATGAAAGCAAAGAACTTGAAAAAAAGGTACCGAGAAATACCGTATCGTTACATACAGCCCCACTCACACCAGGCCGGGCTACCGTTCTAATTGATAGTCCTTCCAGCGACTAACAGTACCTAGAAAGAAAAGAAAAAAAGGGAGAAAAAAAAATCTAACCAAAGCCCCGCCCCCAAAACAGAACCAAAAGAAATAAGAATCCAAATAGAAAGTCCACAGCTTTTTGGTAAAAGGAAATAACGACAAAAGAAAAATATGCCTAAAGGGCAGTGATCAGAAGTAAGGAAATTTATACAGTGACCAATCTATACAGAAGAGGAATAAGTATTAGTACCCAAAGGCAACAAGATGCTGCTTGTCGGAAGAGATAGGAAAGAGACACGTCAAACTCAGTTCAAGAAATCGGAGTGACAAGCGAATGAAATTTGATTATCGGCTATTATTGATAATGATCCTGATTGGAGACGCTTGTACGGTTCTGGATAATGCAATATTAGTAACAAAGTAACTAGAAACGAAACGCAAGTTACTAACGTTTTTTTCCTTTCTTTTTGGTTATTATACCGCGAGCCTCTCGGATACATATGGCTGCTCAAAATGGTTGGGAGGGTCTATGTTCATCATATCGGGATGAATTCTGATCTCTGGGGTCTCAGAAGTAACCGACGGTGCTGCTGAGGCGACCTCAGGTGTAGTTCCAGGAGGAGGTGTTGGAGGGGCCGACGAATCAACCAAGGGGGCACCCCAAGTAGGGACAGACCACTGGACACCTGTAAAGGATTTCAAACGAAAAGTAGACTTCTCCCAACGTTTACATGGCCTTCCTGTGCGGTCTAAAGCACGGAGACCTGCATTGATGGCACCTTGATTTGCTTTGGGCCCAAGCTTGCCGTGGTTCGAGTGATGAGTCGCTGGGGAAGCGTTGGGGTCACTATATAATATGAGTATATGGTTTTATGCGAAAACAGACAGGAAAAAAATGAACTTACAGTTTAGTCCTCTTTCTTCCTGGCTTACTCGGCTGGGCACCTGGTTGCCTTCCACGTTTTGAGCCCGGTTTCGGGCCAGGGGTGCCCTTAGGCCTGTCCAAAGAAGGAGGTACTGGTGTCGCGTTCAAGTCTGAATTCATGGGCGACATAGCATCTACCTGCTGTGGTGGAGATACTGGAGCAGTCCCCGGGGTCAAATCTTGCGGAGATTTCGTAAGTGCATTCGCCGTCTGCGGAAAGTTTTTGAGATGGTCAGAGCCAAGCCGAAGTTTGATAATCAGCGACTGAGGAACCTTTGGCTTGGGTTTTGGTCCCGGCTTCTTGCGTTGTTTTGCTGGAGGAGGTGGAGGCGGCGGTGGAGGGGGTGGAGGAGCGACCCCAGATGAAGAAGTTGATGCTGATTCCCCCGGCGATGGAGGAAGCGAGGGCAGAGACGAACTTATCGAAGAATCCGAAGAGCCAGCCATTATACCGGAAACAAAATCTGTATGGTAATTAAATGTGGCGACGTTTCTGAGGGAAAAGAGTAGCAAAGATAGGCCACTCGATTCTTGATAGATTTTGTCGCACGAGGGCGATTTCGTTTTTCACTGGGGGTGGAGTGGAGCCGAGAATCAAGAATGACAGCTAGCGAGCAGGTGATGTGCGGTTGCTGTTGTAATAGTGATGATTGTGAGGCGAGAAGCGGTCACGGTGAAGCAAAAGACGATTATTGCGAAAGTGTTGCGGAGTTGGTGATGATGGTGATGGATGGTGGGAGGAAGGAGAGGAGAAGGGGAAAACAGGAGGCAAGCGGGAGAGGGAATGCATTTTATTATTGTGCTTGTTACTTTTAGTGGTGGTGGTAGCCGTGAGCACTGGAACTCTCTAGGGGTAAGGCCGAAGTCGGTTGGGGTTGGGTTTGGTGTGTGCGGCGGATGCCAGTGGGATGGCTGGGTGTGGAAGTGTGTGAAGCTTTGCGTTGCTCCCGTTGTTGCTGAGTCTCGGCCAAGAAGACCCGACACGACCTTCAGGATTGCCAGGAATCTACTCTGGATCGCTAAATAAATGGGTCGATGGGGGTAATAGCTTTCTAAATGAGGTCTTAGGCACAATTTTGTGTCGGGAAATACGGGTGAATTGGCGATAATTTGACAATACGCATTCTATCACCACCGGAGTCTTGACTTGGGGTTCCTGTGTTTATTTTCTGGGTACAGGGCCCTGGGTAGTCCTACTATATCCATAGCTATAGTAGATTTCATACTGCCCGGTGCTCTATGCAAATCTCTCAAAGAAAGGGGAAAAGGCAATAACGTCCATCTATATATGCAAATGTTTAAGTGTCAAAACCCACTTATAACCTCTCTTGCAGGATGGAGTACATGTGTATAAGTATATGTACTTTATCACCAGTAGCAATAATCTTAATGATAGTAGTAATTCTCGAGCAGTGATAGTATTAGTACACTTAATAGGATGTAAACGTACTTAACTACATGTACAGTACTTATATGGTAGTTTATGTACGTATGTAGCCATTATTTAGCAGTAGAAAGACATTTAATATTGGTCGTAGTAGGAACTTGAATCAGTAGCAGTAAGTGCATAGGTATTGTAGAGTAGAAGATGTAGATTAAAAGACAAACATCGTAATACTCTTCCTCTCCAATAAACTCTATATCTGTGCCGTTCGTTGCCCTCCACAATCGTATTCCTTCTCCTCCTCAGACATGCGTCTTTGTCCATCTGTCCTGGAAAAATCCTGGCACAGCCGACTCAGGCAAGTGTGCAACAAATTGCCTTTTATTATCCACGTCTTGGGTACGGCTACACACTCGCTCCACAATTCCAGCTTCGTGTGCGTTCTTTTTATCCTGGCCCCCTCCGAAGGCTACACTCCATCCATTGTTACTACTCTCGCGGCTGTTTCATTCGCTCCTGTAGAGCGATTTTCATTTGAGATTCATGCATGAATCTGTCCGTCATTTTTTTTCTAATTGGGATCCATGAATTTGATATTTTTATTTATTGCTTCCATCCTAGAACAAGAAGCGGACAGGTAGGCACGCAAGCATCAAGAAAAGTCGACATCCGCACCGGGGTTGGAGGGAAATCCCGGAATCATAAGGCAGGTTGGTAGTAGGTGCACGTATGTAGTTATTAAATGTAGAGTAACGACAGCAGAGCGCAATACAACCCAACAGGTACCTGGATAGGGCGAGGGGGGAAAAGTTCTCTCTGGCCAACTGGCGCACGAGACTCGAGCAGAGGGCAGAGCAGATCTCAAGAATGAGCATAGGGCGACATCATGTGGTACAAAGCCGCCATATAGGGATTAGCTTATGGAGTATTGGAAGCGCTATTGTCAGCGACATGCCAAGGTTGCACTGTCAATGAATAAGCTTGCTCGCATTGTATGTAGATGAGAGCCACAGGTGAGAGCGTCTCAGAACAGCAGGCGCCACGCAGTTCCCCAGCCCCACCATCCCATCACCACTTAAGACAAGGTCGCTTGAACATTTCCCCTCACGCCAGTTCTGGGTACATGTTACAAGGGTTGTGTTGAGTTACGTGCTTGCATTTGCTTTGAGCACTTGATCGCTTGCTCTCGGCCTTACGTTGCATACATACATTCATCGTAACTCTACACGACATCATTCTGCGCCTGCTGAGCAGAAGCTGCGAGAGATAGGCCAAGAAGAGAGTTTGAGTAAGAGAAAGTGAGAGTAACGACTGGAGAGAACGAGAAAAAGAAAAAGGGAACTTCTCAAAAGATCCACGGAGAAGAAATTACGGGGAACTCCTAGACAGATTGCCAGGCAGGTGGGCAACAAAGAGAGCCTCAAGATAGTTGCAGCTCTTCCTTTGCCTTTGCCTTTACCTATCACTTCACTAACGTACCCACTCAACTCGCTCGCTCCTACTCTGATCTTTACCTCCACCCGTCTTGCTGTCCTTAGCTTGGGTTCATCCTACTCCCACGATATACAGTATCCTACTGTGACTCTTTCGTGGCCATCTTACCCTCCCATCCTTTACCTGTTGTCTCCTCGCTCTATTCTCGTTCCCCGCCATCTACTCATTGTACCCTCTTTCGTTTCCCCCTCTCGCTCACTGTGCAGGAAAGGAAATAGTGAAAAGTGCCAGCCAGCATCAAGATTGGATTACCTGTTTAGAGCGAGCCAACCCACACGTCTCAAACTGTCTACCCGCTCCGTTTCGCGTAACCAGTCGTTATTGAAACTCGATCAAATCCGATTCCCTCCCCCCAAACAGTGGCACCCTGCGAGTTAGCAATTCTTCTTCCGACCTGGGTTTTTAGGACCAGTCCATGACAAACTCGATCCCAGCAGCCTCCAGTCAGGCTGCTACCACGATGTCTGGGTCATCTATCAGAAGGCCTGTTGTGGCACCTAGCGGTTCCTACGCCTCGGTCGTTGCTGGTCAAGCTCAACCTCGCCTCTATTCCGACGGGATCACCCACAACGGGACCGGAGTACATCCTCGGTATCTATCAAATTTTAACTTTGCAGGCTCGAACGGTTACACTTCAGGCCCGCAGCAACACAGTATTCGACAGCCTATTACGGTTCCTAGCTATCTTGCCGAGTCAAGTTACGCCGAACGACTAGCATCCTCCTCTGCCGTTTTTAATCCGATTCCTACGCCACCTCCATCTTTGACCATACCCGGAAAGCTACCGCAAACACATCGGGGGCTAGCGTACGATATCATTGAGAACGTCCCTGGAGACGAGGAGGCCCTAACACCATTACCGACCCGCTGGAATGAGAGCGACAAGTGCCCTGGGATAGATTTGTTGAATGATGGGTTGGAGGTGAAGTTTGTTGGTTCGTCCGCCGTTAGGAAATGATATTATTGAATGAATGTAGCTCTGGGAGGAATTGAACACTGACGCTTTTTTCTTCTTTTCTTCTGCTATCAGGTCCACAAAAAGTGAGTGACAACGATGCAGCTGCTGTCCGGGCAGATCAGTTTATGCCGCCTCAATGTGGTATATTCTATTATGAGATCACGGTTGTCTCTAAAGGGAAGGAAGGGTGAGCTATTCTCGAATCATTGGCATGCTCCGGAGACTGAGTTGTTGGACAGATTGATCGGCGTTGGGTTCTGCACCAAGAAGGTTCCTCTTAATCGATTACCGGGCTGGGAACCGGAGTCATGGGGGTACCATGGCGATGACGGGAACTCGTTCTGTTGTCAAGGAACTGGAAAGCAGTATGGTCCTCAATTTTCAACAAATGACGTTATCGGGTGTGGCGTGAACTTTCGGACCGGAACTGCGTTCTTCACTAAGAACGGCCTTTTCCTAAAAACTGCTTTCCGGGACATCAAGAGCACAAAACTATACCCGGCCGTAGGAATGAAACGACCCGGGGAGCATATTAGAGTCAACTTTGGGCAGGAGAGGTTCGTTTTTGATATTGACGGTTATATGAATGTAGGGTTCCAAGGCTATATCTTGATTATTTTCATACTAGGAGGTTCGATATTTTATTGATTGGATACTAACGTTTATAAATAACCAGGAGGAGAAAGCCGTGGTGTATAAAGAAATTAACAGCCACCCAACGGTTGGACTTTGCCCAGTAATGGATGAAGCAGCATTAATTCAAGCTCTGGTAGCGCAATATCTAGCACATGACGGATATGTCGACACCGCTAGAGCATTCTCAGCTGATGTTCAGAGCGAAGCACGAGCACTTGTGAGTGGGCGGGAAGAAAACACGAAAACTTTGGAGTTGAAAGAAGATGGAGATGCGATCAACCGCCAAAGTACGTCCATGAAAATTGAATCAGTATTATCCACATCAGTTGCATTAACCAATCACGTGACTATATAGGGATTCGTAGCGCGATCCTTGATGGTGATGTGGATCATGCGCTCAAATTCACCAAACAATATTACCCAAGCGTCTTCAAAAACAACGAACAAATCTACTTCAGACTACGCTGCCGAAAATTGGTGGAGATGATCAGACAGTTTGCAGAAACTGTACATGAACCCCCAATGCGCAATGGACACGACGAAACGATGGTTGATGTTTTTGCGCAGGACATGGAGATCGATGATTCGGCAAATTCCGCGGCGGAATGGGAAAAAATGGATGTTGAGGACGAGTATGGGAGTATAGGGCCTGGTACAGGTGGACAGGTGAAAAGTGCTCTTGACGCCGCAGTTGAGTATGGTCGACAATTGAGATTTGATTTCCAGACGGATACCAGACCAGAAATCAGAAAGGCGTTGGAGGAAGCATTCAGCCTATTGGCGTATACAGATCCAAAGAACTCCGTCCTTGCGCACTTGTTGGACGAAAAGGGCCGTATATCGGTTGCGGAGGAACTCAATTCAGCTATTCTAGGTGCGTAAATATTTCTACTATTTAAACAGAGACACGGCGCTAATTGTTTCTAGTCTCACTTGGTAAGTCTCCGGCAGCCGCATTGGAAAGACTTGTTCAACAATCTACAGTCTTGATCAATGAAATTAGTGAGGATGGGGGTCCTGGGGCGTTTGTTAATCTTAGTAACGATTACCTGAAAGGTTAAAAGTTCTGGGGACTTATTACTCTTAGTCCATACTTCAGGAATCGTGGGGGTGTACGGCATTTTTTGTTTTCTTGGCACATGGGTTTTTCGTTATTACAACATCCTTCTTTCCTCCTTCCTCAATTCTTTGTATCTGATCAACGTTTCCGTTTTCTCTGTTTTGTTGTATTATGGCAAGGGTTGCTTTCCTCAACATATTTACCTCAATCACACTGTTCAGGTATCTACAGCCAAAGAGAAATTATAGCTGTTACAGAGAATTTCCTTTCAGTCCCTACTCATCCCAGTTTTTTTTCTTTCCGGGCCCTGGTTGAAATTATAGGTAGTCAGAATTGCTTTGTGGAATTTTTTTTTTATTGACGGTAAAGTACCAGCTGCAGGGGTTCAGGTTGAGGCGATGACGATGAAAGAACCGAATTCCAATGTGAGATGTGTATTGTGACGAGTATTATGTGGGAATATGGTTGTTGTTTTTTCTTCCCTTTTTTCACTTCTCTTTTTCTTTTTTCTTTACCTTTTTTTTTCTCATCTCTTTGCATCTGTGCCTGTGGTAAAGTTGGGTACGTACATGGAAAATGTAAATAATATATGTAGTCCTGATTTTTTTATTTTTTTTTTCAGTCCTTCGTTTTTTTTCGCTTTGCCCGCCCGGGCCATGATGTGGCTTGTGGCAGCTGGCATGTCCGTAACGGCAACGTGCGTGGCTGTCAACCCCGCAGTCTCGTCCGAGCTTTTCGGCGCAAGCTGAAACAAGGACGGGGCTAGCCTAATTTAGTAGTTGTGCCCGGCCGAGTGATATCTGTGATGCGGCGGATGTGGTCCTTGCTGGAGAGTCCCGAATGCGTGTAATGATATATAGTGGTGGTCGGTTAGATTGGGATGGCCGGTGGGGATGGGTGATGTATCGGCTATATGTAGCTCTTGGCTACGGCGCTGATTCGATAATATGGGACCTGAACGTGGGTTCTCGCGGTGCTCTCTATGAGGTATATATTTGGGGAGATATCAATACTGTGATCGTAGGGGACGTATGTAGTTAGCGGAGAGGTGGCTATATACGTGCAGGTGGTGAATTTAGGCAGCTCGCTACACGATTACTGGAGGAATGATATAGCTTGCTCCGTTTTATGATTTATTCTAATTACATGTAGCCAAGAGACGTTTACTACCTGTTACTAGCTACCACCTACTACTACATATACATACCACATGAAGTTTTGTGAGCGAGGCCCTTGCAACTTTCAACCCCGCATACCAACTAGCCAGTGGGCCAACTACCAGATCGGGCACCAATCACGGTATATCACTCGACGATATACTCGCAGCGGCCGCGTGCTCTGTACCGCGGGGTTGAGTGCTAGAGGGTGGGCCAACAGATGGAGGGGCGCGGGGAATGGTGGAGGGGGGTGTGGCGTCTTTGGTGGTCGGTAATGAATGCTGTTTTACACGATATAGGTCTTTTTGGGGCCCGGGAAGGTCTTAGGAGACAGAAGGGCTAAAATAAAAAGAAATACGGATCCCTCTTAAACTCTCGGCGTCGCCCAGAGTCTAAGAGGGAATCTAGGGGGGGAAAAGGGATTAACAAAAAGCCTCTCTTGAATCTTAGGCCGAAGCACAAGATCCAAGAGAGGCGGGAAAGGAGGGGCCAAAGAAAACTACTAGAATCCCTCATCGATCCTCCGGCGCATCTCGCGATGCCCAAGAGGGAGGGGGACCAAAAAAAAAGCCCCTCTCGGACCTCAGGCCAAAGGCCCAAGATCCAAGAGAGGCAAATAAAATAAAATAAAATAAAATAAAAAATCCCCGGACCCGCAGAACAGCGCCGGGACAGAACGAACAAAAAAAAAAAAAAAAAAAAAAAAAAAAAAAGGTCCCCCTGGAGCACAAAGCCCAAGAGAGACCCACACAAACACACCTGCCGTGTCACCGCTCCCCTCCGAGATCCCTATCGGACCCTCGGCATCGCCCAAGGTCCAAGAGGGGGTGGAGGGGGGGCCCAAAAAAAAAAAAGGTCCCCCTTGGGCCTTACGCCCAAGAGAGACCCCACAAAAAAAAAATGATAAATAGGGTCTCCCGCGGGCTTTACGCCCGGGGAGACCCACAGAAAAAAGATCCCTCCCGCGAGGGAGGGGGGCCGGGGGAGGGCGGACGGCGGACGGCGGACGGCGGACGGGAGGCAGGCAGCGGATGGGGGCAGGAGGGGCAGGGGGAGGGGCAAGGGCAGGGGAGGCGGCCGGCGGACGGGGAGGAGGGCGGGCGACGAGAACTGTGGGGGGTGGGGGGGGGCACAGCACCCGGACGACTGGCGGGGGCGGCGACGCAGGAGCAGGCCAGAGAGAGGGCAAGGAGGCCAGGAGGGCCCACGGGACCGGGGACATCTCAACACCCCTCCTCCACCATCCCGGTGAAGGAGAGGGGCAACCAAAATCCTCCCCTGTCCCCGACATGGGCCCAACCCAAGCCCCAGCTCCCAACCCCCAACCCAGAGGCCCATGCCCCCCCCCCAAAAAAAAAAAAAACTCTCTACAAATCCCCCCTGGACCAAAAGGTCCAAGAGGGGCACACACAACTCTTCCCCCCACTTCCAGCTCTAGCCTCCTGGTGGAGGGGAGGGGAGTGGTGGGTTGTGTGATGAGAAGGGAAGAAGAGTGGTGGAGGAGTGGCTTTTATAGATTCGGGGAAAAGTGCCAAGGAGGAGTGCTAAGATTTGTTTTTGGCCGACGCCAAGATTGGGGTTTCGGGGTTTGGGGCTTAGTTTGGTGGGAGAAGGGTGGTGCGTGGGAGAGTGGGTGGGAGAGTGGGTCATGGGCTGTCACTCGGTGCCAAGACGGGGGAGGTGGGGGTGCGTGGGGATGGGGGATGGGGGAAGGTTGGAGGGACTGGAGGGTCGGTGGTGATTTATGGGTGATAGCGTTTTGGGGCTTATGATACTGTCTGAATGTCGGGGTTTCTTGCTGTTGGGCGGGGGACTGACGTGTGTATTGTTTGGTTACCGCCGGTGTCTGCGTAGGCGGTGGTCATGATTGACAGATTCTCCACTAGGGGTTGGAATTTTTATGTAGATTGTTAACTCGCATATACTTTGTCCTGCGCTACGTGCTTGTGGTTGGGTCGACGGGTGTGTGTATTAGAAAAAGGTGAGATGTACTTCTTGAAAACTCCCAGCTACTAACACTGAGGGTTGGTGTAAGGTGGTCTACATACATGTAGTAACGGTGCCCAGTACAGTCCAGCCTAGCTACATGTATATGTAGACGTGTCATCTTTATATCTATAGGTAGATAGGCTTTCATCCTCCTTCGTCATAGGGCTATTCATCCAGGTTACCTGTGGAGTCTTCCTACACTGCGACTACTCACTTCCTTGTGGGGCAGCAAGTAGCCGGCCTTCGAAAGCGAATGGAAATGGCGTGAAATGTTTGGCACTGTATTGGGGCTATCGGCTTCTGCGAGACCTGGTAAGATAACTGTACCTGTGGAGGTCATTATTGGCTTTTTTATACCTGCGGGGGTTGGGGGGGAGCAGGTGTGGGGAGAGGAAGTGTGCGTCTTGTCTGCCATCCAGCTTCGGGTTCCCTTTCAGGTAATCTTGGTGTGGGTAGGTGTAGAAACCACATATACTAAACTTCCCTCTCGTCATCACATATATCAATTACGGAGGCGTACAGCGTCGTTCTTTACAATTTTCCTACAAGGCTTATAGATGCAAAGCTTGGTCATATGCCCCTAACACTGTTAATTTATATATGTAGTGATTATTATTCGCACCGCTCACGGCCGCCAATGTGATCCGTGATTAGTTCTCATATATATATCCTAATTGATTATTGCAAGGGATGCGCCACGTTGAGTTGAGGGAAAGCATCGATCCGGAACCACCGTCCCAAAACACGCAACCGTGGCGAATAAAAAGCCGCCCACTGTCACTTGGAGTAAGGGCATATACATACATGTATATCCGACAAACCACCAGCCTTCATGAATCATTCCAGCCTCAGGATGTCATCTGCGATCATTTCCCGCGCCTTGTTTCACACACACACACACACACACACACACACATAAAACACAAACCCTAACCCTGGCATTCGGCTATCCCGGACGAACTACAAAATAAGCGACCGCGCGGGAGGAGGGTAATGGTGATTATATATTACTGCGGCGGAGAGGGGAGGGGCGGGGGGGGGGGGGGGGGGACGCGAGTCCTTTCAGCTGGTGATGGGTACGGGGTGGTGAGGCTTAGATGCGAAGAAGCTTATTTTGGTTTCGGGATTCGGAGGCCGGGGGAGGGTGGGCATTGCTACGTCGGATCCAGGTCACCCAACTGTAACAACAATAACGACCGGGAAATTGGATCCCGGGAGAGAAGGTGTGTGTGTGTGTATGTATGTATGTATTTAGGGGGGAATGTGGGATTGGCGGTGGGAAAGCTTTGCACTGGACGGCTTTGTTCTGAGCCGCAGACGTGGAGGAGTTGATCAGTTGGGCGGGATGAGCCCCGTCATGATCACTTGTGGAGAATTGATGTGCGGTGGCCTGTGGTGGTGATGCGTACAGGTAAGCATTTTTTGCAGTACGGTATGTGGGTTTCTGCGTACTATCATCACCCTCCTCCTTGATCTCGCCTTACAGAGAACAAGCTCCCCCCTCCCCTGCTGCAGTGGCAGTTTAGAGTTCTGACAGGCACCGACGGGGTCTTCTACTCGAGCTCTAGCTTTCGCTTGGTGACATCCCTGTTCAAGTATGGATCTATATATAGCGAGGCCTTCTCGGGATCCATCCATCATCTCATCTAGCTGCTGGCCGGATGATCGACCATCGTGGCTTGACATACATGTAGATGCTTTACACAACTGGGCACAGGAGGAGGAGGAGCTCACATATCCGCTCTCCTCTAATATCACTACATACCATCTGTGCGGCTCTCTCCACAAGCCTTTTCTCACCGGTTGTGCATGTGGAGACCTGAGTTGGATGGATCACCCAGAATCACTCGCCTGCCCCCGATTGGTTGGAGAGTGAGGGTGCCAAGACTGTCTGTGCCGATTGGATTGGGGAGCGCGGGGCTGTGCTGGTTGGGGGGATATTAGCCAGGACCTGGTCGGAGCACTCGGGGCGTGTCGGATTTCTACACAGTTTGCTGCTCTGTTGTAAATAGAAAATGTGAGCTTCTTTAATTATATAGTGTTCTACCTACATACAGTACTGAGTCTGTGTGTAAATAATGTAGCGAGGGTTGTTGCATCATCCGATGGTGTCACCGCCGCGCCCCACCATCAGAACACCGACCACCATCAGAACACAGACCGACCGACCGGTGCCGCGCCAAAAGTTGCAAGGCTGAAACTACATACAAGAGGAGAGGGGAGGTTACTGCTGCAACACTGAAGTCTGGGGATTTAAGAAAAACCCTTCAGCCAGGACAGACGGACATCTATTTCCACACCACCCCCACCACCCCCACCGGAACACTCACACACTACTGTCGATAAGCTGGAATTGGTCTACAAGCTACAGAAAGCAAGCTATCCACGACGAACCTCGCGAACAACTAGCTATGTCGTCGGTCAGGATCGAGCTCGATAACCGTGGGGGCACGTTTACGTGCTTGGACTATGTCACTGGGAGGGTATGTATCCCCTTTCCCTTGGGCCGTTCTGTTTCGTTAGCTTTCTGCGGTAGGGCTGATTTGGTTGGCGGACTAGGTCATCATGAACATCAACACCGAAGAAACAATCTCCTCCATCACCGTCAAGATGGAGGGCATCTCCCGCACCCGCCTCCTCCCGCCCAGAACCGAAGAAGGCCGCGACTCGAAGCGCGCTGAAATAGAGATACATCGAGTATATTCCCCCCTCACCTCCTCCCCCCCCACCCCCATCCACATCAAGCAGGCTAATGATGGAATGGCAAAATGTGATATAGCTCCTGTACCTGGTGGAAACCGTCTTCCCCTCTGCAGAGATCCGCGAAAATACGTCGGCCTCCCACACGGGATACACCCTCAAGGCTGGCCAGTACGAGTACCCGTTCCGCATCCGTATCCCGATCAACTCGAATTGTACGGAGGTCCAGGCTACCGGTGCGGGAGGTGGCTTGCTGCAGAAGATTAGCTTTGAGAAGGGGAATATCGATTTTGCAAAGAAGCCCACTAGGCATGTGGTCGGGACGCTGCCGCCGAGCTTGTCGGGTATCCCGGGTGATTTGGCGTGGATTAGGTATTTCTTGAAGGTGACGGTTAATAGGTGAGATTTTTTCTCTCTTTCTTTGAGGTGGGGGGTTTTTTTTGGGGGAGGGGGGGAAGTGTGAGAGCTGATTGGTGGATGTAGGCCGCAGTTTTATAGGATCAATATGCGTGCGGTATGTGTTTCTCCTGGTTCTGGTTCGTGAAGGTGGTATATATGGAGATACTGACTGCCACTCCCAGCACGACCCATTCGTCTTCCTCCCCATCGAGCCCCCGCGCGCCTCCCCGTCCGCAAAAGAAACCTACGCAAAGCGCCAGCACCAAATGATCTACACCCCCAGCCCCACCTCCCCCTCACCACCGAAGAAGCGAGGCGGCATCCTCGGCGCCTTCCGCCCCACCGTCTCCGCCCCCGCAACACCGCTCGACCCCCCCGAAACACACCACGTCCACTTCTCGATCGAAGTGCGCCTTCCCGCGCCGCCCATCCTGGTCCCCAACACCCCGCTCCCGCTCAGAATCATACTCACGAAGCTGCAGCCGTACCGCCAGCCGGTGTTTATAAGGAGCCTCCAGATTGTGCTCCATGCGTACACGGAGATCACGGCGCATGAGCTGCGTAAGACGGACCATAGCGTGATACCCGTGCTGAGTCTGGGCGAGCTGAGGACGCCCCTGGGTGCGGAGTATAGTCCGGTGGGGGTGGAGCTTGAGGCAGACCCGCATCTGTGGATGGGCGCGAGTCTGCCGGATACGGTGCCGCCGGCGTTTAGGACGTGTAATATATGGAGGACGTATCAGCTCGAGGTGATCATGGGGCTGTCGCATGGGTTTCTGGGGCCGATTGAGGTAATCCCCCCGCTCCCTCTTCCCGGATGGTATAGAAGGAAAAAAAACTGACGCGGTGTTGTGCAACAGATGATACCACTTACCATGCCGATAGAAGTATACTCCGGCATCGCCCCGCCGCAGAAACTCCTCGACTCAACAAGACCGCCGCTGATGCCACCGCCGCGCAAAGCGCTCTCAGCGGGCAAGTCCGCAACGTCGCTTACTGTCCCGACGGCGGGCGTGTATCCGGTCAGCTACTCGGAGAAGAACACGCCCATGTCCTCGCCGGTGGTGCCGGACTTTCCGAAGAGGTCGCATTCGTTCTCGGGGGAGGCGCAGATGATGATGCCGCCGGCGCAGGTGGCGGCGGTGTCGCGGCCGCATAGTAGTGCTGGTGGGGAGAGGGCAGGAGGGGGAGGGGATGAGTTGCCGCCGCCGACGTATGAGGATGCGTTGGCGGAGGATATTGGGCCGGTGGATGGGCCGAGGAGGAGGTATGAGCAGCAGGGGGAGTATTATGGGGCGTTGCCGGATGATGTTAGGTAGTGGCCTTTTGGGGGAGTTTAGGGCGGTTGGAGCTGGACTCGCGGGGCGCGGAGTGCTGGCGGGGGGTTTTTTGGGGGGGGGGTTTAGTTTTTCTCTTTTTCTTTTGTTAGTAATTTTATCTTTTTAAAATCTTTCTTTTTTCTCTTTTATTTTTCTGTTTACTACTATCTTTTTTATTTCTATTTCTTTCGGCTGTTTCTATTGTGGTATTTTGTTGTCCGACTGTCCTGTACTGTCTATCTATGTCTATGTCTATGTCCTAATTAGAAACCCCCCCCCCCCCCCCAAACCTCCCTCTCCTCTAGGAGTATTATGGGGGGGCGGGGGAAAGGGTGATAATGGTTGTATCATTGCGCAAAACAACGCCTTCTCACTCTGTCTCTCTCGCCCGATGTGTCTAGGGTCAATGTGGCAAGGGTAGGTCAATGATCGAATTACACCATTTACCCCCACCCCCACCCCCACCCCCCCCCCCCCAAAACCTTATATGCGATTTATGTTGTGTGGTGCGAGACTTCAATGAGGTGCTGTCAATGTCAGGATCGCAGTTTTTTTCTTCTTTTTTCCTCTTCCTTTTCTTCCTTTGCACAAGACCAAGCCGATAGGGGGGTGGGGTGGGGTGGGGATGGGGGTGTCAATGATACGAAAAACTGAAACTGAAACTAAAACACCATCTTCTACGTATAGTACATACTTCCGTCGTCCCGGGCCCCCGGGGACAGAGAGAGAGAGAGAGAGAGGTGGTAATGGGATTGAGTGATGGCGATGACTACATATTAATTAAGCTAATCGATCGAGCTTGGTAGATACAACAACCTCCTGCTAGAGCTAGAGCTAGAGCTAGGGCTAGAATACAATACAATATAATTGCAGAATACAGAATACAGGATAGGATAGAATAGAATAGAATACAGTAATCGTCCCGTGCTGGGTGGGGGAGATTATTATATGTACGAATATTAGGTTATGTTATGTACCAGCCGATTGAAACTAACCAGCCAACCTTATGTAGTCGACTAGTCAACCAAGCAGCCAGAGGAGAGAGAGAGAGGAGGGAGGGGGGAGGGAGGGGGGAGAGGTAAAAGAAGTCGAAAAGAAGAAAAAGCCAGAAAAACACCCAAACTCCACACCCAACCCACACCCAAACCCCAATCCCCGTCCCATCATTAACAATACCAACAAAACAGTCAGCACGACATTACGATCATCATCATCAATCATCATCCCCCTCCCCCCAAATCCCTCCCCATCATCCCTCTTCCCCCAATCCACATCAAAAAGCATACCCCTCCTCCTCCCTGGCGTCTCCCCCCTCCTCCCCGGTGTCCCCATCTCCACCATCCTCCTCCTCCCAGGCGTCTCCACCCTCGCATACTCCAACCGCTCCGCAATCGGCGGCGCGGCCGCCGCTAACACCGGCGCCGGATGCCCCACCGCCCGCGCGCGATACAGCCCCAGCGCAAAATTCGGCACGAAGAGCGCACAGCAGCCTATCACTACTGCGAATGTCTACTCACCACACCACATGTATATTAGCCCCCCATTCCACACCACCACCACCACCACCACCACCACAATCAGGGGAAGAAGAAGACGAAAAAGAGAGAGAGAGACATACCATAGTCCGATAGCTAACCGGCTCCACAAAGCTCTCCACAATCTCCGCAAACGTCTGCGCGCTGAGCCTCGCCTTGCCCACCTGCGTGTGGTCGCGGTTCATGCAGCGCTCCCACTCTGCGCACGCCTTCTGCAGCGCGGGGACCCTGATGCCGGGCGCGCAGCGGTTGATCAGGAACTCCTGCGCACACGTGTTGGCCGCGGCGACGAGGTCCGCGCTGTGCTGCGAGAGCTTCTCGCTCACGTCGCGGCGCACGGTGACGTATGCGCTGAGCAGCGCGTACAGGAAGAGCAGCACGAGGGTGGTGTTGAAGAAGAGCTGCACGTACTGCGAGATGATGAGGGGGACGTCGCGGTGGTTGTCGGCCCAGCGCGCGGGGCGCGGGGGAGCGGTGGTGCTGTCGGAGTCCCAGTCGAGATCGGGGGGCGGGAGGCGGTGGTGCGTGGGTTTGGGGGTGGAGGTGGAACGGGGGCGCCGTTTGGGCTTGGTGATGGCGCCGTCGTGGTAGCGCCCGCGCGGGGGGGGAGAGTGGTGGCCGCCGCCGCCGCCGCCGCCGCTGCGGAAGGTGAGCTTGGGGGTGGTGGCGGGGGTGAAGATGTCCGGGTCGGTGAAGTCGGACATGTCGAGGGCGGAGCTGCGCGGGGTTGTGGTGGAGACTTTGCGGAACTGCGGGGGTGGCGGGGGTGGCGTGTTGGTGTAGGAGGACTTGGGAAGAGGAAGCGCTCGGAGTTGGGGGGTGCCAGGACGGGTGGATTGGGAGTGGGGGAGCGGAGGTCGGAGTGTGTACCTGGAGGGGGGTCAATTGGTTAGCTGTGGGAGGGGATTGATTGGATTGGGGGGGGGGGTACGTTTGAGTGCTGTGAAGCGTGCGAAGGGTGAGTTGGGGTCGGCGGGGACACGGGGCTGGTCGTATTGGAAGTCCATGGGGGCTTCGGTGCCTCTGTGGGCCATGGTGTTTGAATCTGTAGGCTGTTTGTCTGTGTGTTTGTGTGTAGTTGTGAATGGCTGTGGGTATTTCTGTCTCTGTGGTGGTGAATGGATGAGCGTGGCGTGTGTCTGTCTGCCTGTCTCTGAGGATGTGAGTGTGGGGGAGTATGTCTGTGTCTCTGTGGTTGTGTACCGCTGTGTGAGTGTGAGTAAGGTTGTGGGATTCTCTCTCTGTCTGTGGGTGTGTTTAGAAGAGATGTGCCAGTTGAAGGATGTCTGTCTGTGTGTGTGTGTGTGTGTCTGTGTGTCTGTGTGTCTGTCTGTCTGTCTGTCGTGAGTGATGCACAGCAGCAGGGTTGAGCTACGAAGGAAGGGTTGTTGTTGTGAGGAAGTGTCTTCTTCTTTGTCAGTGCAGAGACAGAGCAATGCCTGTGTAGAGCGTGTCCCTGCTGTCCCTTCTGTGTCCCTTCTGTGTCCTGACTGACTGTGTGCCTGTTCTGCTCTGTGCCTGTTCTGCTCTGTGTCTGTTCTGTGTCTGTTCTGCTCTGCTCTGTGCCTGCTCTGCTCTCTGCTCTGCTCTGCTCTGCTCTGCTCTCTGCCCTGCTCTGTGCCTGTCCCTGGCTGTCCCTGGCTGTCACGCTGAGTGTTCCTGAGTGCTGCTGTCCGTCACACTTTCCTTAGCCAACGTGACAGCCAAGCAACCACTTGACCTACTTAGAGTACTTTACACCTAAATTCTACATCCACACACACAGCATATCTATCCAGATACAACCACCACAACCAGACTCTCCTCGAGCCATCTCTCCACCTCCAGACAACAGATTAAATACGACAGCCCCAGCTAGCTAGCTCCCATGGACACCCACGTCACCGCCACAAACCTCACCCGCCTGCTCTCCCGCCTGGACTCCAAGCTCACCACCACCACAGCCAGCACACCCCCCACATCCCTCGAGCGCACCAAGATAGCCTCCGTACCACCCCCCCCCCCCCCCTCCACAGCAACACCCCACTAACCCCCATTCCCCCCAAACCAGAACCTCGAATACGCCCGCCAGCTCCTCCTCACACTCGAAAAGTCCGCGCCCACAATCCGCAACCACTCCCAGCGCCAAACCCTGCTCACCAAGCTCGGCGAGCAAAAAGCGCTCATCCGCCGCCTGAACGAGACTGTACAACTCCTCGCCCACGACGCCCCCTCCTCCGACGCCGACTCCGACTCTGGCGCCGACTCGGACGCAGAGGATGATGAGCCCCCCGTGTACACCGAGCAGTCCCCCGCCCTCCACGACGCCACCGAAAAAGAAGGCCTGCGCAACCGCTTCCCCAGCCAAAAGGACCAGCGCGCCACCCTCTTCAACGGCGCCTCGGAGGAGGAAGCAGACCCCGAGAAGGCGCTCGACCTGCACCGTGCAGAGCAGGAGGCGCTGACAACCGACATGCTGACGCTCGCGCAGCAGCTCAAGGCCAACAGCATCCGCTTCGGGCAGGAGCTGCAGAAGGAGAAGGGCCTGCTGGACCTGGCGGCCGAGGGGCTGGATAAGAATGTGCTCGGCATCGAGGGCACGGGACGTAAGATGAATAGCCTACGGAGGGACGAGAATGTCGGCTGGTTGTGGGGCATATTGTATCCGGTTATTATTGCGGCGTTGATGTTTTTGGTGTTGATTGTGTTGTTGGTGGCGCCGAAGTTGAGGTGGTGGTAGTGGGGTGGGCGTGTGGGGGGTGCCGGGGGGTTCCCGGGGGGGGGGGGACGGTGTTTGGGGATGGGTGTTTAGTGTTTTTGTTTTTGTTTCTTTCTTTTTTTCTTACTCTTGACTTATATATAGTCTTTCCCTTTTTTATATATTTTCATTTGTTGGCAAAAGATTGGACCTATTTAGTTATATACTGGCAGCTAGTGCGAGAAACACCGCCGCAGCTAGCCGGCGCAGATGCAACAAAGTACTCGCAAGTAATGCGTAGATAGAGTCTGGCTTGATGACATTATGGGGCTCGCTCTAATATCGCTGTTGTGTTGGTGTTGTGTGCGTTGGTGGGGGGGGGGGAAATTAAAGAGGTGGGAGGAATGGAGTGGAGCGGGAGAGGGGGGGATGGATAGGTTGGTCATTATATACCACTGCTGGGTACGATGGAAGTGGTCGGTTGATTGATAGTTTATCACTAGGTCGGTCAATAATTGTTTAGTCTATAATTCCTCTTACTACTACTACAGCTACAATTACTCCTGTTACTAAACGAATACAGCCACTGCTGCCGCTACTCCTACAGTTGGTAGACACCGAGTGATGGCTGATGATTGAGCACCCTGTGGACCCAGCACGAATCCTATCCTACATATTTACGACCCATTAGGCCCACCCAGTCCCTACAGGTCAACGCCAGCTACATGCTGGCCTTGAACTAGAGATTCGTTCTTATTAAGGTATCAATTTTTTTGTTGTTCTATTGTCCTAAAAAGAAAGAAAAAAGAGAAAAGAAAAGAAGAATATGTACTGGTCAAGTCCACTTGCAATTGGCCCCCCCCCCCCCCCCACAACCAATAGGGCCCACATAGCGCAACAGAAAAGGTCTCCAACATTGCGGAGGGAATCATTATTACACCCCCCCCCCCCCCAAACTTTCGCCCCCCGGCTGGCCATTCCTCTCCGCATAAACTCGTGTTTTTGTGTTTTTGTGTTGTAGAAAGACGGGTTCGGGAGCTAGCACTAGCCGAATAGCATCTCGTAGATGATTAGTAGCGTGTTGATCCCGATTAACGGTACTGTCCGCCCCCCCCCCCGCGCAACACCTCATTAGCCTTCCTATCCCCGCTCCCCAAAACCGATCCCCCATCCCCACTCTGCCTCCCACCCTCCTTATGAACTCAAACACAGCAGGGGGCGCAAACTTACTCCGCATCAGCGTCCGCGTGGAGCTGATCAGGTTGATGAGCTTGAACTTGATGCTCTGGTTGTCCTGCGGCATCTGCATGCCGAAGCTGTGCGGGTCCGGCGACACTGGGTTCGCGTAGGCGGAGGAGCCGGCCCAGCCAACTGTTTTGACCGTTCAATTAGCTTAGCTCCTGATTGCCGGGTGGGCGGAGGAGGGGGGGGGGAGGTTACTTCGGGCGAGGAAACGGTCTTCGGAGAGGATGGCGATGGCGTTGATTAGGAGGATTGAAACTGTGGCGGTGGTGTTAGCTTCTGTGAGGTGGTGGGGAGGGAAGGGGGGGGTGCAGGGGGGACGGGGGTACATTTGATGAGGGGCATTAGTCCGAAGAACATCTTTGCGGTGGTGGTGGAGGCGGAGAGCTAGCTAGGTTCGAGTGCTCGTTGTGGTTGTGGTGGTGGTGGGGAATTGAGAGCTGGGTGAGGATACGTGATGGGTGTTTGAGGCAAGCTGGTGTTGGAGGATGTGGCTTGGCGGGATAGTAGTGGTGAGGTAGGGTAACTGATGGGTTCTAACGTCAACTGACGGACAAGACTTGGGGTTAAATATCTTGAAGGGTTGCTTTAAATGCTTGATTTGTGTTACTGGGGATATTTGGGAATGGGAGATGGTGGTAATGTTTTTTTTTTTTATGTTGAGAAAATCCTCTTTAGGATTTATAATTTAGATAAACTAATTTTTCCTCATGAAGATTAATTTTACGTCTCAAGCTACCTAGCTTATAGACAGCTAGCGGGAAATACCTCGTTTTAATTATTGATATATCGAGGCCTCTATTATAATTAATCGGATCCAGCAACTGAAAATTAAACGAATTTTTTTACCGTTGTGAATTAATAAATACCAGCAGCAATACGTACCACTAGAATACTTTTCTTTTTTCTCTTTTTTTCAAATATGCCACCAAATTAAAGAAACATATCCCGCTCCGGCCAAGTCAATCAATTGAGTACCCAGGAACTCTAGTTGTGGCTTTATTCTCACCCAGCCCATTCCAGTCGATCCTCGTCCCTGAAAGCTAGCTCCCACCCAAGCTCCATTCCCAAACCCTAACCCACCCCACATCCAGCTAGCCTATGACGTAGTAGCGCATATCAATCCAGGCACCGCTCTTGGAAACCCTCCCTGCCTGTGATTGAGCAATTGCAACCAAACTCCCATAAACAAAATTCAAAAATGAAAATGAAAACAACAATACTCCGCCTGCGCCTGCGCCCACGCCCAGCTGCTGGCCCGAATCTCTACCGCCAGCTCAGAAACCACAGTACGGTCCCGACACACCCCGAGAAAAAGCTCACCGAAGACCCCCGGCTAAAGGAGCTTGGGCGAACATTGTCAGACGAGTTCTCGACCATCAGGGAGAATTACAGTAGGTCTCTAGCTTGGGTCAAATTTTTGAGGTAGAGTTGGAGCTGATAAGGGAGCTCAGGGACACCGAAGAATCCGATTGTGCTGGTATGTCGCATGCGGGTAGACCCAGCGCTGATATACTGATACTATACTGGTCGACTAGTGCCATGGACTACTAGGATTCAACGAGCTCCGTCTGGCAGGGCAGATGCTGCCTGGTATCGCGTACTGGCGCGGCATCACGGAGGTGCTGAGGGCGAACGGGGTCGAGGTTATCACGACTACTGTGCCGGCGTCGGGGTCGATAGAGGTGAGGGCGAAGGCGTTGGCGGCGGGGATTGAGGAGAGCCTGAAGGGGAGGAGCGTTAATCTAATTGGGTGAGCTCTGCGCCTCGATCGAACTGCCTGTGTGGTGGAGGAGGGGGTTAGCTGGTGCTGTGAGTTTATGTACGTACGTTGCTAACATACGGGTTTTCATGTAGACATAGTATGGTATGAGTCTGGGTCTCTTCGTGGTTTTTGACTTTTCTCTTTTTTTCCCTCTCTTTTTTGGCTGAGAATTGGGTGTTTTGCGTGCTTTAGGGGTACTGGTTATATCTTCCCTTTTTTGCTGCAGCTTCTTCTGGACTTTCAGCGGCGATGGTAGACCAATACCATATATGCTAACGCATTCCTCCCCCCACAGAGGCATCGACGCCCGCTACATGATCAGCGAGCTCAAACCCACAAACTTCAAAGCACTCCTCCCTCCTCCTCTTCATCACTCCCGCCTTACTAACGCACCGCAGGTCCTCTCTCTCACCACCGTCGCCACACCGCACCGCGGCTCCTCCTTCGCTGACTACATACTCGACCTCATCGGGAGTACTCCCCCCCTTCCTTCTTCACTACACCCACGCTAACCCGCCACCAGAAGAGCGCCTCCCCAGCGTATACGCCGCCGTCGAGTCCTTGGGCCTCGAAACCGGCGCATTCGCACAGCTCACGACACGCTACATGGAGGAGAAGTTTAACAAGCTGATCCTCGACGATCCTAGCGTAAGGTACTTCTCGTACGGGGCGATGGCGAAGCCGGGGATGATGTCGGTGTTTCGGCAGAGTCATCGCATTATTGAGGAGAAGGAGGGGCCGAATGATGGTATGTTGATTCCGGATTTGGTGGGAAGGGTGGCGGAGAGGAGAGGGTGGTGGTGCTGATGAGTGGGGTAGGACTGGTGTCGGTCAGGTCGGCGCAGTGGGGAACGTATAAGGGCACGCTGGTGGGGCCGACGCACCTGGGGATTATTAATTGGACGAATCGGGTTTGGTGGATGCTGACGGGGAATAAGGCGACGTGAGTTTTTGGTGCCCTTGTTTTGTGTGGTGGGTGGGAGGGTGGGTGTTGACGAAGGCGGTGGTGGTGGGCAGGTTTAATGCGATTGCGTTTTACTGCGATATCGCTGGTGAGTATTTATTCCCTCTTGATATTCTGGATGTTGTGCGGTAGGCTATTGGTTACTGACTGGCTGGTTATGCGGGTACAGATATGTTAGCGGAAGAAGGCTTGTAAGAATACATGTGCCACCAGGTGCGGAGGAGTAGAGAAGTATATATCCAGTGTTTTCCCCATTACTTGTTTATAAATAGTTTTTTTTTTCATCATGTAGAGCAAAGATTTAATCTCTCCCATGCGGGAAGCTTGGCGGTCTGAATGTACGGATGTGCTGAACGGTGCGAGTGATCGTCTATGATTCATATTTAAAACCATCTCAACATTATACCCCTCCCCCGTTTTAAAATACTGCAGTATCAAAACCAGCACCTGTACGGTACTTGTTACGTACGTGGCCACAATTGTAGCCATTCCGAGAACACATGGAAGACCGGTATAAGCACATTATAGCCCGGCGAACAAGCCAGACACAATGTCCAGAGTCCAAAGTCACTGACTCTACGTCCGGGCACTAAGAAGACAATGGCCAATTATCCCTTTCCCAGTTTAGAAAGAATCCGAGACTCTAACCACGGGGATTATAATGCCCACAGCTCATGTAGATTTGGGACGAGTGATTACTGGCGATTGGTCCCATTTTCTAGCTATTCCTGGATCCAAAGAGGGAGAAGGAAACAACTACTCAAACAGCAGCGGCCTGGACTTTAGATGGGGAAATGTGCCGGAGTGCGGCGCCATCAACAGTGTGTAATTCTACAATGGCTAGCAAGTGGATCTTCACATGTCTACATACAAAGGCTCTACGGTGGCTTTTTGGCCCTATAGGACCTTCTCGAGCTACATGTAGGCCCACCTGTCTTCCTTACGTTCTGTCCCCATGGGCAACCTCTTCCCTCAGCCCTAACTCAGTACATGTAGTTCTTTAGCCCACGGAGGTCAAAAACTAAAAAGATTCCACAGTTTCCCACAGACTATGCAAGCCCAAATCTGTTCGTTGTGACCTCAGACGAAAGTCCCAAATCAAAATGAAGCGGCCTGACAGAAGCTCGTATCCAGGAGCTGAGGAGCCCACAAGTTCCAAAACCCTCAGGAGCCAAAAGGCCACAGGAGCCAAAAGCCCACGTGTGCCCACAATTTCAGCAGATATCTCTATTGATCTCTTCATCGAGACATGGGACGAAAGCCCACAGCCACTCAGCGCTCACAATACCCACACGCCCACATGCCCACGGAAATCTTATCAGTCTTTTCATCGTGGCCTCGGACTACGGTCCCAGACCAAAATAAAAAGCACGAAATCCCCTCAGTGCCCCCAGGTGCCCACAATTCATCACAGAAGCCAGGCTCTTCATCACGGCCTTGGACAAAATTGCCAAACCGAAATGAAGGGCCCGAAAGCCCCGATTGCCCACAGTGCCCATAAGCCCCAAGTACCCACAAGACTCTCTTCTTCTCAGCCTCAGACGAAAGTCCAAGACCGAGGATGATAAAAGCCCCCCGGTGCCCACGGTAATCCCACATGCCTCCACGAGTCTCTTCATCGTGACATGGGACGAACGCCCCAAGCCAGAACAAAGAGCTCGAGTGCCACGGATTCCCCGTAACGCCCTAGACTCCCACAAGAGTCTTTTCGTCGTAACCTTGGGTGAAGACTCAAGACCACGGCAACCAAGAGCTCGAAATCCCCCAGCGCCCAAAATGTCCTAGATCCCCATAAATCTCCCAGTGCCCACGATTCCCCCAGTGCCCACAGTTCCCCCAGTGCCCACAAGCCCACAAGCCCACAAGCCCACAAGCCCACAAGCCCACAAGCCCACAAGCCCACAAGCCCACAAGCCCACAAAGGTTTCATCATTCTCTTCATGATGGCCTCGGACCCAAAGGTCCCAAACCAAAACGAAGAAAAAATCAAAAATTAAACGACCCAGGAAACCCGAAGATTTTCTGACAGAAGCTCAACCCCCGGTGTGCAATGGGGGGGTTTGCGTTCTGGATCTCTGGTAACCTTGAGCACCAGAGATCGTCGCTAGGTAAGTATGAAGAAAGAAGGAGAGGTGTGGAGGACGGCCGCCTTTTAAGCAATGGTGCGCCAAGATTTGGTTGGTGATTTGGCCGATGGGAGGGCTTAGGGCTGGCGGTGAAATGTACATGTAGTTTGGCTTACGGTGGTCCTTGGCTTGTACGGCTGGCTAAAAGGTTAGGGTTGGAAACGGACGTGTAGGTGTGTATTAGCTTGTATGACTATGTTAGGTACTCCCTTGCGGCATGTTTATCTGGTTTTTGATAAGATGTAGAATACCAGATTGGATTAGATCAATCGAGTCAATCCCCTCTCCAATGGAATGGGTTGAAACGGTGAACTTGGCTCCTACCAACACGCGAGAGAGAAGGTCGGGCGGGTTAGCACACACCATTGTTGTGTGCTAATTCGCTTGACCTTTTGCTGCCGGATTGGGTTTTGGTATTGTTTTCTCCTAGGCGCAGAGGAAACTCATATCTGCTATTGAAGTTGCTGGATGTACGCCCCCGCACATAACGCTACGTAATGTGAGCCTGTCTCATCTTATTTCATCCCATAGCTCTAAGTATTGTGAAGTCCCAGGGCGAAACAGGGTATTGAGAAAGTCTAGAGGCCCCGGGACTTGAAGAGAGGAATAATTGTATTGATAGCAGTTATCCTCTAGGGTCACTAGTGACTCGCTTCCCATATCTTTCTTGATATACAGTGGGTATTCCCGGCTCTCAGCATATATTGAGAAATTTCTGATAGTTTCTTTGATAGATCGATGTATTTACATAGAAAATAGAAGTCCACTTTACCCTCATGCCACCCCCGACAACCTCTTTCGAATGTAACCCAGGGTCCCGGTATTATCTTTAGATTTTAAAACCTTGTCGCAAGACATCTCGTCCCGTAGAATCTGGGTTCTCGTGGTGTAAGAGCTACGTGGTTAGACTCGGCTAAGCATACATGTATGTGTTCGTTTCAAGGTCCTATAAAGTTAAACTGCGGCACCCACAGAATCCTATCATCACCACTCACCATGCTTGTCTTCCTGCATCCGAACATTCAGAGTAATAGACCCTCAAAACCTCATGTAGCGAGACCTTGATCACCAACAGCCTGAGAAACATCTTGTTTCGTGTCCATCATTAGGCGTGAGTTTGTGCCTTTAATCCATGGCCAGGAACCTTCGCCGGTTTGGCTTGGTCGTTACCTGTGTTGTCATTTTGAGCCTTGCCGTTGAACGGTCGCCGGTCCTCAAAGCGCAAATCGAGATCAAGTTGAAATGCGAACCGAAGTTGTGTTTTATCAAAAGGTTATGGTTATTTGATCTTAAGTTGAGCTTTTTGACGTGGAAAAAGTCGGATCAGGAAGTGGACCAAAACGAGCTAAGTTTTCTGTTTCTGTGGTTTAACGAATAATTCTACGGCGAAAGTTCGGATATTCGGTTCGCAATATTCTTGTTGTGGATATTCCCACTCTCGAGGAAGAAATCGTACACTTACACACACACGCCAGCGGTTCAGCCTACCGAGTGCTTTTCCATGACGGCGCCGCCAAGGACGGCGTCAGGAAAAACAATAATCCGGCCCCAACCCTCACCTCCATGCAACTGCAACATACCCCAGAACTAGAAAGAAACCCCGGAAACCCGTCCCAAGAAATCCACAATCCCTGGTTCAAATCAAATCAACTTTCCCTGGTGATGGTGTTATTTCGATTCAGCCTACCCTACCGCGTAGATAACACCCCCTCAAATAAAGAGACTCGCGTGAGCTTTGTCTGGACTGAATAACGAACGAACAAACGACGACGATTAGCGCAGCGCACCTTCAACAGAAGGAAGAGCACGACACAGAGCTTCAATTCGATTACCAGGCGCCCAGCTAGATCTATACTCTACAAAGCGCGTACAGGCGACCTACCTTACCCCCGATAGCACCAATGACCCGCTACGAGGACAGGGACAGAGACGGTGGAGCTTACGGAGGAGGCGGAGGGGGAGGGGGAGGGGGAGGAGGGGGAGGAGGTCATGAACGTTACGACAAAGGCCCCCCTGGAGGTCCCGGTGGCGGCGCTGGCGGTGATAGAGACGGTCCCTACAATCGGGGACGACCGCTGCATAGACGTGTGTACCCCACCCCGCCTGCTCGTCGCGCAGAGTGGACAGAGTGGACAGAGGGGACAGAGGGGACAGAGGGGACAGAGGGGAGGCTAACTGACGTGTAAACAGGACCGGTCACGGACTACGGGACGTCGGTAGCAAAGTGGATGTCAAAGCGCCGCATGAACTGGAGAGGCCAAACGCGTGACTATCTGCGGCCCGCGCCGGGCTTCGTGATTGATGTGAGTGTTATTTATCATTGCAGCCACAGCCATATGACAAAGAAAACATGGAAGAGAATTTCATCTTGCTAATTGGCCGCGCGATTCGATATATATCTATAGCTTTTGCCGCCTGCCGCGTATGCTGACAATCCAGCAACATCACTGCCAACAAAACACATACACGCATCGCTGAACAAAATCAAACACCCCATCAACGTGGTCAAAGTAGGAACACCTCGCAGACAGATCTCGCCGTAATTGTCACTAATGGAGTAAACAATAGTGGACGCCCGAAGGCCGCCGACTCCTCACTGGGTCTTCCAGTGGGGAGTTCACCCTCTGGAACGGAATGGGCTTCAATTTTGAGACTATCATGCAGGCTCACGACTGCGCTATCCGTGTTTGCCAGTACTCGCACTCTGGCGACTGGCTCCTCTCTGGGGATCAAGACGGCATCGTCAAATACTGGCAGCCCAACTTCAACAACGTAAAGATCCTACAGGCCCATGGAGAGCCCATCCGTGATCTTAGTTTCTCCCCCACCGATGCAAAGTTCGTCACCGCGTCCGACGACAGCACGCTCAAGATATGGAACTTCAACGAGGGTGTTGAGGAACGCACCCTTACCGGCCACGGTTGGGACGTGAAGAGCGTAGACTGGCACCCTACAAAGGGCCTTATCGTCTCCGGCTCCAAAGATCACTTAGTGAAACTCTGGGACCCCCGCACCGCGCGCTGCCTAACGACGCTCCACGGGCACAAAAACACAATCTCCAAATCTCTCTTCCAGCCACGCGGTGAGCTCCTCGCCACCTGCGCGCGCGACCAGACCTGCCGCATCTTCGATCTCCGTGCCATGAAAGACTTCTGCGTGCTGCGCGGGCACGAAAAAGACATCTCGACCCTTGCCTGGCACCCCATCCACCCGGGCCTGATCTCTACGGGTGGCAGCGATGGCGCCATCAACCACTATCTCCTCGACGAAGCACCCACCGACATCTCCTCCACCGTCATCCAACCTGCCGCCTCAATCCCGTACGCGCACGAGTACGCAATCTGGAGCATGGAGTACCACCCGCTCGGCCACATCCTCTGCAGCGGCTCCAACGACCGCATCACGCGCTTCTGGACCCGCCCCCGACCAGGCGAGATCGACGGCTTCAAGGACCGCCACCACATTGGCGACGAGGCGGCCGCAGCGATGGGCACCTACGATCGCAACCGCCGGCGCCACCGCCAGGAGGAGGAGGAAGAAGAGCAGGACGAGGCAGATGCGCTCGTAGATCAAAAGATGCCGCTGCCTGGACAGGCTCCAAATATCCCGGGATTCCCGCCAATGCCAATGTCGATGCCGGGAGGCCTACCCGGGCTAGGAGACCTCACGACCCTGGCAGGATTTTTCGGCGTACCCCCACCGCCGCCACCACCGAATGCGCAAGGGGTGCCACCGCCGATTCCGATGCCGCCGATGGGGACGTTGCCGCCAGGTCTGATCCCACCACCACCGCCGAACTTTGGATTGCCGGTGCTGGGGGGCGCGCCGATGCCGGGAATCCCAGGGTTGGGAGGGGACGGGGTGCCGAGGCCACCGCCGCCGCCAATGGATCCAAGGATGATGGCGGGGATGATGGCGAACGCGGGAATGGGCATGAATATGAATATGGGAATGGGCATGGAGCATATGGAGGATAACAGTAACAGCAGCGGTGGAGGCGGAGGCGGAGGCGGCGGTGGGAGAGTTAGGGCGCCGCTGCCCAGCCAGAAAGATAGCATGAGGGAGGCCCAGGGAGGGTATAATCGGGGCGGGAGAAGGTAGACTAAAAATGTATTTGTATATTAGTTCTATAGGTGTTTTCTTTCTTCTTCTTCTTCATGATATGTGCTTACCGGTAAGTTTCTGTTGTGTGTGTGTGCGTGTGCTGCTGGTTTTGTCCTTTCTTTTGCTCTTTTTTTTCTTCCTGTTTTGTCCGCTTATGATGCTGAATGTTTGTGCTTGTGCTCTGCTTTAAGTTGTGATTTGGCGTGTGGGTGGTGGCTGTCTGTAAGGATCGTGGGGGCGGGGAGGATGAATAGATAAAATTGATACCCCCATGGCCATCATCTCGTCGCATCAAATTCATACATTACGGCGTATGTAGGTCCACTCTGCCCTCTTCAATTCATATACTTATAGATAGGCAATAATGAAAAGAATAAACACTCATAGAGCCATGTGCTTCGCTGGAAGAGATAATGTGATAGCCGCTCGAAGGGCCATCTACAGTCGAATCCCCTACAATGACATGGTAAGGAGAGTGATACTTCATGATCCTGGATATAACATTCATCGTATACTTGCCTGGCATCACGCCCGGACCTCAACTGAGTTTTTCTTCAAGCTGATATTTCATGAACCTAGAGTTTAGTCTAATGGGATGACACGCGTGTAAGGGTATGCTGACTTTTGGAGCTGGGAGGGGCAAGGTGTTATGCTACGAAGTTAAGTATCGTTTGGTCTACGAAAAGTGTGTATACATATCCCTCGAGCTGTCGAAACATGCCGGCCTTTTTCTACAGGATCAAAAGTGAGGTTTTACTAATAAATTCTCATCATTTATTCGACCTGAGTCAATCCCACACCAATGAATTCGCTGTGGCCTGTTGATTCTCACAAAAAGGGCCAGCATCGATAGCTTAATGGATGCATCTGCATTCCTGTGTTGAGACCCGACTGTGCAAAGGTTCGGGTGCTTTTGTCTGATAGATGACGTTGGCCACAGCGTACGTACCTATTTCCCTTCAAGATTTCTGTAGATGCTGATGACACTGCTTAATTCTACAGAGGTATCGTGTATCAAATTAACTAAACATACTACTAATACGTCTAATATATCATATCATCTATTCCCACGGGACTCGCACCCACGGGTCCTTCAGCATTTCCGCCGCAGTCTTCCTATCCCTTGGCCTATATTTCAGCATCTTCAGCAAGAAAGACTCAAAAGTTTCTACATCCTCGTCCGTCATATCTGGCCGAAACCCCTTGATCTTCCCCGCCAGGCTACGGGGCATGATGACGCGTGATGTCGCCATTTTTCCTGAGACTTTTGATTAGCATGTTGCTGAATTAGAGTCGTCGACGACGAGGACAAACGTACCATCAGAGCCCAGATAATCGAGCCGGTTTCTCCCCTCCCTCACGAGGTCTTCAGGCAAGGGCCCGAAGAGGGCAATCATCTGCGCTATATGATGCTCCTTTGCGTCTGGGGTGTCCAAGTCCTGCTCATTTGCGTTCAACGCTACACCGCCAAAGAGTATATCTCCTGTCACTAGTTCATAGAACTATGTTTAGCGGTTAATTAATGCATATACTCCACTTTCATCGGCGAGGGGGAGTCATACAATACATGCTGCATTCCATAAATCCACACTTGGGCCCCAATCGGCGCCCAGGATGACTTCTGGCGCTCGGAGCGCCGCGGGCTGTATCCATTCTACGAGATGCTTATCCACCCAGCAGGCTTGGAAGATGAAAAGTCAGTTCACAAGCTTGATATCAACGTGGAGTTTGGCTAGGGGGGCTCCACTGACAGACGACGAAACCTGTGAGTTTGAATCGGAATTGGTTGGGATACTGTGGGAGCTCCGTGGGGATGTACTCTGACCTGACCAGATGACAATCTCTGGACTGAACTTGAATGCCGCGGGCTTGCGTGGCTAACAAGTAATCCCGGATGACTTTCTCTGTATCATTGATATCCATAAGAATATTACGAGGCTTCAGGTCTACTGCCAGTTACTAGTTAGACCAGCTAGCAGCACAAAAGGGGGGGTGCAATGCAGACATACTGGTATGAATAACCCCACACCTTGTGTGCAAATAATCCAGCGCTTGAAACAATTGCCTTGCCAGCTCCTGCACAGCTCCCACTGGCAATTGGTAGTCTTCCAGCTTATTCGAGAGAACAAGAGTATCATGTCCCATCGGCTCAAAGGTCATGCATACATGTTTCCCGTTTGGCCCACGATGCTCGAAATTATCCAGCATGTGCAGGATGCGACTATGACCTGGGTGGCTCGGGTCCGCAGTCTTGATATGTCTGAGGATGGAGAGCTCGAGCAGCTCTGGCTTGCCGCTGTAGCAAGAATCTTCGAGGATCTTTAGGGCGACATGACGATCGGTGCTGGAAGATCTTTGTTAGCTACGAGGTTATTTATTATTGATACAGTATTTCCTGCACCAAAAAGCTATTTCTACCCCCTCCTCCCTCTCCCCTGTGGCGCATCATTGAGCTGAGCAAGGGTGGTTTGACCTTACAGGGACGCCTTGCGTTGCAACTTGCTTGATACAGGAAAATACCAGCACAATTATCATTTCAAGTCACGCCCCATTCCACTCACTCGCCCACTCACTCGCCACATGTAGCTGTAAAGTACGCACCTCAAATCCTTCGCAAGCCACACCGTATAATACACGTCCCACCCCAACTTTCTCACCACCAGATACCGGTCACCAATTTTATCGCCGAGCCGCGTCGGGTGGAACCCGCCCTGCCGATACATGCTCACCGGCTCCTCGTCCCATTTACTTTTAATTTTCGGGAACGGCAGCTGCTGCGCCGTCTTCACCTGCGTGGCCAGCCGCGACGGCGTGGTGGTGAAGCTGCGGCGGCCACGGGATAGGTTTCGGAGGCCTGCGAGGCGGCAGTGGAGCAGAGCCATTTATTTTTTTTGCTTGGCCAAGCTGAGCGTTTTGGGAGGCGTACTTTTGCTGGCTGCTGGATGGCTCTTTTTATTTTATTTGATTACTGCTGAGTAGTAGAGCGCTGGTTTAGTTGGTTGGGTCGATGTTGGGGGGAGGGATGGAGGAACCCTAACCCTCTTGTGCCACGTTGTTGACGTGGGGTAAAAGTTTGCTGGGTAAATGATTGGGTGGTTGGATTAACTGCGTGGGGTGTTGATGTGGTTATTGGAGAAGTGGATAGAGGTGTGGTTAGCCAGGGGGTTCTCATTGGGTTGAGATGCACTGCTTGTCCATGGGATATCACTCGCGTGTGGCTAATTAGCCGTTACTGAAAAGTAGGACGAGTCTTGGAGTTTTTAATTCAATTGATGTCGATGTCTAAGGCCAATACAAACTATCTTATAGGGACCCTGAAAGAACATCATTCCTCTTGACAGTGAGATCTTTACTGTTCGACATCGTGAACTTACTGCCTTGAACGGCCAGAAATTGATACTTGCAGTGCTAGCACCAAGATGTGCTGGAATCCTTAACCCTGTGAATGCCAATGTCAATGTCAACCTCTCTTGAGAGTCAATAATGGTGTCGGTAATTTTGAATTTTGGCTAGAGGTTATTATCTAAAGATACAACTCGGAGCTACGTACTTGGTAGCTGACCAGCTACCCCAGGCCTAATGATACCAACTAGTTGTTAATCTATTAGTAACATTTCCAGCTTTTGCATTCTTCCAAAATATACCCAGATCGAGTTAGCCTCAAACCCTACTCCGAAACCCAATTCTTGTAACACTCCAACAGCCCTAATTGGCAGGTCAGGCAGTGCATGATAAGATTGGATGGGACGAGTAGAGTATATATGAAGACTTGGATGGCCACACAATTTTAACATGTTAACTTCCAATGCGCGTGTCTTGTAAGAAATTCACCCCTTAACCTTAATTAAACTTTACTCCGTACCTGCATGGATAGATGGGTGATCAGATTCTCAGACATAAGTTACACCCCCACTGTAGCGTGATGCCAAGAAATTACGCGTGAAAGCGCGTGACTAGCGGACGAGCACAATCTCTCACTCGGACCCGACCACATCAGTCACGGTGGATTATTTCATCCATGTGATATGAGTATTTATTAGGGCTTCGGTTCTGCGGGCCTGTTCGGCTTTGAGTCAGTCCAGTACCGGAGTTGACGAGGTCAGTCAATATAACGCACCCGGCCGTCCGCACTGGTGCCCGAGGTGCAATGTATGGTAACGTAAGTGTCAAGGTCATTTCTGTTCTGATAGCTCCCTCGTGTCAACTGTTTCGTCGACATCGTCATCTGCCTTATGTTTCTACCGGATAATTCCCGATCATGGTATGTGTTTTTTTATTTAAATTGATTCATCTCAAGCCGGAAGTTAAAATTTTGCTCTCTTGGCTATGGAATGAGAACTCACGCTGATCCACCGCTCTCTACTGATGTGCATGTATATACATAAGAGCTGCATTCCAGTGTCTAAGTCGGCGATTAAGTACGCAATAATTACTTGCCTGTGCATGGTATAAGCCTCCTACGTAGGCGCTTTCATGATTGTTTTTTTGGTTCATATCGGCCGCGAGTGACCGCACGGGTCGGAGATGAAGATTATTTTGTTGTCATTATAGTTTATGCACGTATCAATCAACCGCAAGGCATGTGTAACTCCAGCCCAGAATGCCACGCGGAATTCAGCTGGATTCAAACTCAATGGTCTCCGGCGTACTAACTCGAATACCGTCACATCTCCTATCCAGTAGAATGCCGTCCCCTGAATCTTCCCCAGCGCGAATGCCCAATGGGGCGCTAATCGTGGTTAGTGCAGATCAGTGAATCCCAGTCGAGCCACCCCCAGCTCCAATCCCGATGTCTCGGTTGTTGCCACTAGGCCTTTTGCACCCCTGACGATCCGGATGTAGTACAGCAACCCTATGATTCAGGAAAGCCAAAGCCAATGGCTAGGGTTCTCCGGCCGAACAGAGCATCGTGACAATGGAGCCATTCTGTAGGTGTCATAGTAACGGAGCTTCAAAAAATTCGCGAGTCTGTCTTAGTAAATGTTTGTCCGGCGCCTTTCAGCCAAGTCGGTTCTCGACTATCGATCTAGATATGCAAGGTTAGGATCGGAGATAGAGTTAGCCTGCAGAGGACCATGAAGATACTAAGGGAATAGAGAGATAGATTAGTGATTACAACAAATCTTTGAGATTCTCACGGCTCTGCCTTGAGATTCGAGGCATAAATACTGCCTCTATACCCCTCGATTTCAACTCTCATCCTCGTCATCATCTTCACGAATATCAATCCAGAAGCTTCATATTCAACTCAACAACTACCACTTCTTCAACCCCCAAACAATATTCAAGATGCAGATCTCCGCTCTCCTCCTTACTGTCGCCGCTGCCGCCGTCGCCAACGCCCAGACCAACCCTGACGGGACCTTCCCTGATACAAACGCCTATGGAGGCCCTGTCACCACCGACTTGACCAAGTGCGGTGAGATCCTACCCACCACCAACTATGTCGCCCCCGAAGCCTTCTCTGTAAGCTCCCCTCTTTGAGTGAAGAGAATAACAAGGACAAAAGATCTAATTGCCCCAATAGGCCGAGACATGTCTTCAGAAGTACGACTGCTATGATGTGAACTACGGATACAAGTCAGTGAGAGATGGTAACTGGAACAAAGAGATTCCTGCCTCTGTTTCTCAGGCCGTCTCTGATTGCGACCACTGCCTGTAAGTGTCTTTCCACACTACCTCATCTTCCCTCGTGGCACCACTAACAACATCACAGTACCAAAGCTTACCAGGAATGCCCCAATACCCATGGTTTCTCGACTGAGGAAATGGACACCGCGGATAGGGAGTGTGTCGAGGAGAGCTACAAGGGGTGCAAGCCGTCAGACCCTCTCACCTATGAGGCGTACAAGTGGGAGCTAGTTGCTGCCCCCGTCGAAGATGAGGCGGGCCATAGGACTGGTGTGTCGACCGAGGAGGGAAGCACTGCTTAAATGAGATATATGATATATGGGGTGGAGCGGTTTAATGTTTAATATATTATTATGTATAGCTTTATAAAGCAGACATCTTAACAACCATGAGATTTTCCGAGTGATTGCAAGTGATTTGAATGCTGATGGCCATTTTCCACACGCGGTAATACCAGTGTTGTATAGATTACTACACAATGTCATGGTGTCAGTGGCTAGGTACCCCTTGCATAATGTGTCAATATTTCAAGGTACCAAACTTTTCAGTGGGGGCTGAAAGCTACACGTGACAAGATAATGGATAAGAGAAAGTTCCCACTACATGTATCCAAGGTAGCCCACTTGACGCGAAGGAGCAGGATGTGATTACATACAGACAACCGGTGGATTGGCTCTTGGAGCCTCTTGAGCGGGTGAATACATTCATTCGTTATTTTCTGACGTCGACGAGTATCCCGAGATGAACCTCATCACGCAGGGGAGGGGATGAGATACATTTTGTGTAGTAGTGGAGCGGGGAGTGGATCCACGGATTCACGCGCGCCGAGGGAATTGAATTCCTGTATCAACAGTCTTAATTATCCCATGTCGGGATGCATGTGTGCACTTGGTGGCAGAATAGGTATGCCGTCGTTGGTAGGTGGTGGTCTATGAAGGTCGGGTTTGTGGAAGAGATGAAATGTCAGGTGGTTTAAGGTTTGTTCTGTCTACGCATGCACCGTTCCGTCGGCAAGACACTTAAGCATTGCGCCTGCCGCTCAAAGAGCTGAGTGATTCTTCATGATCTAGTTCTCACCCCCATGCAGGCGGCAACCGCGCATAAAACACCTAATAGAAATACCCCCCCGTTCAGCAAGGGCAAGAAAGATCGTACATACACTTTTTAAATGCAGATACGTAAACGTCAGTGAAACCTCAGTTTGGTATGTAGAATGCACAAGTCACGAGCGCTCCCCACCTTCTAAGGGCCCTCGGCCGAGCCAAGACATAATCTCCACAATATGGCGTTCTCTTTTTTTCCCCACATGACCCCCTATCGAAGTTATCGTGCATCTTATCGATTCGCACTAGAGATTACTTAAATGAACACCCGGTGCCGATACGTACGTGTGCGAGCGTTGGATGCGTGTGTGTTGTGTGTGCCACTGCCAGCGCGGTTACAGACGTCGTTGAAGTTTTTTTTTCTTCCATCGCGCTCCACAAACATAACGACTGAACTTCCTCTAAAAGAACGAAAATGCAGATCACATATTCTGTTGTCGCTTTTGTTATGGCCATTGCCGGCACCAACGCTGTTCCTGTCGCGGGTGCTAACGCGGCACCAGTCACCACGTTTGCTGGGCCCCTGACCCTTGATGTAACTATCCTTTCCTCCAGTGGTACCTACATGTACATCTCTAGGCAGATGAAGACGCGGTGGCGCTAATCAGTGCGTTGGGGACAAACAGTTTGATACCTGCACCACTTTGCAGCAGAGATTAACGGACATTGCACGGGCAAGCTGGGCAGAAGGAGAGTTGTTGGCGAAATGCCAAAGTTGCTTGTAAGTCTTGGACTTGGTCGTTTTTCTTCCTTCCCGCTGAGGCTGGGACTGACTTGAATGTAGCAACCAGGGCTTTATGGAGTACTGCCATCACAGGAGCGATAAACCCGAGGACGCGGCTGGGAAGCATGGAAGAATTGCAAATGTACCAGAGAGCTCGAAGGAGTGCTACCGAAAGATGTTTGCCGGGTGTGAAGCGTGACGCCAGCCCTGGGGACATCATGAGACTAAATATTTTTGTAATAATAATAATTTTGGGTCTAACAGAATACAATGGGATTCATCCGAAGAGATTCATAGAGCGACTGTTAATTGTCCGACTTTTAATTACCATTTGGAGAATTGTATATACTATAATATTGAGAGGTTACACCGTAATCAGACAACCTACATCCAGTAATGATAGCTTCAGCCTTTCGTCCTTACTCTTCGATCGAGCGGCTTTGAAATCGGGTATGGTTCATCGCCACCTCTATCGCCATCAATCGCCCGACCGTAGTTCTGATAAATCCACTCAGAGGTGTTGGTACACTCGTACTGCAGTTGATTCCACTAGTTGGTTATGGATTTAGGCTTAAGTTGTCCGTACTACATAGAATCTCACTCGATATTCAGTGCTACAGTGCCTGGTTTCCTACAGCGGTTCCAACCTTGCGGGGCCATCCCAAACCATAAACAGCACAGGGCATGATGGATCCTACCGCAATTCGAATTGCTAATTACTAGTTTGTGAAATAATTGCTCAATATTGCAGCGATACGAGAATGACGTTTGTGTATTTATCGCTAATTATCAAAACAGAGTTTCGTACAACTTTCCTCCGGAATATTCCATTCAACTCACCACTACATACACACACATAGCCTGCTGTAACCAACGTTCGTACGCACTGTAGAGCCCCTTGATTTCGATTTAAACACAGAGGACTGGCCGTAGAATCTTAGTCACCCTCCCTTGTTCTCTTGAGCGAACGAAAGAAAAGCAAGAAAGCTTCTCTCTTGCACATGCCGTTTCTATCGATAGTGGACTCGAACCAAAAGAAAACCTGGGGTGAAAACCGAAGGGATAAGCAACATCTAGAACAAACAAGTTCTTTTAGCACGGGTCGGAGATGAGAGGTTAGACCATCAACGCTAGCGCTTTGTGTGTGTTGTAGATCCGCAAGGCACTAGCCGATCTGGGACACCCCGGCTATGCGTGTCTGAGCTTGTTAAGACATCAACGACACCACAGAATATTTGGTGGAGCTTGCCAAACGTGGTGTTCCTGACGATCGCGGGGCAAGACATTCGCTCGTTGCTCGAACCTCTCCCCTTACGATAAACGCCCCCTATTGCTAAAGGATGGCGACGACGAGAGGGCTTTCCGCTAAAAAGGAGTACGGGCCAAGCCCGAGGAATTAAAGAAAGGAAATAGAGTTGTTGCGGGACTCGGTGCTCGATTCGAAAAGAGCTTCGGCAAGCTGGAGCTCAGATCATACTGGGATCAAGCTTCGTAAGACGAGTTGCAGTTGGGGATAGCTAGGGTTACTCGGGTCTGGAACAGGAAATATTCTACACTACGGGGCGTAAAAATGTTTGTGGTGATGTAGCAGTCGGCAATGACCGCCGGGACGGGTTATGATTCAGGCGTTGATTTCCGAACCGGGAATTGCTTTAGGGAATCTCGTACAAACGGAGGTCTTTCCTTGAGAAGGTTGTAAATGGATGAGATCGACTTCATAGGGGGCAAGATTGTGAGAAGAATCGAGTGGATAAATACCGCCAGTATCGCCCGCAACTGACAATTCTCATCTTCATCAACTTCCTTCAGTCTCCAGAAGCAAAGTACCAGATCAATTACCCTCTTTTAAACAGTTCCTTTCAAACAACACATTCCTTCAAAATGCAGTTCAAGAACATCATCTTTTCCGCCGCCCTCTTGGCCATGGTCAGCGCTGCTCCTATCGGGGACGTTCCTTCTACTGAGGCTGTTCACAGCGATGCCACTGGTACTGCTGCTGAACATGCTGCCGCTCAACCTGTTACCACCAAGGACTTTGCTGCTCCTGAGTTCAACGTGAGTTTATTCATCATATCCATTCAATTAAACAGACTTAAATACTAACGATTTTCCAGTACAAAAACTGTGCCGACATCCACAATCAAGTGAAGGAGGGATCTTTCGCCACGCCTGATCCTACCAACCAGCATCAGGATTTCATCAATAAGTGCAACAGCTGCTTGTAAGCTGTCTCCACTTGCAATAGTCATAGATAGTTACTTCGTACTAACAACCTCTGTTTAGAACATCCTTCGGTAAGGCCAATCCTGACTACTGGTACGCCGTGCCAGAGAGTAGTCCGGAGTTCCAGCATTTGGAGGATGAGTTCGCGGTTTGCAAAGAGGATGGCAATCTGGATGCCAGAGATACCGTCACCGGCCTCCCCACGACTGTCGACCCCAAGGTCGAGGCTCCTAAGGCCCCCGAGACCCCCAAGGCCGATCCCAAGGTCGAAGCCCCCAAGAGCGTCAACGCCAATGATGTTACCGGTACCGCCGAGACCCCATCCGTCGATGCTGCCAAGAACCCTGTTAAGGTTCCCGAAGTCAAGGCTCCTGGAGCTTAAGTAGATGTGTGATGTGGTGAATGGTGGTCGTGGTGGATGGTCGTGGTGGTGGATTAGTTTAATATTTTAATACCTAATAAACTTTTGTATGAAAGGATAGCTAGCTCCATCGGGACTTGACAGTGACCGGGTAAATTTGTGAGATGTTTTGATGATCGTGATTGTAGTACACCTTGTATAGAGCGAAAGGTTTTGACTACAAGTAGTACTGTGTCGCGTTGAGACTGCTCTCCAGCTAGGGCTCTGAGATTTAGCTGTGCTTGGTATATAAAGTTGATTTGTCTGCGCTTGCCTCGCTATGGAAAACTAGCTTTTGTATTATTGAAATATTAAACACAACTTTACACCTTAATAACATGCAACGCTTAGAGTATGAAAGTTGAACGGTTGTACAGGTAGTGGAGTCACATATTATGTGTACGATCGTACACAGGTCTGTTACAAAAGGCTCATGGCAGGGGGTGCCTAAGGTGGATTTCGCGGGGGGCGTGGGGAAGGTATCGACGTCGGAGTTGGCATTGACAAGAGCATTGCCTTTGAGTACTAGGGCCTAAACCACGTGTATGGCCGATCCGTATACATATCGTTGCTAAGCAGATGTGATCAGTGCGCGGCCCTACATGTAGTGAGCACTTAAGGCCGGCAAGAAGGATTGGTTCTCTGGATTTGATATAGCCATCCATAGGCATATTATCTTTCTTATAGTCGAGCTTCTCCAGGTTGGAACGCTCTAGTATATAGCCTGGTGGGAACAGGGAAGCGGGGAACCTATTGCATCGAGTGATATTTTGTGATTATTAGATTGAGGGAACATACACCTTGGTGGTCATTAAGCAGTTCAGGGTTTTACAAATCAGTAGTGTGGGCTACCATAGCTGTTAGGGCATCGCGGTATACATCGCCTGTTCCTTGGTTCTAGCATGTAGTAGTTTCTGTCCCAACCCAACAGGAGGTAGTCTGTTTCAGATATCGATCCTCCAACCATTCTTTATGCCCCTCCACACCACCAACTCCCATTTATATTTTATACCTTACGACAACACCTAATCAAATTACACCATCTCAACCCACATTCGCATTCCAAAATCTCTATAGACATTCACATTCCATCACTCGCGGTGCTTACTAACCCACCAAACCCGCTGCCATAGCAACGCGCACCCCTGTATTTGTTTTGCACCTCTCACGACCTCCAACACCATCGCGCTCACCATAGGCCTCCCACGAGAGTTACCCACCGCACGCAATGGATCCCCGCGATCTCAAACAGGCCGCAAAACTCATCAATAACCAGCTAGCGTCACGTGGGCTTCTTCGAGGCGGAAAATCAATCCCATTCCACAAGCCGTCCGAGGATGACACCACTCCCGCAAAGATCATCAACATCATCCATGAGCTCATTGCTCGGCGAGATGTGGAGGAGGAGGAGCGAGAGTCGTTGGCGATGACACTGAGGTCGCTAAGAGCTCAGGAGACGAAGCAGGCAGAGATTATTGTACTGTTAACCCTTTTTTCTGAGCCTTTTCTTTCTCTCTCTACCTTCTCTTTTTTTCTCTCGGGTAAAGTATGACGGAGCTAACGGGTGAACGACATTTACAGGAATCTCTGAAGGCAAAGAACGCAGACCTAGCACGGCGAAACGGACTACTCGAGTCAGCATCCCGTTCCTTCGACCATACGCTCAGAACATCGGAGGCCGCGCAACGGACACTCCGCGATGAGGCAACCCGGATCAAGACGGTCCTAGGGCAGGTGCGTACGCAATGCGCAAACGACATCCGAAAACGTGATATCCAGATCACGAAGCTGAAGGAACGACTCACGGACACTCGGCCACGGGGACAACGCGCCCAACTTGCCAGCTGCACAATTATCAATCCTGCCAACCTCGATACCTCTTCCCGGGCGGAAGAGGAGACGTCCAATATTGCACAGGAGACGGCGGACTTCCTTACTACGCTGAGTCAGAATCTGGCGGACGAAAACGATAATCTTATTGCCCTCGTCCGAACTACCCTTTCTACACTCAAAGCGATCCAGGGCCTGCCAGATGATGATCATTTTGCTCAAGAGGATCAGGATGAGGAGCGGCCGGTGGTGGCCCCGCCGGCTGACTTCGACAAGTTCACGACAGAGTTGGATCAGGTTCTGTTTAGCCTTAAGGAGATGCTCAATCAGCCCAACTACGTTCCACTCGAGGACCTGGCCGAGAAGGAAGCAGAGATTACGAGACTTGTGGCTAAGAATGAGATGCTGGAAACCGAATGGAAGAAAGCTATCGCTTTAGTCGATGAGTGGAATAGGACACTGAGCCGCGGCTTCACCCAAGGAGTTGGCGGAGAGCAACGGGAGAAGGCACTGGCACAGTCAGAGGACATATTGAAGAATAGCCCAAAGAAGGTTGGTAGTCCAAGGAGATCGGTCATGGAAGTCTTCAAGGAAAGAGGCATGGAAGAAGAGTATGAAGAAGAGGAAGACATGAATGAGGGAATGAGGGCTGTGCTGTCAATGGTACAGGAGGAAGATGAAGAAGACGATGAGGGGGAGGAGCAACAGATGGAACTAGTGGCCGAGGAAGTGGAGGAAGAGGTGCAGGCTGAAGAGGAAGAAGCAGAAATAGAGGCTGAAAAAGAGATGGACGAGGAAGTAGACGAAGAAGCGGAGCAGGAACCAGAACCCGTAGTTGAGGAAATAGAGCAAGAGGAGCAGGAGGAGAAAGAGGAGGATGAGGAGCATGGAGAGCAAGAGGAACCAGCGGTCGAACAAACAGAAGACCAGGAAGAAACGATGATCGAGCAGCAAACCCCACAAATGGAGGAGCTCGCCGACGAGGAGGCCACACAAGAGGTGGTCGTAGTCCAACCCCCCATCAAGTCTTCAAGGAACCAGTCCAAACGTAAATCAAGATCCACGCCTACACCTACACTCACGCCCGAACCTCAGCCTACCTCAGCCAGCAAGCGTAAGTCCTCAAATGCAAAGGACATTCCCTTCCGTCAGCTCTTTGAAGACAGAGAAATTGCCACAAAATCCCCTTCAATGGTTCCCAAGCCTACAACTAGGAGGAGAGGGTCTACTCTTACAGCACTTGACGAGCCTGAGGAAATCGCCGAGGTACCAGCCAAGAAGGGACGAAGAAAGTCACGAAAGGAGGAAGCCACTCTCCCTGAAGAAGAGGCTCCTCCTCTTCCTGCTGTGCCTAAGTCGACAGCCAAATCCAAGACACCAGTATTGTCTAAGGCACCAGTATTGTCCAAAACACCGGCACTATCCAAGACCCCAGCAGCGTCCAAGACGCCGTCCAGGAAAAGTCCACGAAAGAAGGCTACACGAGTCACTCCCGAGTTAGATGCTAGTGCCCGCCAACTTGTGCAGGAGGAATTGCAGGCTACCCCGGCTCGTGTTCTCGAAATTAAAAAGAACACCACCTCTAGAAGGACCAGGAGCACGAGTCTAGCTGCAGAGGCAGAGAAAGCGCAGACCGATGCCGAGGACTCAACCAGCGGCCAGGATGCCCCCAAAAGCAGAAGCAGAAGGCAGACTAGGAGAACCGTTGCGGAAGAAGTCACGATGGTAGGAGAGACAACAGAGATATCAGCCCTTGAGTCAATCATGATTGAAGACTCGGCTCCAAAATTAAGGCTGCGACCAAGAGCTTCGAGGAACAGAAAGGAGCCCGAGCCCGAGCCCGAAGTCGAAGATCTGGATATGCTGTTGAGCAAAGCCATCCGCGACCCATCAGAAGCGCCCGAACCCGCGCCTGAGCCTGAGCCCGTACCAAAGCGGAGCGTCCGAGGAAGAAAGAAGGCTGCTGAAGCTGACACCACGGTCGAAACCACTATGCTCGAAGACACCTTCGAAGAAGTCTCCAAGAAGTCTGATCTCCGGCGCCGCTCCTCACGGCACAAAAAGCCTGATGAAACCGAGAACATGCTCGCTGATCTCAGCGCTCCCGAACCCGTCCACTACCAAGAGATCCCCAACGCTGTCCAAGTTGTTGCCATGCGTGACGGTTCAGCAGAGGAGGGAGTGGAGGAGGAGAAGGAAGGAGCAGGAGGGGCGAAGCTGAGCCGGGCGAGAAGAAAGTCGCTGCGGAATGTGAGTTCTTTAATTTCCTTCTTCTCCTCCCTTGATGGGAAGAGGTAAACGTAGACTACTAATGTGTGCGTGTGTCTTTTTGTTATATAGCGTGATAAATATCCCCGTGATGGTCAAGGAATTGTAGCCGAGCCGGTGCCTGTACCGGTGGAGGCCTCGCCGAGCATGCCAAAGAGAAAGAGGAAGAGTACTGCAGACCGCGAAGGGCAGCAGGGACTGAGGACAAGCCCGAGGAAGAGGGTGGCAAGGAGTGTGGATGTATAAGCCTTACATTTTCTATCTTTTCCCCCTTCTTTCCAATTGTTTCATGTCTTCTTTCTTTTTTTTGTATGAGATGCCCTTTTTTTATTTGGGACGGATGCTACCTTTTTTTTATCTCTCATTTCCGGTTCGAGATTTTTTTTCCTTGTGGGTCCTGATCAAGTTTGTTTCTTCATATATATCTTTATTTTGGAGTAAGCATATGGTTAATGGCGTTTATTTTTGAAAGGGATTGATTGTGTGGAGGGGAGGGGGAACTTGTACAAATTTTGGGGGCCAATACAGCATTTTGAGGTTGTGCCGCTATTTGGTATTATTGTTTTGTATATTACGAGGATCTAATATCATTGGCAACTTCGAATCTCATAATGTGGTCTGTTAATTGGCACGAGTGGTGATGTGAGGGAGGTGGGGATAGCATCTCTCTCCACATGAAAGAGAAGTCAGACTGGAAATCTGCATACGTGTACCGTCCCAGAGAACAAGTTGCTCTCTGACTGTAACTTCTATAAGAGAGACCTTCTCCCATTCATGCTTTGCTTTAATCTATCTGTTCGAATACACGATAGACTTTGTTCATTGGTTCTCTTTTGCTCTAAGATCACTCCCGATAAAACCAAGTGTTTGGTCAATTCCACAGTTACTTCTTAGATATCAACTAGCTTTGTTTTATGGATATATCATGCAGGCAAGGGCAATAAACAACATCGAGTGACACCCCGTGCAGGCACTAGCTCAACAACCACACCTCAAAGCTTCGCCCTCAAATTCGCACTATCCCTCTTATCCCCTTCATCGTCTTGCTCCTTGACCGTTAGATCTGGAAACTCCGCCGGCATGATCCTCCTCGGCGTGCTCCCTGGCACCAGTGCATACCCCGAGAAGTCAGTCACGCCCTTGTGGCGCCTCAGAAAGTCTTCATCCGTGTCTAATAGCCCATTGACTACCTTCGTCGGCGCCTCCAGCATTGCTAGTATCGCATCCGAGAATATCGTCTCCAGGACACACATCAAATCAGCACCCTTCACTCCCTCTAGATCTTCAGGAAGCAGGAAAGAAACAACATACCGGGCTCCTCAAGTCCCGTAGCTCAACCCCCTCAGTCGCCCCGCTCCTGATCGCAGCCGCTGGCCAAATGCTCGTGATGGCCATCTCCTTCCTCCCCTGCGCCTCCCACTCCATCGCCAGCCCCTTCGTCAGCACGCTCATGCCCACCTTTCCGATCGCATACGCCGTCTTCCCGCGGAAGAAGCGAGAATATATCGGCGGGGATACGACAACAACGCGTGCGCACCATCCTTGCGACTCGAATACGGGCAGGAGCGTTTGTATAAGCTTGTAGAGGCCCTCGGGGTTGATGCGTTGCAGCAGCTGGAACCGCTTCAAGGGTGTGGTAGAGACGGGGCCCCACCAGATGGCGCCGGAGTTGTAGATTACGGTGTCGATGTGGCCGAGCTTCTGGTGCGTGTATTAGTGTGGGCTGACTGGTGGTTGTAGGAGAGGGGTAGGTACAGAAATGGTTGTGGAGATGAGCGCCTCAATGCTCTCGATATGCTGCACGTCCACAGGAATAGCTAGGGCCTTCCCGCCATGGAGCTCTGTGATCTCGCGCGCGACCGTCGTGATCGTGGACTAATATACCCCTCGGGCCTATTAGCTACGGACTGACTACGAATTGAAGATGAAAAGTAGATTTGCGGAGTCATGCACATCTCTCGAGTTCGGATCTGGCGGGAACGGCTTTGTCCCATCATCATCAGACGTACTCTTGGCCGACACAACAACTTTTATTATCACGAGTGTGTCAATGATCAGGATACCTCATTTGCGAGCAGGGTAGTACACACCTGTATAGCCAGCTTTGCTGAGGTCAATGGCTACCTGGCGACCGATGCCGCGGGAGGCACCGATGACAAGTGCGACTTTGGGGGTTGGTTGGGTCATGATGGTAATTTAATGAGTTCTGAGGTAGGTAATTGAGCTCGAGGCCGAGGTTGGTGTGGATGGGAATGATTCTTTGGTCGAGATATTATGTAGCTGGACCGTGGGGTTACACAGATCTACAGAAGGGGCGCTGGCCTCGGTTCGGCTCTTGATCAGTAATAACGCTTGAGCTAAGGCTTGTGAGATATTAATTGGGACCGAGTGATAGTCTGTGGTGAGGGACCGCCGTATTGGGGCCTTAACCGGACTGCATAAGATAGGTATTTGGACGGTGTTGAGTTCTTGGGCGGATAAAGAATATTGCCATGGCGCTGCGGGGTACTGTTACTACTACTGGCTATTAATTATTGGTTACTAACTACTATTTCTACTAGTTACGATGTATTTGTTGCGAAATACTAAGCTACTATTTATTACTCGCGACAATTTATTACTAGCTAGCTATAGAAATATCAGTATATCTTCTTACTACCCTAGCTCTCACCAATTCAATATCGTGGTGAAACACAGCCCTTATTTATATGATTATAGAATAATAAGAACCGCTCAGTGGGACTCATGTGCTGCAGACCTGCAGGGTCCACTTAAGCCTCGGCTGCACCCCAGCTTTACTAATCCTAGTCAGACGAACCGAGCTCTAAGTTCCAAAGCTCACGGTCGAAGCTACACGCTCTTCTAGGTATCAATTCCCATATCACCTCTTGACCACAAACTCACCTCAGGTCCTCAATCAATTACACCATCCGCGCAACTATGTCGTCAAAGATTACCTGCTACCTGGACTGCGGTACCGCCTCCCCTCACCTACGTGCCCTACCTACCTCACATACTAACGCTTCTCCCCAGTATCTCCATACTCCTACTTCGCCTTTGTCCACCTCCTCAAGCACCAGGTCGCTCTCACGGCGCACAACATCGAGCTAGACTTTATCCCCGTCTTCCTCGGCGGCATCAATGCCGGCAGCGGGAACCAGCCGCCATGGATGCTCCCCGCCAAAGCCGCCTACTCCAACATCGATCTCCAGCACGCAAAGCGCTACTTCGGCCTCCCCAACCTCATCAAGCGCCCTAGCGTCTTCCCCACCAACACCCTTCGCGTACATCCCCCCCTCCCCTCCCCCTCCCCTCCTCATCCCACCTCTCTCCTTGCACCACTATAAGCTAACCTAACCCTAACAACAGGCCCAACGCGGCCTCACCTACATCAAAGCGCACTACCCCACCGTCTACCACGAAGCCTTCCGCCTCGCCTGGGTAGCACTGTGGGAAAACGACACCGACATCTCCCAGCCCGCGCTGCTCTCCGCCGCCTGGGCGCCGCTCTTCCCCGCCGCGGGCGAGCTGGAGAGGGTGCTACAGGCGGCGGAGGACCCGCGGTGGAAGAAGCAGCTGCAGGATAACACGAAGGAGGCGCTGGAGAACGGGGCGTTTGGCGCGCCGTGGTTTGTGGTGACGAACTCGAGGGGGGAGAGGAGTGTGTTTTTTGGGAGTGATAGGTTCCATTATATGTTTGCGTTTTTGGGGCTGCCGGAGGGGTTGGGCGAGAAGGCGAGGTTATAGTTGGTAGGTTGGTGGTTGGGTGTGTAGAAGATGGGCGTGTGTGGAAGATAGATGTTGGGTATCGCGCGAGTTGTAGAGGGGTGTATAGATACCTGGATGTTTCGGCCCCCAAAAGTGGTTACTGCCTACAAGTATTGTAGCTGGCTTATGACTTACGCTTTAAACCCCACTCCAAAGCGGTGGATATTAACAGCTGGATTGATACCATTATCATCTCCGCACTAGTTTCGTGAAACACGGCACCTGAATCATTGAATCCCCCCCGCATTGCCGTTCCCAAAGGATACATATAAGCTCAGTACCAATGCCCATCATTTCTAAATACATATGCAAGAGCTTAAAAAGCCAATTGATCAAATCACCAACAAATGTCTTCCATACCACCAGATCTAAAGAACTCGGGCTGCCACGCATATATTTAAGCATTATTCACGCCGCCCACACCCGAGCAGAAGCATTGATTACCCAACGCGTAACAAATCCTATTTGTGGGAGGAGGCCGGACGTGATGTTGTAAATTGTAATACAGCTCCTTTTGAGTGTTAGAGAAAAAGCAGATAGAGAGTATGGTAGGTACATACAGATTAACCAAGCAAGTGTCTATTAAAAAAAAAAAAAAGAATGGTAATATCCGAGTCCATTATCACTGAAGCACCCCCATTGAATGCAGACCTCAAATGTACAGCGGTGGGTAATAAGTCATCAGACGGAACACCACCAAAATACGCGTTTGCAGGCAAAATTGTGGCTAGGTCGTCCGATGACTTATTACCCACCGCTGTAAATCAGCTTATAGTTATACCGGTGGGTATACACTAATCCTAACCTAAGGGTTCTGTTTGGATTCGCTTCGGACCATGAATCATGATTGTATTCGCTAGTGGATGACAAGTTGTCTCTGATCTTTCTCTCTCCGCAGAAGCTAACGCGACCATTGACGGCCAGAAACCTGCAATATACGAATACCCGGATCCCTGGTATAATGGACCGCGATATAGATCTCTGCACTTGGACCGACCAACCCAACCAATGGGTTAGGGTTCCAGCACTCCCACTACTCATCACGTGAAAGCACAAGCCCGCTCAATTACTACTTCACAAGCGATCACTCACCGCCCGTGCCAAGAGCCCATAACCAACCCTCTCGAGCCTTACTCTAATGACCTCGATTCCAGGCAGGCAGGAATGACGTGCCCTTGCCCTAGCTCACTACGCTACTCTTACCCTTACCCTTCTTTACCCGGATCGGTCGGCAGCCAGCTGGCATGTCAGCATTCCTCTGTGTGTAACTAAAGCAACTACAGGGATCGGATCTGGATGTAGGTAGCCCTAACTAAAAGCACACGGCAATGTTCCAATTGGAAGAAATAGAAAAACGTGGAATGGAGTGGAGCTGGGAAAGCTAGTGGTAAATATATATCTGAGTGTGATCGGTTGTGCGGTGCTGGGTTACTGGGTTGGTGCTGGGTGGTGCACATGATGATAAGGTAGGATCTCGTTTTGGAGCAGCTTTTTCAGCCTTGGGGTTGGATATCATGCGAGCTGGATGATCGATATGGTAGTGGATCCTCGTCTTTGGGATGTAGGGTCGACTTTTTTTACTCGATTCTACTATTTAGTGAAGTAGCCCAGGCCTAGCTAGGCTGGCTAGAGTAGATCTCGCTCTTCTGCGCTGCACGCAAATATATATTAGCCACTAGCTTGGGGTAGCTAAGCTATCTCGCTCTATTTATACCGCACGTAAGGCCTAAATAGGTGCTCGTACTCGCTTCCCCTCCGCAAGTATCCCTGTGCCTACTTACAATACCTACCTCAGCCCAGAAAAGAATGCATACAAAACTCACAACCAATGATTGCTCTACCAATTTTTCGACTTACTTGAGCGAAAACAATATTTGCCAGTAGCCCGCGATAGCCCCATTCCGATACAGGGCTGAAGGGTTTAGGCATACGCGCTATACGTGGTCCTGCATACCGACCGCGCGATATTCAAGACATCGCAAAATCGGGCAATATGTATGTAGATACTGTCTAAGTATTGATATCTCCCATTGGTTTCCTAGCTAGGAGCCTGAGCACACATATATATATATGCTGCTGTCTGTCACTGTGTCTGTCAGTCAGTCTGCTAATCTGTCAGTTTGTGAATAAAAACCACCCCATAAACTCCAAAACCTTCATCAAAAATGCAGCTCACGACCGTGCTCCTCCTCTCTCTCACCGCACTCATCAATGCTGCTCCAGCACCAGTACCAGCACCGGCTGATAGTGCACAGGCCTTTAGCGTATGCCTTCCTCTTCTGTTCCTGGGTGTGAAGAACTAGCTAATATAATAGATAGTACACGAGCTGTTTGACGGTGTCGTACGACACACCGCAGGGGATCGCGTTCTACCAGATTGAGAACAAGGACTCGGCAACGTTTGCGGCGAACTGCAAGAAGTGCATGTATGTTTATTCTTCTCTATCTTTCCCGTTTCTTCTAGTTGGATATATGCTGATGAGTTCTATGCACGCAGTGGGACGACAACGGGATGTGGAACGTCCGATACAGTCTGTAAAAATAATAAGTTTAATGAGTGCGCGAAGACCTTGTAGAAATAGGGGGCATACGGTTGGGGTGTTGATATTTGGAGAGAAAGTGAAGGAGGACTATTCTTACATACACGCATGGAGCGGGCCATCTAGACCGTATTTTTTTATGTTGCCTTTTGCTTCTAGGATAATTGTAATTGTGATGAAAGTGCACTTTGCAACGGCATGTAGATCTGGCTTGTTTTGTGGGGTCGAGATTATAGTGCAGAAGCGGACGCAGGCCAAGTTTCGGGTAGATTAATTAAGTGCACATTTAATTGTGTGTACACTGAGTTACAAGACAACGTTTAGCTATCGAATTAGCTGGCTGTTTTATTCTTCTTAGAATTCTACATCGGACCCCTCAAGATGAGCAGGTGAGGATGTGCTTTGTGTGGTTATTGGAAAAATGGGTGAAGGTGACTACTCTCAATCGAAGTTTCCTCTAAGGATTCACCTGGAACGATTTATTTTGCTAGAGGAGATACTTTGAGATGGAGCCAGCTATCTAGCTCTCTCCCCTTCGTCGGCTAGCACTTGGTTTGTTTATCTGACCACCTATTGCCAGTCCATTATTCCACCACTCCCCGGTGCGCTATCTCGGCAGGATTGAATTCCTATGAGACATCGGCTAGGACGAATTACAAAGCAAAGCCAACATAGAGACATCTCAAAGCACGAGCTCAATCACCCCCACAGCACTGGGCAGGAACTCCTCTATACTTATGACAATCACTACAACTGGCTCTACGTATATATGGTTCTTGGCTAGGCCCTACTGTGTAATCTGGTGGGGACGTTTGTGTATGTATATATAGGCCACATGCGCCTGTATCTAGACGGGATAAAGTCATTTATCCTTCCCATGCTCCTTGTCCTGCTGTATCACAATACTCATACATGTATCTTACTTAGGGCCAATACTTGAACCTTACATTTCTGGCATTCGAACTCATGGCACAGCCAGACGACAAAGAGTCTTTTCCCAAGCAAGCTCCCGTGAAGACTCAAGTGGAACGGTGGTGGCTTGGGCGCATGTAACGGCCTCTCTCTGGCTTCCTAACGGTGATGATCATGAAAGGATGTACGTATTATTGAATGGCTAGTACGATCTATCTACGAGGCATCACAGCTCTAGGCGTTAGATCTTTAGTGAGTTGTTCTCAACCCCAATCGTTTTGGGGGTCACAGTAGAGCTCTAGGAACAATAATCGCAAATCGCAAAACGGGGCATGAGGTTAGGTCTTTAGGCGCTTGTATGTCTACGTGACAAATCACCGTCTCTAAGGACGACGGAAAGACCGACCCTACATGTAGCTAGGCTAAATAAAAGTATTATAGTCGACCCACATAAGCTTGAAAATTAAAGTTTGATACGGGCTTGGCGCCGAGTTCTGATAAATTACGCCCATGTCCCTCACCCAACCCTGACCGGCCACTCCCTACTCTATTCCAACCTCTCTCCTCTCACGCAACAAAAAATGAAAATGAGAAAGATTCATACAAAAAAAATGGACAATCATTCACTATAGAGATCTTCCCACAAATGGATATACTGCTGTACATATTCCAGATTCATACTAATGAATCAATCAATCAATCAATTATCCCGGATTCACAAAATATCACTCGCCTTCTCTCTCTCTGCTAAGGTTTGCGTGTTATAATCGTCTGCACTCATCACGGTTGTGCACCTTTAGAGCGAGACCTGAATGAACAAATTACTGACCCACCCACGGTTACACTTCGTTATGGTATTTAATCGTGGATACAGGTGGGCTTCATCATGAGCTCTCACTCGACCCTAGAAACCGCTGGAATGATGATTTTCTTCATATTAACGGGATAAAGCCCTAGAACCAGCTCGTATACAGCTTGAGTATACGGGGGTGTGTGATTGAAGTTGTGAGGATGCTTGATATATCATTTCTTACCCCATCACCCGGGACGCTTTGCGCTGGTGTGGGACTTAGGTGGATATTCTGCACCTTTGCTCATGAGAGAACGCATCTCATTTACGATTCTAAAGAGTGAGTATATACTGGTATATAATGTGGTTCAAAGCACTTTATTTTGTGGTATCCAAGTTATTTTACAACTGAGCTCCACGCCCAAAACAAGCCAACAAGCGCGGGAAAAACCATTACTATTATGAACTCCCTATCCCATAAAACTTTTGCTATATACAAGATAAACACAAACACCAACGCAAACAACCCCGCCAGTCCACTACATCTCCTCCTCCACGCCCCCATCCCCAGCAATCTCCACCTTCCTCTTCCTATCCGCCCTCAACTTATGCAGCGCCACCGCACCCGTCTGCCTCGCCACCTTCTCCCCCATCCTCTCAATCTCCTCCTCCGCATCCGCCGCCTCCTGCGCCGCATACTCCAGCACCAGCCTCCTCCCCAACAAATGCGTATCCCTCAGCGCCTCCATCGCGCCCTCCGCCTCCCGGCTCGTCACAAACTCCGCAAACGCAAAACCCCTCGTCGCGCCACCAAACTTCTTAGGAACACGCACAGTGCGCAGCGTACCATAGTGGCCAAACAGCGCGCGGATGTCCTTCTTGCTGGCCTCGAAGGGCAGGTTCTTGATGATGATCTTTGTGCGCTTGCTCGCGTCCTTCTTCGCCGTATCGGCCTTCTTGCGCTCGGCGGCGGCGTCGAGGCCCTTGTGCGAGGCCTTGATGAGCAGTTTGTGGCCCTCGAGGACGAAGCCGTCCATTGCGGCGAGGGCGGCCTCGGCCGCGGCCTTGGTGCGGAACTCGACGAAGCCGAAGCCCATTGAGAGGACCTGGCCGGGCTTCTTGGGGTCCGTCTTTGTCTTGACGCGCGCGGACATGAAGCCGTCGATGGGGCGGAATGTGTCTGCGAGGAGGGCGCTGGTTGTTGAGAAGTTGAGGTTGCGGACAAAGAGGGTTGAGGTGTCGGCGGATGCGTCTTCGGTGCTGAGGAGGTCTCCGGCGGATGGTTTTGCGTCCTTGGCGGAGGAGATTGCGGCTGCGGCGGCGAGCTGCGTGGCGTTGGGGTTGGCTTGTGTGGGGTCGAAGGAGGCGGTGAAGAGGCCGCGGGGTGCCTTCTCGAGGAAGAGGACGCTGTCTTTGAAGCGGCGGTAGGCGAGGCCTGCGAATGCGACGCGGGCGGCGGGGGCGGCAAGGAATTCTGCGATTGCAATGGTGCCGGAGGGCGGCATGAGGACGCGGCCGAGCTGGCCGAACTCGGAGAGCATCTTGCGGAGCTCGTCGGTTTTGGTGCCGTAGGGGAAGTTCTTGATGAGGATGACCTTGTCGTCGCGGTCCTTCTTGTTGAATGCGTCGAGGTCGATGCCCTGGGCGCGGAAGTAGGCCTTGGTCTCCTGGATGACGTGGGTTTCGGCGTGGGCCTGGCGCACGGCGGCGTCGGAGGAGGTGGGGTCGAGGAGCTCGGCTTTGGATACGCCGAGGCGGTCGGCAACAGAGGACATGACGGCGTCGGCGCTCATGTACAAGCTGTTCCAGTTGAACTGGGATGTTGCGGCGCCGGCTTTCTTCTTGAGCTCGCGTTGCTTTTTGAGAGGGAGCTTGGAGAGGGCGTATTCGTCAAGGCGGTTCTCACGCTTCGGGGCTGAGGGGAGAATGTGTAGGAGGCGGCCTTGGAAGATCTTGCGGTCAAGGTGCTTGAAGGCTTCGACAGCATCGATAGGATTTGTGTATTGGATGTAGGCAAAGCCTTTGGAGGCGTTGGTTTTGTTATCAATTGGGAGATGCACCTGATGGTTGTTAGTTGCTGGGAAAAATGATTTGGGGATCGTTGGTCGTAGATCAATCATTGACCGCAACCACCCCAAAATGGAATTGAAATCTTACCTCTTCCAAATCGCCGTGCTTTTTGAAATGTTCCCGAAGATCATCTTCGGTAATCGAATATGATAAATTCCGTAAGAATAGTCGCCCGCTCTTGGATATCGTCTCAAAGGCGGCCTCTTCCTCAGTTGTGCCTTTCTCCTCCTCTTCTGATTCCTCGGCTTTGACGGGTTCGGTCATTTCCCCATCAATGCCTTTCCATTCCTCAGATTCGCTTTGCGCGGCTGGAGCTCTCTGTGGAGGCGCCTGGGACGTTGTATTATCGTTTAGCGTCACTCTCGCGATCTCCGCATCCACGTCGTCCGTCAGGTCCAACAATCGGCTCGTCTTGGACCTCAACCAGTCCGCATCTGAGACTGGCGCCGCCGGTTCCGCCTCTACCGCCTCAGTCTCCTTGGTTTCCTCAGCACCCTTCATTTCCACATCCTCCTGTGGCTCATTCTCCTGCGGCCTACCCTCCGGCGCCTTTTCCTTCTTTTCCTTCTTCTCCTTCTTTTTGACCGGAATACTCTCGTACTCATCGTCACTCTCTCCCGCCTCTACCACCGCAACAGTGTCCATTGCCGGCGCCGCCGCGCCCTGTCCAAACGTCGCCAGATCCTCATTCGCCCACGTCTTTGACTTGGATACTGGCGCCATTGCCTCCAAAAACTCCTTCAGCTTTGGGTCCTCCGGCGCCGGCGCCGGCGCTTCGCCTCTCTTCCGCTTTGCGCCGTCCGTCTTAGCAGCGGCGGCGGCCTCCTGTGCTTCATGTTTACGCTTGTACGCCGTAGACCCGGGGGTGTGCTTACTCCATGCTCTGGGGAGCTCTGCGTCTGCAACCTATTGTTGTTGTTGCACAATTAGTGGGGGGGAAGGAAGGAAGGTGGGCGGGAGGGGGAGAAGGTGGAAGGTGGCGTACAGGGCGCGCAAGCTCGACCCAGATGCGAGACATGCGGATAAAGGTCTTGTTGAAGTATTTTACGGCGCGCTCGGCATCGGCGTTCGTCTTGTAGCCCACATATCCAATGCGACGGGACGGGATCAGCTTGGTGTCTGTTATTGCTTCGGGCGACTGCGCGGAGAAGTGGGCGCGGAAGTCGGACTCGGTGAAGGTGGGGGGGAGGCCGCGGACAAAGATACGGGTTGACCTGTTATTGTGTGTGTGTAAGTTCCTTGCTTGCTTGCTTGCTGCTGCTGCAGAACGGGTGGGGGAGGGAGGGATCGTGGGGAAGAGAGCTTACATTTCCGGGCAGATTTTGGGGGGGGCGGGAGAGCGAAGTGGTGGTGGTGGTTTTGAAGAGGGTCAATTGGGAATGGGTCTGTCTATCAATCTGTGATGTGCTGAGATTTGGGGCCTTTAATGGTGGTTTGGATGAAATTTTTGTGGTGGTGGTGGTGGTGGTTTAGTTTGGAACCTGGACTGGCTGGCTGGCTGACTGGCTGGTCAGTCAATGAATGAATGGATGGATGAATGAGCGCAGTGGTTGGTGGTTGGATGCGAATACTTTTTTTTTGTGGTTTTCCCCAAGCATGGATTTTTTTTTTAGCGTGAGGCTGCATGATAAGCACTGGGTTACGTAATTCCCCATGGCCATGCCAATCCCTCGTCTGCGTATGCATGGCCTGTTTTAACAAAGGAACTTGCGAGAATCTCAGGGGGAGCGAGCAGATCAGAGCAGATCAGCAAAGAGAGAAAAAGAGAGATGTGATATGGCGAATTCAACACCAAGAGTAGAGTAAATAATAGACATTCCCCCATCAGTAGACTCGCAGAGGGGCCTGGATTAATTGGCCCCGAAGAAAAGAAAGAACGGAACAGTGATGTGCAGCATCGTGCTACTTTACTAGGGGGGGAAGGGCTGCGTGGGTGTCGGGGCCTCCCTCTGGCTTTAATCTCAACAACTACCTACCTAGATTGCCTGAGAGGCTTCCCTTCCCTTCCTCTCCCTCTTCTTCTCTTCTGCTCTTCTCCCCCTACTACTACTACTAGCTAAGGAAACAAAGACCCCCTTCTTCTTCATCTCTCCACATCTCTCCCCACCCCCCCCCCCCCCCCCCACACGCACGTTATCCTCTCTTTGTTATCATCTCTCGTCTCTCTCGTTTAACTGCTACCACTACCACTACGACTACCACCCACTCCTCTCTCTATATCCTCACAACCAACCTACCAATCACTCGTCCATAACCCACTAGCAATGTCGGCTCCAGCCTCAAGCAACGAGACCGCAGCTCAGAAGAGTAAGATCCTCCCACGCCCCCCCCCCCCCCCCTCCCCCACTCATTTTTGCTACACGGTTTAAACTGACTGTCCAACAGCCCAAGTCAAGAGCGTAGATATGGTACGAGAAAGCAACGGACGCTCCAAGGTGACATTGGCACAGCTCTAACATTGTAGACGGACATGTAGACGGAAGAGATGGAGGCCGAAGCTCTCTCAATTGGTATTACTATCTCCTCCCCACTACTATTGCCTCTAGTGCTAATATAACACCCGTGCTATAGCCAAGGCAGCCGTCCTCACAAACAACGTCGAGAAGGACATTGCCCAGTACATCAAGAAGGAAGTTAGTTACCCCCCCCCCCCATAGCCGCCCCCCTCATTGTAGACAGGAGCTTACAAACTACACGCAGTTTGACCAAAAGCACGGCAACACATGGCACTGCATTGTCGGCAGGAATTTTGGAAGCTTTGTCACCCACGGTATATATCCCCCTCCCTCAATTCGAGAATTCAAGAGTCTATGGGTGGCTGCTAATGGTTTGGGTACGTAAAGAGACTAAGCACTTTATATACTTCTATGTCGGCAACCTCGCTGTCCTCCTCTTTAAGACCGCATAATTCACCTAGCTCCCACAGGAATTTTTTTATAGGTTGAGATGAAACGGGGAAGATAGCAAGAGCAAGAGACGAAGAAAGAAAAGAAAACCTGGCTTTTTTCTTCCATATGTGTTTTTTTATTTGTTATGTGAGTTGAGTTGAGTAAGCATGATGAGGCCATATACTATTAGTTTTTCCTCCAGTCTCTACTTTTGCTTGGGAGTTGTTGTTGTCGGTGGTTTGGGTGGGGAATCGAACAACATGTAAGCTGCTGGGTTTCGTGGTGTAATTCATAGCAATGATTCTTTTCTTTATCTTGTCTGGGGAGTTTGAATACAGTACTGTAGGTTACCTATCTATCGCGAAAATATCATATCTTCAGCTCCATATTGTGTTCTTTCACGCGCGACGCCCCATCCCGCAATTGAGCCTGTAGCAGAACCTCCCATCTAGAAGCAATCCAGGATGCCCCTTCTCGCTCCATCCACGCGTCCCCCACGCCGGGGGACCCCAGAGATCAGCAGTTGCCATCGCGTCGTTCGTTCCGCCGCTGTTGCTGCTGACAAAAGCAAGCCTGTCTTGGCATGGATGGTCGGCTTGGCCAAGCCTCAGACAAAGCGTAGCCGCAACCCCCAGGGAAAGCTCTATCTGGCTCCCTTCTCTCACTCCCACACACTCCAACCCTCCCCCCATCAGAGACAGCCCCCCGAGGATACAGCCCCACGTATCCCCAAAGACTGCTCTGCTCTTTTCTTGCTTCTTTTCTCTTGCTCCTCCTGCCCCGCCCATACCTCCCCCCCTCCAAACGCCCTTGTAGCAGAATACCTGCTACCTTCAATTCGATACTAGACACGCGAGTTTCGCCCCTCAATCCACGGAACGAACTCACGAAACTCACCACCGGACCCCTCTCCTCTCCTCTCCCCCGTAGAGCAGCGGCCTCATCATCATGGCTGACGCGGATTACAATGACGACATTGCTGCGGAAGACTGCTGGCAAGGTACACACACTCTCTCCATCTCTCCATCATCTCCCCCTCCCCCCTCACCCACTCCCTCCCTCTTCCCCACTGCTGCAGCCATGAAATTGACCCTCCCACCACAGTCATCTCCGCCTTCTTCGACCAGAAGGGGCTCGTCTCGCAGCAGCTCGACTCGTTCGACGAGTTCGTCGGCACCACCATGGTCGAGATGATCGAAGAGGACAGCGTTCTGACGCTCGACCAAAACACGCCCCAGAGCGACGACGGCATCGTGCTCCGCCGCTACGAGATCAACTTTGGGCCGTGCTTCCTGTCACGGCCGACCATGACCGAGGGTGACGGCAGCACGCAGCCCATGTTGCCGCAGGAGGCGCGCCTGCGTAATCTGACGTATAGCGCGCCCATGTATTGCGAGCTCAAGAAGAAGGTTATGGTGGCGCGGGAGGTGGAGGTCGGGAGTGATGAGGAGGAGGAGGAGGAGGGCGGCACGGCGGTGAAGGAGCGGGTCAGGTATGAGTGGGAGGTTGAGGATGAGGATATGGAGGCGACAAAAGTTTTTATTGGCAAGATGCCAGTGATGCTGAAAAGTCATTACTGCATCTTGAAGGACTTTGCAGAGGAGGACCTGTATTCGTTAAACGAGTGCCCCTACGATCAGGGTGGATACTTCGTCATTAACGGATCAGAAAAGGTGTTGATTGCGCAAGAGCGGTCAGCGGCGAATATCGTCCAGGTTTTCAAGAAGGCGCTGCCATCACCAACGCCGTATGTGGCAGAGATTAGATCCGCGGTGGAGAAGGGTTCTCGGTTGATCTCCAGTATGCAGATCAAGCTATACTCAAAGGGAGAAGCCCGAGGTGGCTATAATGCAACCATTAAGAGTACACTCCCGTACATCAAGAGTGACATCCCCATTGTCATTGTGTTCAGAGCCCTCGGGGTGGTGTCCGACGAGGATATCCTTAACCATGTCTGCTACGACAGAAATGACACGCAAATGCTCGAGATGATGAAGCCATGTATCGAGGAGGCTTTCGTCATCCAGGACCGAGAAGTCGCGCTTGACTTTATCGGAAAGCGTGGTAGCTCCCAGGGTATTAACAAGGAGAAGCGTATCCGTTACGCCAGAGATATTATGCAGAAGGAGCTTCTCCCTCATATCTCACAGAGCGAGGGAAGTGAAACAAGGAAGGCGTTCTTCTTGGGATACATGGTGCACAGGATGTTGCAGTGTGCCTTGGAGCGAAGAGAGGTGGATGACAGAGATCATTTCGGGAAGAAGAGACTTGATCTTGCGGGGCCGCTACTTGCCGGTCTGTTTAGGACTCTGTGGAAGAAGCTTACGAAGGATGTCTACAAGTACTTGGAGAAGTGTGTCGAGACAGGCAAAGATTTCAATCTCACGCTAGCAGTCAAGAGCAACACTATTACCAACGGACTCAAGTATTCACTCGCCACCGGTAACTGGGGTGAGCAGAAGAAGGCCGCCAGTTCCAAGGCCGGTGTGTCGCAGGTGCTTAACAGATACACTTTTGCGTCCACATTGTCCCATTTGCGGCGAACCAACACGCCTATCGGACGTGATGGTAAGATCGCAAAGCCCCGCCAGCTTCACAACACCCATTGGGGACTTGTGTGCCCTGCCGAAACGCCCGAGGGGCAGGCATGTGGTCTCGTCAAGAACTTGTCACTCATGTCATATATCACTATTGGAACACCCGGATACCCGCTCGTGGACTTTTTGTCATCAAACGATATGGAATTGCTTGAGGAGTATGAGCCACAGAGATCCCCCAATGCGACAAAGGTATTCGTCAACGGTGTCTGGGTCGGAACGCATCGTGACCCACTCATGCTGCATAAGGTTGTCCAGGACGTTAGAAGACAGGGTGTTGTCAATCATGAAGTCTCCATTATCAGGGATATTCGTGATAGGGAGTTCAAGATTTTCACGGATGCGGGACGTGTGTGTAGGCCGTTGTTCGTCATTGATAACGACCCGCGAAGTGAGAGAAGAGGACAGCTGGTACTTCAGAAGGAGCATATCGAGAAGTTGGAAGACGATCATGCGCTACCGATGGAGGACCGATTCGGATGGGAGGGTCTGCTGTTCGGTGGTACCGTCGAGTACCTGGATGCCGAGGAAGAAGAGACAGTCATGATCGTCATGACTCCTGAGGATCTAGACATGAGTAGGCAGATGCAGCTTGGTTACGAGGAGCCCAAAGACGAGTTCAGCGCAAAGCGTGTCAAGGCGCCGATCAACCCCCACACAGCGCATACATGGACACATTGTGAGATTCATCCCAGTATGATCTTGGGTATCTGTGCCAGTATCATTCCCTTCCCCGATCACAACCAGTCTCCACGTAACACATATCAGTCTGCTATGGGTAAGCAAGCTATGGGTGTGTTCCTTACCAACTTTGCAGAGCGTATGGATACCATGGCGAACATTCTGTACTACCCGCAGAAGCCGCTTGCTACTACACGTTCTATGGAGTACCTGAAGTTCCGAGAGCTGCCGGCTGGGCAGAATGCTATTGTCGCTATCTTGTGTTACTCTGGATACAACCAGGAAGATTCCGTCATTATGAACCAGTCGTCGATTGATCGTGGGCTCTTCCGTTCGTTGTTCTACCGTTCGTACATGGATCAGGAGAAGCGTATTGGTATGCAGGTTGTGGAAGAGTTCGAGAAGCCGACCCGCGCCAACACATTAAAGCTTAAGCACGGAACATATGACAAGCTTGACGAGGACGGTCTTGTGGCTCCGGGAGTACGTGTGTCCGGAGAGGATATCATTATTGGAAAGACAGCACCTATTGCGCCAGACGTCGACGAGATGGGCCAGCGACAAAAGTTCCACACAAAGCGTGACGTCTCCACGCCCCTCCGTAGTACCGAAAACGGTATCGTTGACCAGGTCATGCTTACCACCAACGCCGAGGGTCTCAAGTTCGTCAAGGTCCGCATGCGAACCACCAAGATCCCCCAGATCGGAGACAAGTTTGCCTCTCGTCACGGGCAGAAGGGTACCGTCGGTATCACCTACAGACAAGAGGACATGCCTTTCACCTGCGAGGGTATCGTGCCAGATCTTATCATCAATCCCCACGCCATTCCGTCCCGTATGACAATTGCCCATCTGATCGAGTGCCAGCTGTCGAAGGTCTCTTCTCTCCGTGGTTTTGAGGGCGACGCTACACCGTTCACCGACGTCACTGTCGAGTCTGTCTCCACACTTCTGCGCCAGAACGGCTACCAGAGCCGTGGTTTCGAGGTCATGTACAACGGCTACACGGGCCGAAAGTTGGTGTGCCAGGTGTTCTTGGGACCGACCTACTACCAGCGGTTGAGACACATGGTCGACGATAAGATTCACGCCAGAGCCAGAGGACCGGTGCAGATCCTGACGAGGCAGCCTGTGGAGGGTAGGGCCAGAGATGGTGGTCTCCGTTTCGGAGAGATGGAGAGAGATTGTATGATTGCGCACGGTGCGAGTGCGTTTTTGAAGGAGAGACTGTTCGAGGTTAGCGATGCGTTTAGAGTCCATATCTGTGATCTGTGTGGATTGATGACGCCGATTGCGTAAGTTTTCTCTCTTTTCTCTCTTTTTACTTTTTCGATAGGGTGATGTACTAATGAGACTATACATATATATAGAAACCTCAAGAAGAATCTCTTCGAATGCAGACCCTGCAAGAACAAGACAAAGATCTCCCAAATCCACCTCCCCTACGCCGCCAAGCTTCTCTTCCAGGAACTAGCGAGTATGAACATTGCCGCAAGAATGTTCAGTCAGAGAAGTGGGGTCAGTGTGAGAAATTAAATCAAAAACTGGGGTTATTGGAGGCGGGGGACATGGAGGGGCACATGTCGTTAGTTAGCTGGTTGGGTTAGAGTAATTTGCTTTTGATTTTACTTGTATTGGGGGGGGATACTGATACTACGTACCTTTTCTTTTCTTTTCTTTTTTTTCCCCTTTAGTTTTCGGAAATTTTTTTTTAAACTTTTTTTTAAAAAATCTCTTTTTACGTTTTATGTCCACGCTTACGTTTACTGTGAACTTGTGCTGGAGAAATCCGAGTTCGAGTTCGGTTTGTTTTGAGGGTTGCTGTTGTTGCAGATGGCTAGACGAGCTATGTTATCTAGTTACATGGTTGCTGATTGGTTGCTTTTTTACACTACATCATGGATGGAGTGCGGCATGGCGGGTGAGCGAGACTTGGTGGGAGGAGGTGGTGGTGGGAGGAAGCGGGGGGGGGGAAGGGGAAGCAGACGTAGACAGGATGTGATGATGAATAAAAAATGAATCATGTACGGTTTGTCCGAAGCAATGAACCGGAGCAAGTTCGTGTTGTTTAGATGGATTAATACGTAACAAGTTACTGCCTCGAAGCACCCCCCTCTGAGTCCACACTTAGCAAGGCTCTGGCACAAATGTCCCAAGAGAAGAGCTTTAGGAAACCTATATGACCCTGTATTCTTTAACGTGTTGACTTGGAGAAATAATGGTTCACTGGGGCGGGGATAAAGGGTGCAACGTCTCGCCGCATGGCCGCATGGCCGCATCCTGATAGCCACTCTTGTCTTCTTCCCACCGTTGGGAGGGACTTAAGGGAAAGGGTCTAATCTTCATAAGACTTATATCACGGTCACTAATGCTCAGGTGAGACATTTATCTTCCTTCAGTACACTGCACGGTGGCCATGATTTCGAGCTGGGATGGTGAATTAATGTCTGGCCGATACGGGTGGGCATGAAAGCGTGGGTCATGTGCCGGCACTTATACCCAGTCGTAGTAAGTACTGTAGACTTTTGCCCACGTGGAGTACTAATATAGGGATACATGGAGTGTCGTTGAGGAGCGGTGGTTGAGTCTTTGTTCGTTCGTACTATGTAGCTACAGTGATAAAGTTACGGAAGGGTTAGTGGTCCTGCTTCATCTTAGCACCCTACCAAGCTCAAGTATCGCTTCCAGCGCAGCATCCACCATAGGCGAGTGGTCTAGTGGTTGGGCTGCTCGCCAGGCTAGACACCGAGTGTTTACTCAGGATACAAGGTCAAACCAGGGGTGGGGGTAGTAACGGACAACAAGACGTCGTTGCAGTACCTTTTGTCGAAACTTTTAAAAAGTTTTTTAATTAGGAGGCTGTTTTGATTTTTGATTTCTCTAGAGGAGAAGCTCAGGTAAAACCAAGGCACCGTTCTTAGAGTCTCCCTAGCCAAGGAGAGGTCTTACCGAACTACTGATGTTCACGGGTAGGTGCCGTCGTTTAATGAAAGATCGAGACAAGACCAACGACTAAAATAAATTATAGAGTGTGTACACTTATAAACTCTGTCTGTCAATAGATAGGCTTGCTTAAGTCGGTGTACTCGAACGCTGGTGGCTAAGGCCGGCTCGTTGATGTATGCACAAAGACGGAGTGACCAGGTGAACAAAAGAAGCCGAAGGAACATGCAGAGTATGGTCCTTGTTTCTACACCGCTTTTCGCCACGTCCAATTCTAGGGTGCATCAAAGAAATCAGGAAGACTGGGGTTGTATGGCATGACTCACCACATATCACTCGCGTCACCATGTCTCACTCGGACTGTTTTGTCCCCTCAATTCCCACTCAGAGGCGCAAAATATATGGACAAGAATTGTCAATTCAATTCCATGTTAGAGCGCCGAAGTCAGAGGGTAATATTATTAGGAAATACTGCTGTTTATTGTCTTTTGACGGGGGCGTGGTTGCGCGAGGGTAAAGCGTGTGAACTGACTACAGCCCCTCGATCCGGCGCCTCCTAGAATTCGCCCGCGATTCAGAAAGTCGGCTCTTAAAACTCACCTACTTTTTGAACTTCTTCTTATGAAGGACTCCCCTCCTTGCCATCTTCTCCTCGCTCCTTCTCTCATCCTCGTCCCTTCCCCCCCATCTCCTTCCCATCCCCCTCCTCACTTTGTGCTTTGTAAACAACACATTTGTTCTGTTTGGCCCCGCAGAATACATCAAAAAGCACTGTAAACCATTCCCCTTCTACATCAGTCATAGAGAAGCACGTATCTGAAGTGCCCAGAAATAAGAAACGACACAGTTTAACTTTCCCTTGTTTTTTGGCGGAATTTTTTTTTTTGATCCTCTAGATATCGGCTGCCAAGTGAGTAGAAGAAATATCCTCCGGGTCTTTGCCCTCCATTAACGGAGAGTAGTTTTTTGTGAAAAAACATTTCCTTGAAACAAACGGGAAAGAATCTTGTTGTTTACCGCTTTCACTTCCCACATCTCCTGTTGTTTGCTCGTTCATCCGGGCTATTTTCGCATCTCTATTCTCAAGTGAGTATCGACGATATCCTCATCTATCTTCAATCACTAAATGTAACCTTCAACAGAAAGAAAAAAAAGGATTCAAACCGAATACCATCTCTGCGATCATTGGCCGTGTGTCTCTCTTCTAGCCCTATCTTCACATATCTGTTTCCTTCCTCAAAGTAAGTGGATATATCCATAAAATCCCACTTGCATCTCCACATCTAATCTTATAGAAATTCACATTCCATCATCATAAAATGGATACAGTCGTTGAAAACCTTATACCCTCCAGAAACTCCAGCCTCAAACAAAGGATCGCCTTCGCTGAGGATCCCGTAGAGCTTAAAGAACAAGGCTTCAGAGGTTATCTAAAGCTTGGCAGCCCACCACTCTTCTTCGCTGCCAAGTTCATTCTATTTCCATTCTTTAGAACCACGGTCGTTATGTATTCCGTTAAGGACCTCATTCACAAAAATCTCAATCATGTGGAACTCTGCCACCGGAGATACTGGTGGCGCGCCCGTGGAGAGAATGCACATCTTGTCCAGGATAGCGGTTACTCAGCGAACATTGAATTGAATTTCAGGCTCCCTTTCCACCTCCCTTCGCCTGGTATGCTCTTGTATCTGGACGATGCGGTATTGTTCGATCCTAATGCGTCCAGCCCAGACCATAGATTTTGCGTCCCGGTCATCCTCTTGGGAAGAGATTTCTTCCTCAAGTTCCCGCACGTAGTGGCCAACTTCCAAGTCAAACATGAAGCTAGAGACGAACCCCGATCGATTTGGAGCGATAATGTGCTCACAAAATTTTACGAGCTCTCTCTCCACGATGGCAAGCATGTCATGGCCCACTTGGAGCTATGCAATGGCCCGCCGCAGGTGGACTCGGCTGCCCTCGGCATGGGAATTTATTTCGAGCCTCATTCGGCATATAACACTTTTGCCGCGGTGGACAAGTATGGTCCCGACGGGAGGCCATGGGATCCCCAATTTATGATAATGCGTGCTTGGCTCGTCGGAGTGACTATGATTATCAATGCAGTCGAAAACTACTGCAGTATTGGAAAAGCTCCCAAATCGGTGATCATCAGCAACCGGTACGGAGACCTCCTTTCGAGACTTAGGCCCGGAACCATGCCAAACTCTGGCTTGAAAGGCCTTGGTTTAGAGAAGATATTGAAATACGTCAATGACGAAGGGGAGTTCGGTGTTTCTTTCAAAACCACTACCACTCCCGCTGTGCAATGGGTTGGTGGACCCACTGAAGCAGTGAAAGCTTTAGCGATGGCTGGCGCAAAGATGGTGATGGTGACACATAGAACCAACTTGAATTTGTTGCCGAGTTTTAATAGATACGACCTATTTGAAACGTTTAACGATATGATGAAAGTCGGTCCGGATGGAAGAAGGATTTGGTGGGACCAGGCCGACCACATCTATGTTGGCGTTGACGGAGTCTTCCGTTGTTCCAAGAGCCATACACAGCGGGAAATTAAGAGGGCCGATGATATTGGCAAATACGAAGAGGATGCGCAGGAAACGCTATTGAATTTTGTGGAGCTGAGGTTGTGAGCAGTGGGAATCTTCAAACTGAACGGCTACCAAGCATATATTATTTACATGTAGTGTCTAACCTGTTATCCTCTCCCCGAAAGCTCTAGCATGTCTTCCAGTTATAAACTTTATGTATACGTATACACTGTTATCAATTGATTGAGTTTTTTTTAGTAAGCCTTTAAGGACTAGGTAACTAAACTCTTTGAGTAAACTTTAAAATTATACTTAACGTCATCCCCGAATCCTGAGATGTACAGCGGTGGGTATTAAGTCATCGGACGACCTAGCCACAATTTTGCCTGCAAACGCGTATTTTGGTGGCGTTCTGTCTGATCACTTATTACCCACCGCTGTACATAGGCATAAATCAATCTTACATCTTCCATCAAAAGAAAAGCACTTTATAATTTTGTTCCTAAATACCTGATATGAATCCTGGATAAAAAACATGTTCTTGGTAAGGCTGAACGGAGTAAAGCCTACAGAGTGCAGTATGGGGATTTGTGAGGTTCTTGGCACTAACTACACAAGGATCAGAACGGCGAACCCAAGGTCTAACGCAGCTTTTAAATCCTGGTTGATGCCCGATCGCGAAAACAGGGATTGGAAGAATATTCCAGAATTGTCGCAAAAATGAAGTCAGGGATCTCAGATCATGCCAATTTGTTACGATTATACTCTATATACTTTACAATTCGAGTATCGACCGAGTGATATGACATGAACTATCCCTTTCTAGCTTAGATCATTAAAGAAAAAAACCTAAGCTCCCAAACCTAATAAGTTTAAGCAATTTGTCCCCATGGGGTTTCGAACTAAGCTCCTCAAGGACTCTTTGAGATATGGGGGTGATTTGTGTTGTGGCCTGAATTGAGGGGCTGAGGCTTTAGAGTAGAAAGGTATCAAGGCCTGATCGTGCCACAGCATACTTGTACAATTGTAGCCATATATCTAAACTGATCAGAGCTATATATGGCCACTGAGTTTCTGCAATCCCTATCAAACTGTCTTGAGGCCCGAGTCTTTGTCTTGATGGTATTCTCACTATATATGTATTTTATACCTCAAAGTCCAGAGTAGCTAACTTCCAATTTATTCAATGCGCTCGTTCCCATCTAATAAATACTATGCAAAATCAATATTCTCCATCAAAATAACACCCTAATTCACATGCTTCTCATTGACCAAAACAATTCTGTACCTGGGCTCTCCCCTCTGGAAAGCCGCCAACGCCTCATTAACCTTCGACAAGGGCCACTCGTTGACCCATCCCTTGATATCTTTATCGGCCGCCAACTGCAGCATCTCCTTGATCTCGGCGGGAGAACCGATCAAAGATCCACCAATCTTAACGCCCTTCATGATCATCGGGAACATGCTGAATGCGGGAACCTTGTCCTCGGGGGCGCCGACTTGAATGTAAGTACCGTGGTGCTTAAGAAGAGTCAGGTAGTCGGCAATAGGCAAGTTAGGTGCGTAGATGGTGCTGACGATGAGGTCAATGGAGTTGGCGTTCTTTTGAGCCCACTCAGGGTCCTCAGCGGTGGCAATGGTTGAAGTGGCACCAAGCTTTTTGGCGTCATCGGATTTGTTGGAATATCTCGAGATGGCGACTACTTTGTCGGCGCCGAGAGCCTTGGCCCAGAGAAGACCGTAGTGTCCAAGACCGCCAATACCGATGATACCAACAGTCTTACCGGGACCGGCACCGTTACGCTTCAGAGGGCTATACATAGTGACACCAGCGCAGAACATGGGCGCAGCAATCTCACTAGGGATAGAATCGGGGATCTTGAAGACGAAGTACTCATGAACACGGGCGTAGTCTCCGTATCCACCCATGGATTTTGATCCTAAAAAGCAACTGTATTAGTACACTTTTGTGTCTAACCTGAAGGATCCAATTGGAAATATGTAACTTACCATCAGGGTAAAAATTTCCGTAAGTACCAACGCTCTTATCACAGTATTGTTCGTTTTTGTTGGGGCATTGTGAGCAGTCGGGCTTCATGCATGAACATGACTGGGCACCAACACCAACTCTGTCACCGACCTTGATCTCTTTGACGTCCTTTCCTACTCGGACGGCGTGACCGACGATTTCGTGGCCGACACAGATGGGGTATGGAGCAGGCCCCCAACCGCTGTTGAGGGTATGTACATCGGATCCGCAAACACCACAGTGGGTGATTTTGATATCGACATCAGAGTCTCCGAAGGGCTTGGGGGTGAATTCCTGCTCTACGAGAGTTCCCTTCTCGACACAGTCTTTGTCAAGACCAACCCAACCTTTGAACTTGTAGTCTTGAGCTGACATTGTTGTTTGATAAATCGATTAACAAGGAGGTATAGGGTATAAAAAAGTGGGTTTTTTGTTGAATTGTAATGTTGCTTGGAATGTTGATATGAAAATGCTTCTGGAAAGACAAAAAACGAATGGCGAGAGATATTCGCAGGTATTTAAACCCTTCAAACCCCAGGCAAAGTCTTAACTCCCTCCGCTTTCTCCGTAATCGCCGGACGGCATTCTTTCCAGTTTTTTTTCTTGTGCTTTACTTGCATGACGTTGAGAGGGATCCCAGGAGGGTCAATCACCAGAGGCGTCAAAAAATTTAGCACGGAATCGGCAAATGTTCTAGAATCAACGAAGGCGAAAAATAGATTAAATGGGGTAAATACTACAATCCGCATGCATCATGGAGATCGAGTAACGGTCCTCACGGAACTATCCGAAAATAGGCCTACTGGTGGTGGAGATGCCCCTGCGTGAGTGTGGTGGAGCTATGACGGCACATCTTCGGCATCGACGGGTGATAGGTCAATGGCAGCAGCCCGAGTGGTGGATGGCTTTCTGCGTGAGACATGCACTTCGACACCATGAAAGATTAGCGAAGGGGCGCTTGTCTTTCTCGTATGGATCAAGCGGAAAGAAGCATAGAGTGCATGTACTCTGCTTATAAACTGATATGCTATCGGGAGGGAACAGTGAAGGCTCCCATTTTCTTTACTATATACCATCTATAATTGTTACCTGCCAAAATGCCCTGAACAAATAATTTTTCTTTTTATCAGCAGGCCATGATCCCACGCGGAGTTAAGTCCCGAGTGCATAGTATCAATCCGGGCCATTTTATATGGATGGTGCCGTATCCCACGACCGAAGTAGACCGAGGCTTGAGCGAGAAAAAAATGATTAGAGCTCCAATATCGCGATACTCTTGCAGGTCTGGCCCATGATGGTTACCCCCAAAAAAACAATCCCACCCTCACATCCTCCACCGAGTTTACGAGCTGCGTGGTGAAAAGAATTGCGGATACTTCGCCGTTGCACTTGCATCTGCTCAGTACTCTACATGAAGTTTTGGGGGCGCGCTTGAACGGTTGTGATTGGCCTTAATGGAGTTCTTCCGCTTAGAGGAGCTATCTTCAAGGATGTATCTATCAGATCAGGAAGAAAGACTTGGACTTTTGAAAACCCGAATTATTAGTGCCTGTAAACTCCGTCGGAGTCGACGGAGTTTACAGGCACTACTAGTTGACCTTACTGTGGTTCCGAATCTGTCTAGTTCGAACCCCCAACCTGGTCCTGAATCTGTTAACCCTCGGCGCTACATCGGTTCACTTCCACGTGATCCTTCTTGGCACCTGACGACGTCAACATCCCGCAAAACCTTTATCGCAATTCTCGACAAACAAGCCACCCCACTATCAAACGCCCCTCGAAACAACACACCCTTCGAAACAAAACAAGAGAAAAAAATTCCGATAACCATGGCCCCAAAGTCCCGTCTCGTCGGCCCTCCCGCCAAATCTGCTTCCCCTAGCTTCGTCCCGTGGCTCTACAGTGAGCTCAAGGCACCCGAGAATTCAAGTGTCGTGAGGAGCGTCGCTGTCTTTGCGGTATGAATCTCACCATAATCATCTATCTTCTACTCGGCGAAGGGGAAGTTGCTGGTTCTAATGTGGTGTTTTATATATATACAGGCAGCCGTAGCGCTCTTTTCGAGCTCATACGCCGAGTACTTGCTTCCTCCGTAAGTCCTACCTTGCATATCTGCCCTCGCGACCAACAATTCTCCTCCTCCATCCCGTCCCTCTTCTCCTTCTGCTTGCTTTTCCCGATCAATCGGGTTCCCGACTAACACGCCAAACCACAGTGTCTAAGTAGTGGCCACACTGCACCAACCAATACGATATCTTGACGAACCAGCAGCTGTATATGTACGTATTTATTTTTATTCCCTATATTTATATCTATATACTTTTTTCCTTCTTTTTTTTCTCCGCCCGCCCGACCCCCAATTCTCTTTTTGGGAGTTTCCGGCCCTACATTGCATTGTATTTGAAACGTGGTTTGAGAGGGCTGCGCTGAGATGGGACGATGAGATGAAACTTAGACTTTCCTAATGTTTCACGTAGCCGTAGTAGTAGATCGGTGGGCAAAATCAGGCATGGACGGGAAAAAAAAAACTCGAAGAGATGGGGGCACATACATGCATGGGCGGCGTGGGATCAAGAAGGAAAGAGAGGGGAAGAGAAGAAGAGGGGGGCCAATTGTATATAAACACAAAGAAGCCGCTTTCTCGACTCGCTTTCTCGACTCGCTTTCTCCGCCAACTCACTTCTCTATCACCCTTTTCCCACCCCTCCCTTATAGCTAGCTGTGAATACCTACCTCCCCTATCCTACCGTCCAAATTTGGCGTGCGGCTGTTGTACAATGCTGTGTGCTGGCCGCACGTCAACAGGGTTCTGTGATGAGAAGGGATGGCCCTGGCATCTGAAGCTGGTCGATTTGTTGGCTTGTCCGCTCCCTCAATGACAGCTCCTTTTTGTTTCAGGACTGATTCGCGGGCGTCCATCGAGACGCAAAACAGCCCTCCACCCTTTCCTTGGTGCTTGTGGAGTAGTCTACACGTGGGGACACCCACCTCCACTTGTTCACTAGCCCGCAAACCCTTGGTGGTGCCGTTAAGCTATGATAACTAGCTAGAAGAGACCCGAGCTAGAATAATCTCGACGTTGACGTTGATGCTGGTGCTGGGATCTTGAAAAATAAAATAAAAAAATAAACTTGACATCAATGATCGATCGGCCGATAGATAAAGCTTAACCACCCACAATATTACCGCCCATGGATCCAATTGAATCCCAAGCTTTCTCCCGCTCAGTCCTGAGCCCGTCGTTTCCCCATTCCATTCTATTCAGCTTTGTCCGTATACTGCTGCGACCTTAATAGTGACCCCCCCGATATCAGCTCATATTTTCTATCTATAGCTTATAGCTGGCCACCCCCACGATACCTCAATATCTGCCCCCTTTTCATCCCACGCTTCTAGAAAGGATCTATATATTGCACCCCACAATCCGGCCCGCCGTGCCCCCAGCGCCCCAGCATGTCCATGCTGCTCCCCTCCACCTCCTCGCCCGCCACCGCCCCGCGCTCCGCCCGCTCCCGCCACATTACAACATTCCTCTCATCGTTCTTCACTCTGACAGCCATCATTTTCCTCCTGCTGGTCCTTCTCGGGAGCATCCGCGCGAACCGCGTGCTGGGTGATATCTACTTTCTGCGCATCGACGCCTCCCACATCATCCCGCGCTCGTATCCCAAGGCCGCGCTGGTGAATAGTATAGTGCAAACGCTGGGTCTCCGCGACTTTTACCAGGTCGGCCTGTGGAACTACTGTGAGGGCTATGTGGACAAAGGCGTTACGTACTGCGCGCCGCCGCGGGCGCTGTATTCGTTTGATCCTGTCAAAATACTGGTGAGCCAGCTGCTGGCGGGGGCGGAGAGTATGCCTCTCTCTCTCTTCTACTCAAATATATTTTGTTGTGTTACGACGTAGTTAGCAGGCTAACAAGACCAATGATAGTTGCGGTCCCTCCCAGAATCGAGAGCGCACTAACCATGGCCCACGACGTCAGCCACTGGATGTTTGGCTGCTTCTTCGTCGGGATCGCCTTCTCCGCCGTCTCCTTCGCCGCCGGCTGGCTCAACTATAAATCGTACCGCATCCTACCCCTACTAATGGCGCTAATTACAGGGACCGCGGCGCTATTCACAACGATCGCGGCAGTGATCGCGACGACACTGTTTTGTGTGTTTCGGCGCGTGTTTGAGGAGCGGCCGGATCTGAACATTAGCGGTGACCTGGGCGTCAAGATGTTTGTCTTTGTGTGGATGGCGGTGGGCGCGTCGGCGGCGGCGTTTGTGGTTAGCTGTTGGGTGTGCTGCGCGCACCGCGGCTGGGGAAAGCGTGGCAGTACCACGCCGGCGAAAAGGGAGATCTACCATAAGCCCTTTGATGGCGGTGAGAGTAGAGGGAGTGATGAAACGGCGGTTCCGGGGACGATGATGCTGAGAGAGGGGGGGGCTCCGGCGCTGATACGGCGGTTAGTAGTGAGGCGGTGGTTGGGGAGAAACTGCCGTTGGAACAGGCAGGACCGGAGGATGAAGAAAGTGAGAAGTTTCTAGAACAGCCACGGCCCGCGGGAGGTAGGTTTGCAGAGCGGTTTTCGGTACAGGCGCCCTATTTGGATGCGCAGTAAGGACTTATACGTCAGTTGTGTTTTCCTTTGTGTAGACTTTTCCTTTGTCCGGGGGATAATTGTATATCTTTTATCGTTTGTCTTTATATGGAGTTGATGTACGATGATGAGGATGATTATGGTTATGATATAGATGAATGATGATAATATTATTCTGGTGTCCTTCTCTCGTGGCGAGCCGATGAATCCATGGTGCCTTCTTGACGCTAGCTATGTCCCAAGCTTCTATATGGAATTTAGGTACCAAGCCGCACTTCTTAACTTCCCCCGGGATAATCAAAACAATCCTTGCGGTGAATGCTGCAGAGCCATGGAGTTTCCTTCATAGTATATCACTCGATACCTTCTCCCGCGATTGACGTACTAAAGGGTCCCGCAGCGGAATTTACCTCCTAGTTTAAAATCTCAAACCATGTGAAAACATTTTCTAGATATATGTTGAAAATAAACCGAGATGTTGAAAAAAGTTAGTTGGTGAAGAGGCAAGAGAGTTCAGACAGCTATATATCCCCGGATCGGACATGAAAAGTGACAAACAGCGTTATGCGCTCAAATGGGTCTTATTTTCGAGTCCGATACCGTTCGAGAGGCCGGATGACCACCAGGGGGTTCACCTGGGGTTCGCAGGCTCAGCGAGTGATGGACCAAGACGCAGCTCAGCAGTCCGCGTGCCAGATGATTTAGCCTGTGCTGGGTCACGCGGGTATATATAGGGAGGCAGTACTATTGCGGACTTCGTCGGTGTAGAGCGCGATATCCGTGTGAGACCTACTCGCTGTGAGTCGAGATCTCAGTCGTATATAAAGTGAGATATGAAGTCCTTCCCCCGCTTCCTTCGATTGAGGGTTGGAGGGTACGTTTAGGATCTATCCCCTATCTATGGTTCTCTTCACGGGGCATAAGCATACATGTAGGTGTGTCACTTTTGAGAGGGTCACGATCGATTGATTTATCCCAAACATTTTGTATGGTGATTTCCCGGACTCGATGGGTTCGGTGTGGCAGAGAACCCCCGGCCAAGTCAGGTTTATATAGTACTCCGAACAGATAGTCCCGTCAAAATGGCTGCTAATTTCTTCAATTCGCCTGCTTGAAGATGGGCCGCTGTAGAACGAACGATCTTGGTACCAAGATGTTTCCTCTTCTTTCCTGCACAATGTGCGGGGGGTGAAGAGCTAGCCCAAGTCAAGAGCCTGTCCATATTATTGAACAGTCCATATTCGTAGGCGGCAGCAAAATTAGATGGCTGCGGGCTGATCCCATGATCATCTGCTGCATGTACGAAGAAACATTAGACCCGATTAATAGATATGTGTGATTGTGATGGCGCTGGTAATGGAGGGATCTATTTCAGAGGTCATAAGCGTTCTGGTGATTCCTATGCGGGTTTCTGATAGGCCCATGCTCGGTAACTTTTAATGGAAAAGGTCTAAAATGGCGCAGTTTTCAGTATACGTCCTCGATCTATAATAACACATGATGCAAGCTTAAGACGACACAGTTCGCTGTCTACTCGACCTCGGGAGTCACGCTGAGAGCGCAAAACCACCGGGCAAACCCGATAATAATAAGGATCGATTCCCAGTCCCAATTTCCTCCTCTAGAGAAATCAAAAATCAAAATAGCCTCTTAACTTATCTCACTATAAAAACAAGGAAAAAAAGAAAGAAAAAACTTTTAAAAGGTTCAACTAAAGGTATTGCAACGACGTCTTGTTGTCCGTTACTACCCCACCCCTGGTTTGAACCCAGGACCTTCTACCCTGGGTAAACACTCGGTGTCTAGCCTGGCGAGCAGTCTAGCCACTAGACCACCCACCTATGGTAAATGCTGCGCCGCTGGAAGTGATACTTGGCCTTGGCGGCGTGCTGAGATGAAGCATAATCCCTAACCCTTCGATGTTAATGTTCAGCCACCCTATGGATCATAGCGAACTTTGTCATCTTGCATCACGTCACTGTTACTAGACCTTTTCCGTATAAAATCTACCGTATTTCTACGAAGAAGGCACAACGCTTATAGTCCCACTACATTGTTCCAATTCACCCCAATCCACCTTCAATGCAAGAATCAAAACAAAAACCACCGCTACAAAAAAACCCCAAGCCCACAAGGGAAGCATGTCTCCGACGGTCACGTATGTCACGAAAGATGACACGTCTCAACCTTGAAGATAAGCCTCCCCCATCGGCTATAGGTATTTGAGTACATGCATGTTTTCATCTCTTGTTGTTGTCTTGGGGAAGAGGTGTGGGGGAGAACGAGTGATGGGAGACCGCCTGGGTGCCAAGCTACATGTAGCTACAGAGCGAGTGACTTTATATGATTGACACTCGAATAACCTTTCTCCCATCTCTAGATGCAATCATGTTACAAAGATAGAGATCGGTATATGAGGGGGTAGTTTTCTTTGCCCCTTCTTCCTATAAACATTCACCAGACGCCTTCGCAGCCCGCACGCAGGAGCGACAATTTGCGAGTGATACATGGTGACTCATCCATCACCCTCGCATCTCCCACAAAAGTTTACGAGCCCGCAACTCGTGATTCAGATCAGTCCAGTCGACCAGGCCGTCTCTAGCCGAGCATTACTATAGTCAGCCCATTACAACAGAGCTCGGGAGTCAGATATTGGGCCCTACCCGAGCTCTATTATAGCAGACCTGGCTTCAATGGAATCGCAAATCAAACCCTCAATATAATTGTCACTAAAGTTGATTTTTACCTTTTTATACCTACTAGCTTAGCAATAGCTACATAGCCAACGAATATATCCTCTCTTACATATTAGAATGTATAGATTAACCCAGAGTAAGATCAGCTTATGCGACTTTGACTTGACTCTTCAACTCTCAACCGTTTGTTCTTCTAGGGTAAACTAACAGCGACCCATCCCGCGGATCTCTTGTCTCGTAACTAACCCTAACCCACCAAGCTCAACTTCGTATTGTACGTATCCCACGTGACATGTTGCCTCAGCAACCCAACCGCAACACAGAAATCCGCGACACGGCATCGTGGACAAAGAAGACACCGGGCCCGCGATACAAATATCTCACTCCATCTCCAGAAGCTCACCTCTCACCAATAACGACCACAATGTCCTCCGCCGATACTCGGGCCGTCCAGCTCCAGCGCGAAGGCCAAGTAGCCTACCGTAACAAAGACTACACCAAGGCCATCAAGCTCTTTTCCCAGGCTCTCGAAATCCCCAGAACCACCACTGCTATGCAGCTCCACATCCTTGACAATCGCGCGGCAGCAAAGGAAAAGGTCGGAAATGAGGTATCCCTCAAAGGGGCTCTCGCAGATGCCCGCCAGATGATAAAGCTGCAGAAGACATATGTCAATGGCTACCTCCGCACTGGCAAGATCCTCCAGCTCCAGGGCTGCCATCAAAACGCATTGAACCTCTATAAGTACGGTTTGGAGAAGCTGGAGCCCTCTGATGAGAATGGGAAGGAGCTGCTGGAGAAGATGTATGAGAAGGTTCATGCCCGGGTTGAACCGCCAAAGGCAAAGATGGTGGATATGATGACCGTGCTGCCGGTGGAGCTGCTAGACATGATCATCCAATATATCCCATTCCCGAGCTTGATCCTTGCTCAGGGCGTGTCGAAATCGTGGCGCAACTTTCTTATTAATTCCTCAAAAACTTATGTTGAGCTCGATTTCTCCTCTGCAAAGAAGCCGCTTAGCAGGTCTACAGTTATGCTTGCTGCCCAGCGCACGCAGAACAACGTCAGGAAAGCGGTGTTCAACCGGCTGGAATTCCGAGGCGTTCAACCGTTAATCCACCTTGCAACTCTAAACCCAGGCTTGACAGAACTCCAGCTCCTGGGATACGAGCAGCCTCTCCCCGTCGTGGACATCGTGAAGCACACCGAGAACCTAAGAAAGCTGATTATAAAAAGCGCTGTGCGTACGCAGGTCATATCGCAAATTCTGGCCCAATGCCGCAGTCTCGAATGCTTTGAATGCTTCGATGTCGACCACATGGGCTTCCGTGGCTGGACCTTTGAAAATAAGAGCAACCTCAAAAGACTATATCTCAGAATCGTCAAAGAGGAATATCAACCCTCCGACCAGATGCTTCCAGCCCTAGTGGCGCATCTCCCGGAGCTTCGTGAACTGGAAGTTTCAGAGTACGGCCCTCGCCAAACCGACCAGCTCGACTTGACGGCTGCGCCCCACCTCACCGTCCTGAGGTTGCGCAAGGTCGCAATCACAGTTCTTCCCCTCCTCCCCCGTACAATCAAGCATCTTACCCTCGCAAGGCTTCCGAACTTGAGTATTGTTCCCGATGATATTCTTAAGTCACCCCTTCCAGCACTACAGGAACTAGACTTATCCTACAACCCGAATATCAGAAAGAACACCTTGCTCCTTCTCCTCGATTCAGTGTCGCCGCGTAAGCTGGTCCTGGACATGTGCCCACGCCTCGACTTTGGGACAGTTGATTGGCTACTTCCATGCGGCAGCAAATTGGAGGAATTGTCGGTGGTGGGGAACTCAACGTTTAGTGATAGCGTTAGCAAGGAAATGGCGGGGTTCAAGATGCTGAAGAGATTGGATATAGGTAATACTAAGATTACAGGCATCGGGCTACTGAACCTTATCAGGATGTCGCAGAAGGAAGGTAGTGGTGGGGGGCTACAGTATGTCGGGTGTGATATGTGTGAAGGAGTAGGGCATGATGCGGTCCATGTGGCTAGAAAGATGGGGGTTGTTGTTTCCCATAGAATGTTGACTGAATATGGTGGGAAAAAAGTTCGGTATTCTGAATAGAGCAGTTAGCTAGGGAACTAGGTCACTGGACTTAGAGTATTGAATTCACTAATGGTCTAAGGATTCGAATGGTACATCATTGGTCTTAATTAACCTACTCCTTTGATTGAAGCGCTTCAGATCGTATAGAAATGTGCCAAGAATTCCGAGTCGATAAAAGACACGCCCAAAGGCCACCGAGGCTCTTAAAATCTGTCCGCCCAGAGAAAGAGCCTTTTAAAACCCCCTTTATTAAAGGTATAACTTTGTAGGAATATCCAAATCGCCAACGCGCAGTGCGCTGCGATTTTACCCATCTCACACGACGAGTGATCACCTGTGAAGAATTTACCAAATAGTAGACCAATATATGCAAAACCACTTAAACCCTCAAGATCCCCCATATTATCTTAGCAGTAGGTCTGCCACAGCGGGCTACTTACGCATCAATTCATGTATCTATACTGATGTCTATTGACTCTCTATGTCCTGATTCCCCACATTCCCTCTAGTCCGAAAATTAGTCCTTGGTAAGCTTATAAAGAATCGAGTAAATCTAGGGCACGTTTATCTCGCCGTTACTGTTTGCCCTAGTTAGAGCTCGGTAGAACATCATTATAACTATGCCTTGAAGGGTTCAAGCCTTGATATCTTTGTTTTCAGTGGGAAAACCCGAAATCTGAGTGAGCAGCACAGTGCATTCCTTTCTTCTAGTTCGTGAAGGGCGTAACACACGCATTTGCTAACAATTAACAAAACGCACATAGATGTACTTCCCTTTACCACCCTCTAGATAGCACGAGTTACAATTCAAACCTCCTCCAACAAGCAGGTATAAAGCTCAGTTACTATAGGATATTATAGGTGAAGGAGGGAAGCCAACCAAAACCCCAACGGGGCGATATTAGTACTAATTGTATCCAGTTCGGCATACGTGGGGCGCTGCTGCGTGGCTTCTTCTGTGGCGAGTGATATTTCGTGATCTATCTCAGCAGACGGTGTGTCAAACTTTCAACATATTCGTGTAGGGTCATTGATAGCCTGCGCGAACGGGTTACTATCCATAGAAGGATACAATATATAGAAGTTCCCGATTCCAGGGCCGTGGTGTGGTGTAGGTGTTAAGCCAGTACTTAAGGTCCGTCGAGAGTAGCTGGGAATATGCTATACCGTCGGCGAGACTTTCCGCTTCGTGGAGAGAGCAACTCGCTCGATTGTCGAGCTCGAAAGTATACGAAATTAATAGGGCGAACTCTACTTGGAGAGGTGGGGCTATTTGAGGCGGGGCACCGCCGGCGAAGTTGCGATGTATCTTCTTACAACAGGCTACATGTACTCTACTCGATCCTTCTGCCCCGCTCCAGACCGGAAACCAATTTCCAAAACACAGACATGGTGGGCAATTCTTAATCCAAGCAGAGAAATCTCTACTCCATCTTGATGAAGCTGCGCCGCCCACAATTATGAGAGAGTTACCAGTCAATTTCCTATTAAACAAGATAAGCCTCGACAGCCGACGTCGTTTTTCAGATATTGCGATGACTATTGACTAAAATCTGCTTCCTCACCTGCCCGGATCCATTCTTGCGAAAAGAGGGCTCTGAAGGGGTCAAGCTCAATGACCCCATTATTTCCAGGATAACGGGGGCCAATATTGTTTTCTATTAAGCACTTTCTGAGCCGGCGGCAGCAGCTAACATGATATATCAAGTTCTCCGACACTAATCGGATTCTATTTTTCATCCCCGCCCCTCCCAAAGTTGTGATAGAATTGATGGGATAGCTCCGAGGAATACTGGCGGCGCTCCGAGTTTTCCTAGAGGCACAAACAACCTTCTATCCCTCTTCCCCGGAGCAGCCTCTCGCATGGTAATTTACGTTTCATCCTGTAGGGCTGAACGGCATACCGCGCGTCCGGGTTACCCTACTAATAATATGACAAAGGATATATATACAATAGCAATGACTTGCAGGAGCAGCGGAACGTCATATACATATGCATGGCGACATGAAAAAAAGCAATTTTAGAGACTAGTCCGACAAGTCCGACTTCCTCATATTCAACTACATGTAGTCTCTTCGTATAATATTTTACTCTACTCGCCAGGGAAGGTAGCTAGACATGAAACAATTAACCACTGGCTCTCGACTTTGGCAATACGTCAGGCATGGAACCAAAAATGCATTAATGAGAATAAAGCAATTATCACAGCGCGCCAGAGGACAACTCTACCCACTTACTAGATTCAGTCACAGCTTCCGACCGCCCCGAGGAATGGTTTCCGCAAAAAACAAAAGAAAAAAACGCTGTCCGCCTATTCTCATAGAGTCGGCACTTATTTTCTGCCCCATGATGACCGCATGACCGTTCTCTCCCATACTTTTTTCCCCCCCACCAGCATCACATTTTTTTTTTTACATGACTATAAAACATGCATATCAATCATTACCACACGCAGCTCAGGTCATTCGTGACCTGGGCGCTACCGGGAGGCTTGACCATAAAGTATCATACGCGCTGCTTTCTACACGCTTGTGCGCGCCATCACCTGCCACCCGGAGTCACGGGTTTTCAGTTTGCTACATAAAGTGTACCGGTCGGTACTCCTATCCAGCACAGGCAATTGCAACACAGAATGTATGTAGGGTGGATGTATGTATGTATGTACCTTGCTGGTGGAAGTTTGAAATCCAACTAGAGATGATTATGATGCGTAATATACCCTAATATGACCTAGGTGTATATATCATATAGAAAGGCAAAAAAAAAAAAAAGTATATGTATATAGATATGTACTACTCTAGCTAAGTTAGTGATTCATCAGCATCAATCACCATTGCGCCGAACGGACTGACACACTGACAGACTGGCAGACTGGCAAACAGGCAGACAACATGATGCGAGCATAGCAACATTTCTTCTTCTTGTGAGGTGGTAACCACCGCTGCATATGGAGTGCAAGCGACATCTGAATCCAGCCCAGTTAGCCAAGGAAGCAGCTACTATCATTCTACTCCACAGCTATATTCCCACTTACACTTTCTTGCTCGTCCTCTGCGACAGCTACAGCAGTAACCTCAGTGGTGGGTAAAAGTAAAAGTATAAATCACCCACTTTTGCACTAGCACCGGTTCAATATTGTTGAGCAATAATACCACATTGAGCCTAGCCTGCGACTGATCGGCAGAATATTAAGCCTCTCCATCAGTTCTCGCTAGACAGAGGGGGGGTGCTGGTGCTGTTACGGTAACGGCGCCCGGTGCGGTTGTGTTTTGCCTACGGTAAGGTTGAAAGCCGCTGACTTTTTCTTTCTACACTAGTGTTGTGGGAAGTGCCGCATAGTGGTCTGAGCGTCTGTGGTTGTTTGCGCGACACCTAACCCTCCGCTTTCACATCCGGTTGGGCTTCCGAGAGTGTCTGAGCCTCTGAGGTGACTGAAGCCTGACTTACGGCTGAAACACTTCCGGATGTACGGTACATTCAAACAGCCTCGGCGCGGACGGAAGAAGAGGAAAAGGAGGCTGGAGGCCTAGGGAGGGGAGGGTAGAGCGCCAGCTCACTTCTCGGTCGGAGGACCTAAAGGAAGGAAAAAAACCGACAGACCACCTAACCCTCCTTGCCGGCTGTTCTGTTTCGTTTGTTCCACCCATCCTTCCTCCCCCAATGAAAATTTCCACGCTGTCCATGAGATCAATCAATCAGGGAGAAAACAAGGCCGAGTGATACCTGGTGAATATCAGGTGTCGAATCACATGTCCGTCACGTCATGACGACTGGACTTTTCTTGTTGACTTGTCCGGCAATCATTACCCCCTTACTTCATGTTACATTGTTTTTCATGTCGGTGAGCCTGAGTTAAAAGATTTTATTCCGGATAAAATGAAGATTTTTACATTTTTTCTTCTTGAATTCACCCGTGCATAATAGGAGTGTTTGTTGGTCATTAACGAACCCTACCATCAGGGTTTGGTTTCAACCGTCATTACAGCAACAACGTCAACGGGATGAAACTTTTTTTTGTGGTTCGCAAAGAGCGGGATGGATCAGGCTTTATAGTTTGGTTTGAAATGTTTGCCTATTCTCCCCACTCGAGCATCAAGAAGGGGGAATCATTCATGCACAGAAGGATATATACCGGTAACCAAAGGGATGATCTACACCCCCGGTATGTCATGGTGCTGATGCTCATCTTTGTTTAATCAAAATTGATAGACCTTCCTTCTGTAGATCCTCCAATCCTTTACAGTAAAATCCCCAAGGATGTACTTTACATGAGCCAGTATGACTTTCTGAAAATCCACAGAAGGGTTCAGACAGGAAGGCTGAAGCCTTAGTCCGAATTCTTGAGGCATTATAAAAACCCGGAGAGTTCTCCCGCCTCACGACTCTCCCGGTACCCGTCCGTCCGTATGTTTGTCATGTCCCACCTGTCTGTCAAGATAATCTTTTCATGTGCAGTGGCCAATCTGTCTACCCTTTCCAAGGCGTCCCATGGCAATATAGGCCTTTCCCATACATATGTACATAAAGTACTCGAAAGGTTTTAAGGGGACCATCCGCGGAAAGGCCTCTCCCCCCCCTATTGATGCATAAACTCCGTCTCGTTCTGCGGGGCAGAGGAGGCTGGAGTATATCCTATGTCCTATCCCCGCCGCGTGTGACGATCCTTCCCTCTACGTAGCAGCAACGAATTTTTTCGTTTGCCCCCGAGATAATGGCCAACTGCCAGCACGTTCGTTTAGATAGGGTTCCTACCGTTTTGATCACCCCAGATGTTTCAAACACAGCCTACTGCAGCAAAAGGTTTTTTTCTAAATCCTGCAAGAACTTTAAAGACAATCCAAGGGAGGAGGGTTTTTTCCTCTCTTTTTCTTTCCGTGAGAGCTTCGAGTAGGTGCGTGGAGTACCTACATAACCCCAACAAATTGGTTCTCGGTTCTGAAATCGAATAAGAATAAAAATGGTGATCGAGGGTGTGTTGAGTTATCCTGGGTTGGCTGATGGGTGGTGGGTTCCCATACCACAGGAACATTTCCCATATCCCCCATCAGATCAGATTCGATTTCACCAATCCCGACAAAACACAAAAACTATTTCCTCGGGGATCCGAGGTTTTGTTTCGCTCCGTCTGTCTGAGCTCGGCAATCTACTCTATGCATGACAAGCACACGGACAATGTGTGTTAAGCAAGATTAGATAGGCCTACCTACAATATGTAGATGTTCACAATGTGCAGCCTCAGAGTCCGGATTGAAACGTCAACAAGTGGGGAAGCCATCCATCCGTCGCCCGCCGCCTATTCATTCCCTACCGTTTGCCTCCAATACAGTCCAAAAGGTATGTCATGTCCTTTGGTACATTTAGATAGGCAACATATGGACCCGGGAAAATACCTTACCCGCCCACCTCGGGCTGTCTCCCTTGCGATTACATAATTGGCCATCTTCGAATACCACCCTACTAAAAAGCCAATCTGGCCGTTGCACGTCTGCATCTTTTGAAACGGGCAACTACACGGTAGGTACATGTAGGGGGGTATGTACCTACATACATAGGTACTCTAGAGGAGTAGAGCAATGTTGTAGCCCGGTAATTCATCCGAATCCCTAGAGATAGGTGAATACATATAGGGAAGGGGGAGTGCCCCGCTAGAGAGTACTTACGGACCACGCCTGCCATATCATATCACATAGAGTACTCGCTACAGGCCTGAAGTACCCGAAAATGCAGCGGCAAGGCTTTGGTGTATTTTTGGCTTCTACTCCAATGGTAGTTGCAGATTAGGGCGTGCATTTTCGGGTACTTGTTACCTGTGAGTATATCTACCTAGATCTCCGGGATCGATTTGTTTTCATCTAGACCGATTACCGGCATACAGTACCTACATGTACATACGTACATAGAGTACCGTAAAATCTGAGAAATTTCGTTGCGCTGCAGCAGGGATCTTTTACACCAAAACTTGCAGGTTGGTGTTAAAAGACTGCCTCTGATAGGTCTATATGCGCATTTATCCCTGTTGCAGCGCAACGAAATTTCTCAGATTTTACGGTAGAGCGTACATAGCATACCATAGGGCAAATCGTGGTTGGATGCGGATGTGGGTATGTGGACGTGAACGCTATTTTGTGCTGTGCTGTTGCTATCGCTGTCTAAGGTACAGCGCCGGACAGTCAAAATCAACCCTCATGTTCTTTTCAAGCCAGAAACTAGTCCTAATCAGGTAATAATAATCATCAAATCATCCAAATAGGGTAAGGATTATCCCAATTAATGTGGCCGCCTTGGCATAAAGCTATTAAAGTTATTATTTCACACCTATGTTTTTTTCGGGCAGATTGCACCAAATGTTTGAGAGGTCATAGTGCAGCCAGTTCTTAATTATTTTAAATCCCCTTTTATGGGGATGTTTACAACCATGATTAGACCCATTTTACAAAAGAACATTATTTTTGGGCAAGTGTTGCGTTGTTGAAAGTCGATGGGGTGAAGGGGAGTCGGTGGTTGCTCTGGCCGGCTGGTTTTGGCTGTCCGACACCGTACCTGAGATTAGGCGGGGATGCGGGATCTGGAACAGTGGGATGAAGCTGTACTCTAGGTAGACTGACAGTACATTATGTAAGGGAAACCATTTGGAGAGTCTAATATGTCAGGCACTGGCACTCCACAAAATGTTGGATAATACCCTCGTTCACCTGTGACGGTGGATCTTGTCTGACGGCGGTGCACGATGTTTGCAGTAATTTAGCCTTGGCGCCTCCAAAGTTAACTCTACGAGTCAAATCCCTAGCTGCCATCAGATAGGATTCGCCTTCACCCCGTGAGTGAGTGTATCATTATTTGTTATTGGGTTCCTGGAAGAAGGAAAGAAGAAAGAGGGGAAGGGATGCACATCAGGACACATGAACATCACGGGCATGCACAACCCTTCGAGAATGGCCATGCTTGCTGGCCAGATGATGGCCCCGCATAAAAAAGAGAAACCTCTGGCCATTCATAAAAAATTAGCTACCCTCAAAGTTACTGGCTAGCCGTCGGGCTGTGTTTCATGGAGAGATATGTATTTCCATCATTGCATATTGATAACTCCTCATTGTAAAAGCAGCGCATGCCAAGAGATATCCGACTTGCACGGTGTAGCACGTGGCGTATGATAAGACTTAACATGTGGCTGAATAAGTGGCTAAGGAAAGGTGTCTAGACAAGAAGCAACGTAAGAGAGAAGCTACACACTAGATTAGTCTTCCTGTATCCGTAGTTCATCGTCACCAATACATCGTCTGTCTTTAGTCTACGTCGAGTTTGATTGATCGTCATTTTGTGATCAGTTGGAACAAGACTCTAGAGAATACAGAAAACAGCCAGCAACGGTAGGTACATGTCCTCTGTAGGACCTTCTACGGGAAGGGAGGGAGCTCTTCCATCCCCCCCTTCAATTGATATCATACTTGAGTGCCTATCAATGCATTCTACTTTATGTACCTACTCTACATCGTGCTCTGCCATGTTATGTATGTAGGTCTTCAGGGCTGAGGCGGGTGGATCCGAGCACTTGAAAAAAGGCACCATCATCGGTCATCTCTCATGTCCGATACGGGAATTCATCTAGAACTATTAGAACGATTTAGAAACGAACCTGAAAGACGTCACCCGTCAGTTCCCCACTTCCCTGCTCTGAGTTTCTGCTTCACCTGGTGCGGCGGGCCCTACATTTTGAAACATTGCGTTACTAGGTAGCTGTACTGCCAGTCCATTTCCCAAGGCTTCTATTCTTTTATGGGTGGTAACCGCGCGGGGTACTACATGTATGGGTACCCCCAGTCAGGTTCGAGCCGGGTACATTCAACAGCGAGACACACTTTCGGCTGTAGTGGTATTTTCCGCCCCCACCTAACGTGCTGTATACCAAGCCTTTTGATGCCAACTGGACCAATGACTTCAGGCGGGGATTCCCTATCTCTCCTAAAGTGCCTTCACTTACCGGTGTGTACCTCCTCTGGACATCGGATGGACAAGTAACGCTAGCAAGGAAACTAATCCGTTAAGCTATTCTTATGTTCTGGCGGTTCTAGCGATGGGAAATCTCTTGATGTTATCAGATAGGAGAACACACGAGTACTGGGTTCCATTTTCGATACTTTGATGAGAGATGAGGGGGTAGCAAAAAGGGATAAATAAAATCTGATATCATCTTTTCGCTCCGACAAAATTGCCGATGAGTGAGATCACACGCAAAACGGTAGATGCGGTACCCTACTCTAGAAGCATCATCATCATCATCAGGCAGCGCGGCGGAAAAATAAAAGGGCAAGAGTAGAGTAATGGCAACATGACCCCTGTTACGTTATGCAGAGCAAACGAACGGAAAAACTGAATGGAAGAGGGGAATATTTGTTTCATGCGAGCCCTCGTCATTCGAAAAGAAAATAACTGTAGCTCAATGTAAACCGGATAACCCACGTGCACATCTCAAATATAACTAATTACGCCCTGTAAAAACAGCTTCTTTCGACAACACAGCCACTTTCTAAATTCATCAGTAAGTAAGTGAAGCTAATGAAGGCGAGAAAAAAGTAAGAACCGAAGCGACTGGTTACTACAGATAATTACGTACCTTAAAGAACCTTCTCCACTCCAGCGGATCCCCAGTACTCTTCGAGAAACTGATTTGTAGGACCTTTGGTGCGATTCTTTCTACTAGAATCTCGCCTCTCAATGAACATTTTCTACTATCAAATGTCTTTATAGATATCCAGGTTTCCGTGTTGCCATCTGAAAGTTCGCTTTTTTTGAAAGGAGGAACTGCAACTCCCAAGCGATGTAACGCGCTTCCTAGGATAGGTAGTATTTGGCGGAATGAAAAAGAAGAGTAAAATCTGGTCATTCGTTGAGAAGGACATATGTCCTCAAATCTTTGGGCATTTTGGGTCTTTGGCGAACATATTAGTAACGAAAAAATAAAAGTGTGGGTACTACAGGGGTTCCCCACCAAAGATAAGGGTAGCTGAGGTTGAGGCGCAAATTGGCTCATTGCTGGATCCTCAGCAAGACTTATCAAGAAATCATAAGAGTCGAAATTCTCTCGAGTGTGGAGTGGCTGGGACGCGGATTGCCATGGACGATCCCACTCGAATTGGGCATCATTGTTGAACGTCTCTGGCTGCGTAGAAGACAACCTATTGGGAATATTACTGGCGGCAAAGGATTCCGGTGTTATAGTTGTGTCGGCATCAAAATCTACATGAAGTCCTTCAATAAGTTGTGTCGCCAAATTAACCCCATCATGACACAGCCCGTCTGCAGTGAGGTGAGGATTCGGCCTTTGTGGAATCCTTTATTAACCCAGAACCAAAAGAAGGGCACGAGAATACCGGGATGGATAATTAAGCACCTACCTTGTGAACCATGGATGCCGTCTAATCTCTTCGAAAGTGAAACGATTTACGGGGTCAATTCTCATCATACCTCTCAACAAAGCTGAGATCCTGTTAGTGTATTTGATCTATGGCACGAGGCGGAAAGTAGTTTTCTAAAGAAACAAACATAAAACGTCTGCAGGAAGACTAGGCCATGGTTCGTAACTTGGTCGTCCATTTGATCGCCTAAATTCTTCGAACTCCCAGGCCATCCTTGTAGGTTCATCCCATGGAGTGTTTCCCGCCAGTAGTACAAATAGAACTACAGCACAAGACCATATATCGACTTGATCGGCGCGGTACTGTCCGTTCAATACCTATGAAATATTAACGAGGGTGAATAAGCATAGCCGGGGATTTTTGAATGGACCTCTGGTGCTACATATGGAGGGGACCCGCAAACAGTAGAGTTGAGCTTATATTTCCCTTGGTAGCCGAAGAGTGTAGCCAACCCGAAGTCCGCAATTTTGAGATTACCATGGCTATCCAGAAGGATGTTTTCCGGCTTGATGTCTGGAATTTCCCCAAAATTGTTTATAAGTGTCAATGCAAGCTAATAAAAGCGTCCTCGGAGTTGGACTTCCAGATCTCATGTACCTCTGTGTGCTACACCTTGTCCATGTATGTAAGACACCCCCGCAACAAGCTGGGTGAAGTAAAAATGGCCGATATCCTCAGAAACCCCGACATCCGGTTCTTAGAAGCATTGAACCCATCAGTAAAATTATAAGAGGACAATTTTAAAACACAAAGTTGAATGCTTACCAATCTTGTCAAAAAGGTCACCACCTGAGGCGAACTCCATTCCTATCCAGGTCCATACGTCGTCCTCTCCAAAATCATAAAATTGGATTAGATTGGGATGATCCCCACAATGTTTATGCAGCATAACCTCGGTGTTTATCTGCCGAAGTGAGATTCTACCCCTCTCGATGGCAAATCTTTTATGGATGAACTTGACAGCAAAAACCTCCCCCGTTGATGGGACTCTGCCTTTTTTGACACTAGCAAACGTCAAACAGCAAAGTTAGTTGTATTGAACTTTAAATATTGCCTGGGAGCTAAGAGTGATTGAGGATCCTCACGAAGCATAGGCGCCGCGCCCAATGGTCTTGGAAATTATCTCGAAGGGTAGATCTCGAGGAAGAGGGTCGAGCTGTGATTGAGCTGTTGAGGACTGAGAAAGCAGAGAATAATTAGTGGGGATTTTAAAAAACCTAACATTATAATAGCTTACCATGGTATCAAATAAAACAACCATAAGATAAGGTTATTTAATGAGCGTGTTGAGATAAACCGAACGCACTGAAGTTTGAAGTGCACCAGGAAGTCGCGTTATTTGAGCCATTACTGTTTAAGTTCCTTAGCGACCGTGGAAATGACTCGCTATTTCTAAAGTAGTTAGAGGATGAGGCTCAACAGGGATTGTTACGTCACAGAAAGGTGTTCCCTGCGTGGCTGGGAACGCTGAAATATTTAATCACATATATAGTGACCAGCCTGTCTGCTCTTTTTGAAGTGGTCGCTCCGGCGAGGACTGTAGGTACATAAGTACATGTACATACTGTAGGTACAGTCGTTTCTAGGTCAACGGCGAACCCGACTTTTCGGGCTGATAATCAATCAAGGCAAACACACTTTTGTTGGCTTTTGTTGACTTCGATTGGCCCATTCGCCATCGAACCGAGTTCGCCGTTCACCCAGAAACGACTGTGTATGTAGTAAATATAAACATAAATCACGCCGAAAAGTCGAGTTGTGCAATTGGTAGCAAATGTTGGGTGCAAGCGAGCCATGTGAAGAAAACAGGGATGGAGAAACGTGGAACGTAACCGAGAAAAGAAATTACCATGTTTGTGCAAGATTTTTTTTTAACTTCACAAAACGGGCAAATCCCAAGAAGTGTTGCAAATATCAAGAGAGGAAAAAAAGAGACGAAGCGCGCCAGACCTCCATCCCCGCGCCAATGCAAAACTTTCCCAGTGTACAATACATGACATGATGCTGTTGAAAAGATAAAAGAGAAACAAGGAAAAACAAAGGCTGCTAAGACAACCAAACCGAAATTCTTTTAGAAACCGATATGCAAGAATGTGCAAGGAACTTAAAAGCAGAACCCAGGCATATATAAATAAATAAAAATAAAAAAAATTGCGCCGGATTTTATCTCAATCATGCTTAACCACCTATAACTCCAGAAGTTGTCCCATGAAACAATGCCAATCGCCTGTCTTCAGGCATAAAACCAAGTTCGCAAGACCCCCAACAAAGCAAAAAAAATTTACTATTGCTGCACCGCACACCTAACCCGGCAAAGACCCACCGTTGGAGCCAGCTTGTGGTATCGAAACGACACTTGAGCTTTGGTTTCGTTTCTTCTCTTTCCTAAAAGCACGAGTCAGTTTCTTACTAAGGAATATAGTGGGTCACATGTTATGGATAAGACGTACTTTGCCCATCTCAGCCCACAAGCATTGCAAAGAGTTTTTGGTCCTTTAGGACCTTTTCTCCACTCTGGGCTATCTAAAGTTCCGCAGTCCGTGCAAACATATTCGTCCGCGATTTTCTGCTTCTTCTTCTTCTCTGAGGTGTGACGACTTTCTTTGTCGATCGGTATTGGAACCCCAGCGTCTCCACGAATTAATGCCGGAGATGTATCACCCGTACTGATGCCCTTGGACCGTTCTCCTTCCCGGTATCGCAACCCAGTCAACATCTCGATACTGTCCATATGATTGACCCCTCCTGCCCCAAACCGGGCCATTTTATCCCTTATACTATCAGCTTTTGCAAGATTTGACTGCTCCATGCGATCCAAATTTTGTCGGGTCAAAGCTGCGGATGTTTGTTGCTGTGTAGGTTTTGCAGGTGGAGGCATGGCGTCGGATCCATTGGGTGTTTGCGCTGTAGTCATTGGTGTATCATTTCCTGTCATGCTACTGCCAGCAGTGCCACTATCTGTTCGTGTCCCATTCGGATATTGCTGTCTCTGTCGCTGTTGTTGCTGATGTTCCTCATATTCTTCCTTCCTCAGCTCCTCAATCCTTTTCATCAGACGCTCGTTCTCGATTTTATGTTCTAGAAAAGAATCTAGAAGGGCGGCGTTACGCGTGGGATATGGTCTTGACATCATGAAGAATCCCTTGCAAACTGATTGTATGGCCGAAGGGCCAAATTGGGGGGCCTCGCCAATATGAGGATGGCCATTGGTCTCAAAAATTGCATAAGTCATATCGGTTTTTTGGAATCGGTAGAATAATCGTAAAGCTTGTCCAGTAGCTATCGATTCATTAAACTCTCGCACAAATCTTTGTACCGTGTGTTAGTAACCCTTTGTCCAAAAGATTTTTGTAAAATGACAAACATACAGTCCCGAATCATCCGGGTGGATAAATTCCGTGATAAACTTTCCCATCAACTCCTCAGGATCAAACCCTGTCAAAGATTTCGCAGAAGGCGATGCATAAACAATTTTTCCGGTTGGTGAAAGGATATGCAAGAAATCCTGTAGCTCTTCCAAGATGCGCTGTGACCAATTCCTCCGCTTCGTGAACTCTGTTAAGGTACTTCCGCCTCCAAGATTCCCATATTCATTCATCATGGAAGTTGGAGGAGCGGAAGAAGTCATTGGGCTAAATTGGTCGCCACCGCATAGCTGAGGGTCAAGTGGCATACCGTCGTCCGTCGACATATTAATGGACATCATCATTGCTGGATCTAACATCGAGCTAACGTGGTTGTGATCCCCTAGCAAGGCTCCAGCAGCCATAGCTTGTTGGGCCGCAGCGAGGGACGAGATCTGCATGTTTTGGAGTTGACCATTGACACCATTTACGAGAGGCATGCTTCCCCCATTGAATAGGTGAGAGTTTCTGGAGCCAACCATCCCACCCGGCATATAGCTATGGGTGGGGGAGGACGATGAGGCGTGATTCATCATCATGGGGAATGGTGTTGGGTGTGGAGAGGGGGTTGAGGAGTTGTCAAAGTAGAATACGAGAAGAGCAACCAGCCACGGAGGCGTGAGAAAGGTTGTATAGGGAGTAAAGGCGTATGCAAGAAGAGCTGGTAGAGGAAGAGGAAGAGTAGTATGAGGGGGGGGGGGAGACTAAAGTAAAGAAGGGGCCCACGATGTCTACTAATAAGCTCTAGCCAGAACTAGGTGGGACGGGACAGGGAGCACGAGGAGGGGTATGATGACGACAAGGAGCAGACAGAAGAAGAACACAACCACGGGTGAGAAAGAGACTGACGAGCCGGAGGACAATGTCGACGACGACGACAACAACGACGGCGAAGACAAGGAGGGGATAGACAGGCCAACGCGGGGCAGCAGTATGGGACGAAGGAGGAGTATCTACATGTACTTTACATGTACTTCCTTATTTGACCTACATGTACGTGGGTGGGTGTTCTACAGAGTGGAGGGGGTGGTAGTGGTGTTTGGGGAGGTAGAGAGATGGGTCAGTCGATAAGTCGCTGCCGGGATATTAGGACGTTGGCTAGCCTGAGAGTGGCCGCTGCAAAATGAAGAGTGAGAGGACATGGGAGAAGGAGAAATCAATCAATCAACCAGCACACTCGTTAATGCGAAGCGTGTGCGTGAATGCGTGATTCTAAGTAAAGATGATAGGGTGAGTTGCTAAGGTGCCTGAGTGGGCAAGACTGGGGCTGGACGAGTTAAATGTCGTGTCGCCGCTCTTTTCCTCCTGGAGTCTTGACTCCCTTGCCAATTGCTGTGAATCTTTTCTCCTCGGTTTTTCATGTCATTTTTTTTTTTTTTTTTTTTTGGCTTGTCCAGTAATCTTCCGTTATTTCTTGTGTTTTGCCGCTCCCCCTTCTCATTCACACTACGTACATGTAGAGTACCTACATGTACGCACCAAAGGCCTTTTTACATTTAGCTAGCACTAATAAGTGATGCATGTGAGTTCGTTAGCAAAGTCAGGTCTTCCCTATGGCCGGCCATAAACATGCTACGAGTAATTCCGCTCCATGTATTCCAGCCGGTGACGGCGAAGCGGGTCTTTACAGGGTGTAAAATATGTACATAAATGGGAAATTAGTAGAAGTCTGGTTCGTTGCAAAATCTGGTAGCGAGGCAGTCTGGTTGTGCTTCTGTTGCTGCTGCATATCATGAGTTTGCGTGTTGTATGAAACAATGTACATGCCTCACAATGGAGGGTGTGCAGACTCTCAAATGGAAGGAGAGTTGTGGTTCAAAAGTAGTTAGCTGCCGTTGCAATCGAGTTACCCAGCAGATCTCTTGTAGAGATGCTGTCCCCAGTCAATTTTGTTTTGGCCTAAGGATACATCATCATCATCATCATCGTGCTGGCCCAAAGAATCCGTCCTGCGCCAGAAACAATGGATTTGAGCAGGAGGGATAGGGGAGGGGAGGAGGGGAGCGGGGGTTTTCAAAACGAAAGGAGAGGGTGAGAGCGAGCCAGCTAGTAAGGGCCCGAAAATGACGTGAATAGTAAGATGTCAGATTTGGGGGGGGGGGTTTCTGGAATTAATCACATCTGTATCCACAGCTCTCATCAATCAATTGCACGGGAAAAAAATACCTGGGCCCATGGATCTGCCCGTGAGATCATTTTCTGGCCGCCCTAGCCTGGGAAATGTGCTTTTTACCTACATAATATTAGATAGCGTTACTAAAGCGGCAGTATCAATTAATACATATCACAGTCGTACATGTAGGTACATGACCTACATACATGGAACAATTTACAGTGTACATTAGCAATATGTAACAAAGTCATGTAATCAGTGTCTGTTCTATGGCTTTTGAACTACAGTACATACATCCTTGTATGTATCCAGATAAGAAGCAGGCACTATAGATTTCTCGAGTGAGTGTCGCATCGTCATCCTGACCTGCCAAGGCGGTCGACGTCAAATTGCTTTCGAACGCGTTTCCCAGCTCGTCGCGTAATTGCGAGCACCACTCATCCAGCCCCTCGAACCAAACGATCTAGGAACATCAAAAACCCCTCCTTGTCAATACCTACTCCCAGAAGACGCGACTGTACTTCATATTACCGGTTGTTGAGATCGTTATCAGGAAAAATGTATGGCCTTGCGCCTGTGCGGTTTTTCTCTGCTCGCTAACATTCATCTACAGGTGTAAGTCGTATTTTGCTCATGTAGTCCATCACAGTTGAAGCACCAAATAAGAGCTCTAAACTGATTTTATTTCCTTCGATCCTTTCTCAGCACGGATTGATAAACTGGCAATCTTAGGGTAAGTAAGCAATCCTTCAGCTCTTTTGAGTGGATTGAGCTTATAAGAACTGCACTGCTAGTGTTCGTTCTTTCGACAACACCCGTAGTGAGACCATACAATTCACCGCACCACTGACATTAATCGTTGGATATAATGGCTCCGGGAAAACTGTACGTAGAAAAGACAAAAATAAAAGAAAAAAGTGTTATTTTACACCCGCTGATGCCCTTATCCAGACAATTATCGAGTGTCTCAAGTATGCCACTACTGGTATTTTGCCTCCCAATCATAAGCAAGGTGCTTTTATCCATGATCCAAAGGTTATACATCCTGTCACGATTCCTTTCCTCAGTCATTGTGCTGATGTGAAAAAAAGATGTGCGGAGAGAAGGAGGTTCTTGCTCAAGTAAAGCTTTCATTCAATTCAACTAAGGATATCAAGATGGTATGCACCCGTTCGCTGCAGCTCAGCGTAAAAGTAAACACTCGAGTGCAAAAGACTCTAGAAGGCCAGCTACTGGTCAATAGTAACGGCGAACGCTCAACAATTGGTTCGAAGTGTACAGAACTGGACACTCTCATGCCACAGTACCTAGGTGTGTCAAAAGCCGTGCTTGAATATGTAATATTCTGCCATCAAGACGAAAGTCTTTGGCCCATGAGTGAGCCTGCCGTGTTGAAGAAACGATTCGACGAGATATTTGAGGCACTGAAGTACACTAAAGCTATCGATAATATCAAGGTGTTAAGGAAGAAACAGAATGAAGAACTTGGGAAGCTGAAGATTCTTCTTGAACAGTACCGTGTGGATAAAGACCGCGGCGAGAAGGTAGAATGCATTTTATCTTGGAATTGTCCGAAAATAACTAGTCTAATTAGACTAATATCTATTTAGGCCAAACGTCGCTCTGATGAATTGCACGAGGAGATTGAAAGGATGAGAGTAGAAGTTATTCAACTGAACCGGATGATGTCCGAAAATTCCCGGCAACAACAAGAACTGTTTAGCAAGGCGAAAGGATTTGAAGAAATAATAGCCACCCTTCAGGCCAAGAGACAAGAAGCTCGAACGATGGAATCTTCTCTCATAGAGCGCTCAGACCATCTTACTCATCTGGAAGAGTCGGATGAAGATCTTCAGAGAATGCAGCATGAATACGGTGCAAGAATGAAAACGTATCAAGATCATATAACAACTAAAGAAGCGGCCCACCTTGAGGCAAGTAGAGAGCTGGAAAGAGCGAGAGATCGCCTCTCAATAAAACTCAAAGAGGAAGGCAGGATCCAGGCAGAACACGCGGTATGAATGGCTGAAACGAACCGAGTGATTATTTGGTTGCTCTAAAGTTCGAATTGCTAAGAATAGCAGGCATTCGAAAACCAACTACAAGAGCGCGAGGCTCTAATTAGGGAGATCAGCCGTCGGCACGGAATTAAGGGGTTTGAAAGTGAACTGGATGATTCTCAAATTCAAACGTTCATGACCAAGGTCTCGAGATTGTCACGTGATCAGAACCTGTACCTTGAGCGTATTAAGGTATGACTGGGTCTTTCCCACTGCACTGTGCTGGCTGTTGACATTCGTAGCGTGAGAATGGAGAGGAGCTTAGGTCAGCCCAAGAAGTGCTAAATCAGATCACTAGCAAGCGATCCTCACTTCAGCAAAAGAAAGAATATGCCAGGGCCGAAATTAAAGCTTTAGATCAAAAAGCGACTTCTCTTCAGCGTGAGCTTGAAGCCATAGGGGTAAGTGAAGGTCACGAGTCCATTCTCAAGTCTAAACTCGACGACAAAGAGCAACGACTGGCCAAGGCAAAGGAGGATTACGAAGTAGCGCTGTACGAGGATCACACTGAAAAAGCGAATGCGAGATTGAAAAGCGTAGAAGAGAAGTTAGATAGCGTGACAGGAGAACTTGCAAAGGTGACCCGGCAGGCGGACGAGAGAGCAAGGTTGGGTTTTGTAAAGAAAGAACTAGAGACCAGAAGGAAGGCTCTAGATTCCTTGTAAGTTTTCGTGTTCGGCTCTATTTCAGCGTTATATTAATTCTGATATAGGACTATTGCGAGCAAAGACAAAATAGACAAATTCCTTTCTTCAGACTGGACTGTAGATTCGATTGAGCGAGAATTGCAAACAGTGCTCAGGTGAGTGTTGGGCCAATATCCAAGATTCTTAGGCACTAATATTATGTAGAGAACGAGAGGAAGAAATTGCAGAAGCTCGACGACAGCGAGACATCGTTAATCAAGAATTGTCTCAGGTCCAAACAAAAATTAACTTAGTTCGGGATTCCCTCAAGAAGAAGAATAAGGAGGCAAAAGGTTAGTGTATCCTTCTGGATAATTGCTGGGTAGATTTTAATCCATCACACAGATTGTGAGATGACGGTGCTCGCATCATGGACTCCGGGCTCAGAGGATGATGTTATTAAGGATATCAGTGGATACCCAAAAGCGGCTGCAGCAATTGAGGAAGACCTACAGACGCTTAGAGGGTGAGTTGAAGTCCCTAGCAGTACCTTCATATGGCTAAATGTTTCACAGTGACTTAAAATATCTTGAGTACATTCAAGATTATTTTAACAAAGCACTCAAAACACTCCAGGACTACAATGCTTGTATCATGTGCAAAAGAGGATTTCATCAGAATGAAGTTAAAGGGTTCGATGAGATGGTAAACGTACTGAAGCCCCCCATACGTATATAATACTTACTGCTATACTGGTACTTGATTTAGGTCAGGAAAAAACTTGGGAGTTACTCTCGGGAAACGACAGAAGAAAACATTAAGGACGCAGAGGATGAGCTCCGACTCATTCGAGAGGCGGCTCCGAGTTATGATTCTTACATTCGTTTAACTAAGACAGAGATTCCAAACCTTACCGAGGATCTAAGGAAAAATAACATCCTCAAAGATCAACTTATCGATGACTATAATAAAGTAAGAATTCGTGTAAGCTTGAGGGTTAATATTAGCTGACACTATTTTAGCACGAAAAGATCCTGAACGACTGCATATCGAGCAAGTCAGAAGTAGAATCCTTGAAAGCGCCCATCTCAGAGATTGTGAAATACATGAAGGAGATAGTCGACTATGAAAAGCAGGTCGAGGATGTCTCTAGCCAGTTAAAGGATATGGGTGGTTCTCGTACCGTCGAAGAAATGCAAGTTGAGATGCAACAGCTGAACGAGGAAGCAAAGACTCTTAAACGCCTGATTATTTCTATAGCATCTGAGAAGGAATTATCTCGTCAGACCATCAGCCTTCTTGACAACCAGGCTAAGGAACATCGCATGAAGCTCAACGAGCTCAACTTTAAACTTCAACAATCAAGAGCCCTGGTGGATAGGATTGACGAATGTCGAGATAACAATCGAAAACAAAACACGGTAATTGATGAGACAGATGCGGAACTTAAGAAGCTCGCCCCAGAGTTGGTCAGAGCCGATGCGCATGTGAATAACATCTCTCGCGATGGCGCAGAAAAAGAAAATCAGCAGCAACGAGACGCCTCAAAGCTTGCCGGGAGCGATATGCAATTAAGGGGAGCAGAACAAGGGATTCAAAACTACCTCAGGCGTGGTGGACCGGATCGGTTGGATAGGTGTCGCTCACAAGTCCAAACATTAGAAGCAGACGTCAAAAAATGCGAGGAAGAAGTAATACGCATTGGCAAGGAGGTGAACAATCTAGAAATGGAATCGAAAAATGCACTTGCAATTGAACACAGTATTCAAGAAAACTTGAGGTTCCGCGCAAACAAAAGTCAGCTGGAAATGTTGACGGAGGAAATCCGTGAACTTGAGAGTCGAAATACCGAGGCGGAAAGGGATAGGTTTCGTGCAGATTTAAAAGTGTTATCAGATTCACACACTGCATTAGCCATGGAGGTATATGATACAGTCCCAAAGTGAGTGTTGATAAATTGCTGATGATATTTTAGAAATCGACCAAGGCTGGAGAAATGAGATCTAAGGATACACAGTTAGAACAATTGATCCAGGATTATGCTACAGATTACGCCGATGCCAAAGGAAAATATAAGGAAACATTGGCAAAAGTTCAGGTAAAAAAATCATTTGGCATTAATGAAGCCGTCATTGATTTTTGGATAGACTACTACAGGCGCTAGCAACGATTTATCGAAATACTGCGCTGCACTTGATAAGTGAGCTCGCGAATTCGCACAAATGTAGACAATTCTCCAACTAATGTAGATTTTAGGGCTATCATGAAATATCACAGTTTGAAAATGGAGGAAATAAATCGCATAATTGAAGAGCTCTGGAAATCCACGTACCGGGGTACTGATGTGGACACCATCCTCATTCGATCTGACGACACCGAAGGCGCCAAAGGCAACAGATCTTATAATTATAGAGTATCCTAACCCCTACCACCGTACCACACCCCATCAGCTATTTTATTAATTTTAATTAGGTATGTATGGTCAAACAAGATGCAGAAATGGACATGCGAGGTCGTTGCAGTGCTGGGCAGAGAGTATTAGCAAGTATCATCATTCGGCTTGCGCTAGCTGAATGCTTTGGTATCAATTGTGGGGTATACCTCACCCCTGTTCTCCTTTTCATTTCTTCCTCAATGCGGAATTTGGTTGTACAGGAACTAAATCATCATTTTTCAGCTGATCGCACTCGATGAGCCTACAACAAATCTCGATGGCGATAACATCAGATCTCTTGCTAGAAGTCTTCATGAAATTATCAAGACCCGTCAGGCACAATCTAATTTCCAATTGATTGTAAGACCTATATATATCCTCTTTGTCACAGACTGAAGCAGTTTTAACAAACCCATAGGTCATTACCCACGATGAGGATTTCTTGAAGGAGATGCAATGCCAAGATTATTGTGATCATTACTATCGTATTTCCAGAGATGAAAGGCAGAAGTCGATCATAGAAAGGTGGGACCTTAGAATTGTAGTAATGATTCCTCCGAGATACCAAGACTAACAATTGAATTAGACAATCAATCGCTGAAGTCATATAGAACTGGGTACCTAAAGTGGGTTCAATGAGTCTATCATCTGGACATACGGTTTCAACCCAATCCCTTCCCGTATGTCGGCCCCAGAAAAGAATCGTCAGACACGTTCTTGGATGGCATAATTCTTTTTTTCTTCGTCACAATAACCATATAGCATGTATTCCAAATGTAGAACTATCTCTAGGATTAGTTCTAAAGTAACTAAATCAACCCCTTGGGTGATGGCCTCATGTTTTAGTGAATTAGTAGACCAGGCTAAAGCCTGTTAGGGCGTGCTTTAAATTACATCAACCAATAATTAGCCACTAGTCCCACCGACCTATGGTGTTTAAAAGTACTTGAGATCAGATGAGACCGTCCAAACGAGGATAAAATCAATCATCATTATCACTGTCATCCTGAAAAGGCAAATACCGGAAGTCTACAAAGCTCATTACTTTATTGATAGTAATCATGAATTGCAAGCTTAGAATTCCTCGGCTGTCTCCACGGATACTGACTTTGGTAGCAATTGCCATAGCGCGGGCAGCGTGTTTTATCAGATGGAATTTGTAACTACTCGTTTTTTTTTTACATTAATTAGATACTGAGGCCTTGGTAATTCGGGATAAATCCTTCTTTGCCTAGCAAGGAAAAAGGGGGGAACAAATACATATTCTGAACTGGCGTAGGAACCTGGAATGTTTCCAAGAGACTTCGTTCATTAGAAAACTCCACACTAGTGCTTCCCATAGGGCCCGTTGAGCTCAGACTGAAGAACGGGTGACGAGGGCTTGCAGATATGATTAGTCGATCTGGGGAGGACCCGTCCAACTCTTGGATTGCGTCGTAGAGCCAGTCAGCCTAAGCAATTTTTTAGTAGACCAAACAAAAGGACACGTTATATGTAGCTAGTAAGCTTTCTCGGATTCTGGGGTTCATACCTTCATGATAATCTTTTTAGTGAGAGGCTGATCCAGTAAAAACTCTTCCACGTCATCTGGCTCGTACGTTGTGAGAGTGCAGGACGTGGAAAGGTTATCTTCCTCCAAACTATTGCGGCATATGGCAGTCAGCTGCAAAATACGTTGGTTGGCTTCAGACCAAGTCGAGACTTACACAACTTGTAAAGGATAACCTTCACCCTGATATATCAATGTGCACTTCCCAGATTTCCTTTCCTGTTCGGTTCCTAGGGCGGCGGGCCTGGTTGCCATCGTGCTAGAGAGTGCTGGCTGATTCCATCGTTCCCTAGTTGCAGTTTCCGCACCGAAGATTTGTAGACATTCTAGCAGTGCAGATAATGAAATCCCAAATGAAACACCTTTTTCAGAGTCTCCATTATCATCATCCGCTGGATGATCATTTCCCAAACCTTCCGGGTTCGGTAATGGCCTGTCGTTCGAGAGACCGTTGAAAACATACTGCGTGAAAAGCTTTTTGTCCACAAAAACGTTACCTGCGGAATAGAACTATCAATTTATGGGAGTCTATGAGATTATCGGCAAGATACTCTGAATACCTTGCATGACGCGTGAATCCTCAACCATAAAAGTCAATCCATCGCTATTAATCTGAACCTGTACTTTCGAAAGAAACCCAATACACCTAAGGAGGGAAAGTATCTGGCGAATAGATGTAGTTTCAGCGATAAATGTTGGTGGGCAGTTCATGGTGAGAGTCAATGTTGGTTTGTGATACCTGGATGATGATGATGATGAGGAGGAGGAGGAGGAGGAGGAGGAGAGGATTATGGTTGGTTCACGGTATGATGTTTCGCATAATTAGGAGTACAAATAGTTCGAGCCCAAGCCCAATGTGTCGAACCATACATTCCTTTTGACACATTTGATATGATTTTGTATTTTGTATTTATCACCCCATTTCCCCCTTCTTGCAGTGACAGAAGCTTAAACGTAAACTCCTACTGCACAAATAAGAAACACCGATCCAAACCTGCCATTCAACCGCTGATAAGTATAGAAACCCAATTTTCCAGAAAAACAATAAAAAGCGTACCCAAGTGATAGAGAAGCCAAAAGCGCCAATAAAGGAGCAGTAGTTATCGACTTATCTGAGTACAATAGAGGACACGTTAGTTAAATATTGCGAGACAATAGACGTCGTCATAGTTCAAAAACAAGAGTGGCGTACTAATAGAAAAGAGCCCAGTGAGGGAAAACCCTAAGTAGAAAATATCAGCGACGTTTGTTAAGCTATGTGAGGAATATGCTGCCATAAGGTATAACGAACCTGCTAAAACCAGTAACAAGGCAACCGACAGCTGGCTGTCCTTTGACACCAGTGGTTGGAAAGGCGTTAATGAGTCCCACTGAAAATCCATTTTTTTTTTCTTTCTTCAAAATTGTAAAAGTTGAATGAGTTTGTCGATGAGATCTAGAGCTTGCTGGACCTGGATGGAGAGTTTGAAGACAGCTTTAGGTTCATGGGTTACCTAGATTGTGGTACATCTGAGCACGTTCAAAAAAGCTTGCCCTTCCCATCATCCATCGCGTGCATACATTCAACCTCCACGCTATACTGTCTTTATAAAGAGGGGCGCCTGGTACGTTATAGCACCCTTTTCTCACAGCTGACTAATTTGACGAGACCATAATAAGATGCCGAACGTAAAACACGAAGGTATGCCCTACTAGAGAGCTCCATTTCGCTCACAGCTCTGGAATTGACCACCCCATCAGGTATGAAGCGCAAATCTGAAGATCAAAACACTCAGCCTTCTCCCAAGAGGATAAAATCATCGGAATCTCCAGAGGACCAAAAGAAGACCAAGGCCTTTTTTAGAGAATGTAGGTCATGTCAGGAAGATCCCCATCGTTCACCAAGGGCTGACGATATCGCGTTCTAGCAAACGCCGTTCTCGAAGAATTTCATGGTGACATCGAGTTTCGCGTGGTCAATAATGATAATTCCAGGGAAAGCACAATTATCTTGACCGGCCTCAAGAATATCTTCCAAAAACAGTTGCCAAAAATGCCTAGGGATTACATTGCGCGGCTGGTCTACGACCGGACTCATCTATCCATGGCCATCGTCAAAAGGCCTTTGGAGGTAGTGGGGTATGTGTGTCGAGACACACTATATCTACATATATATTATACAAACCAATGATCTTTCGTACTAACACTAGGAGTAATAGAGGCATCACATATCGGCCTTTCAAGGGCAGACAATTCGCAGAAATTGTGTTTTGTGCCATTTCGTCGGACCAACAAGTCAGGGGCTATGGTGCCCATCTCATGTCTCATTTGAAGGTGATTTTCGGTTTCGAGCTCCAAGTAGTGTTAATCATTGCCCTAATGACCCTAGGACTATGTTAAAGCTACTTCAGACGTGATGCATTTCCTTACCTACGCCGACAACTATGCCATTGGATACTTTAAAAAGCAAGGTTTTACAAAGGAAATTACACTTGACAAACAAAAGTGGATGGGATACATCAAAGATTATGAAGGCGGCACAATCATGCAGTGTTCTATGATACCGAGAATCCGATATTTAGAGGCATCGAGGATGTTAGCAAAACAAAAGGAAGCTGTTCATGTCAAAACTAGGGCTATCTCAAAGTCTCACATCGTCCATGTACCGCCAAAGGCATTCAAAAATGGCCCATGTAAAATCGACCCAACCTCAATTCCTGCAATTAGTGAGTCGAATCCAACATGAGCTGCTGCGAGTGCATTGAAGTGTTCTCCAGCTTTGGCTAATGGAACTTAATAGAAGAGGCGGGGTGGTCACCTGAAATGGATGAACTGGCTAGACAACCAAAACATGGCCCGCACTATGCCCAACTCCTCCATCTACTTAACGAGATGCAGAACCATCAGTCGGCTTGGCCCTTTCAGAAACCGGTCAGTCAGGATGAGGTACCTGATTATTACAACGTAATTACAGAGCCAATGGATTTAGAAACGATGGAAAAGCGACTTGAAGAAGACGCATACTCTTCCCCCGAAGAGTTCATACGAGATGCGAAGTTAATTTACAACAATTGCAGACGATACAATAACGAAAGCACATCATACTGGAAGAACGCAAACAAACTAGAAAAGTTTATGAACCTAAAGCTGAAGGAAATACCGGAGTGGTCGGTAAGTGTTCACATGTTTTTGAGTTAGGTAGCTATGTGATTGATGTGGAGCCGAGCTAATTATTTTAAAGCACCTTGTTGAATGAGAAATATGAGATATGCCTATAAATAGAGTTCGGCCTCATCTTTCCCTTCCAAAATTGGTGCTTTATATTATATACCTCTTCGTCTGTTCTCGTTTTCATAATCGATTGGACTTGGGGCGGGGAGTGGTAAGCCAAACTTTAACTGGACAGCCGCCAAACCAGGTGAAGTTAGCCACAAAGAGGCAACGAGCATAAATTATGTATACCCGGTTCACTATGAACTTGATGATGTCCTGTATCAGGCTTAGAATTCCGCAGATAAGCATATGTACTGAATACTGGGCTTTGGTGATGGGTACGGTTTTGTAACGGGTAGTCTTTACACACATGTAGTTAACGTTATCTGAAGCATAATTTCCAACAGACCATGGGTGCCGGTCGGGCTAAAGCTTAGAGGGGAAAACGATTTGATCATACCCAGATTGTGGTTTCAGGCGCTAATAAATCGCTTTTTCAGAGAATTATGTGCGGAAACGAGGTTTTGTATAGTTCTGGAACACCTACGATTCATAAATCTCTATGTATCTACACTTTCAAGGAAATCGGGCCTCTAGATTGACTGTTTTAGAATTTTGACTTTCTTGCTTTTGAGGGTAATTAAATAATTGACAATTTCGAAAAAATTACCTACTTGCGGCGAAAATATGTTTCCGCTAAATTTGTGCGCGAAAATGCGGTTGCAACACAAAAGTGGTGGCGGAGGTATTCTCGCAGTAGGTATAACTGTTAATTTCGATAATTCATGGATAGATGTACTTATGTCTTTCATTGGTTTTATTTTGGCAGGCCTATGGGACCTTGGGCGGTATGTACACCCGTGTCTAAGTAATTCCTGGAGCTCCCCCAAATAGCAACGGGGTCAAAGTAGTGTTTCTTCACAAAGAATATTGGCATATCCTTAATCTACACACTCTCTCTAGCTATCCTACTCAGTCTTGTATAAAAGTTTACTCTGATTGAGGTAAATTCAGTCGCGAGAGTCCCGTTGCCATGGTGGGGGGGACTCCGGGAACTATCTAGACAGGGTGTAGAAGCCCACAGCTTTCTTGACTAGTACATGTACCTACATACATGTAGGTTTTTCGTCCTATTCGTTGCGTTATGTTATGTACAGCGACAGGCAATAAGTGATGGAACGCCCTGAGAGTACAAACACCAAATATTGGTGGCGTTTTACCAAAACAGGTATCGCTGTGTTCCATCAATTATTACCCACAGCTGTACAGCGGTGGGTAATAAGTCATCAGACGGAACGCCACCAAAATACGCGTTTGCAGGCAAAATTGTGGCTAGGTGGTCCGATGACTTATTACCCACCGCTGTACATGTAGTGCTTGGTTGCACTGGCTTTGTCACCATAGGCTTCTGCTCCACTATACAGGCTATGTAGAGTAACAGCAGCTGTCTCTCCGTCTCTCCGTCTCTCCGTACATGGACTCCTCCCCGTTCATCTTTACTAGTTCCCCGCCATTTCCTTCGTTTACACACTCACTCACCCGTTGTCTCTATCTCGCTCACCACCACCAAACCCCAATTCTATCTAGAGTCTTCCTCCTCTATACCCCCGCTTATTTTACTCCCTGGTAGCCACTACCAATAGCCCCGGTCGCTCCCTGCAAGTGAGCGAACCTTGCAGCCCACGTTCTATCCATCACCTGTCACCACTGCTATACTGCTGCTGCTTCTCCTCCCACATTTCCTTCTAACATTCTTTCCCCTTATATCTCTCGCTTCTTTGACTATTGTCGCCTATCAAGACTCACTCCTACTCCCAGACTATCACTCTCTCTGGCCCGGGCAGATTTCGCTCACATCGCCAATAATCTCCTGTCATTCAAAGAACACCCTACCTGATACCTCTGACCTCCCGGTCGCTCATAATCATTAGAAGGCGGGTTCCTGTGGAGGAAAACAGGACCTATCCTCTCATCATTTGCTCATCACTATTTTCAGCGCTTATTTTCTGCGGAGCTCACGAGTTACAGCCGCTACACCTACTAGCACTGCTCTAGCCAAGATGCCTGGCGTCACAATTCCGGACGGTGGTGTTATTCTGGGCACGGCGCCAACCACTGTTGGGCAAAAGAATTTAAACATTCACAGCCAACAAGCCATGCGGGTTACCTTCGCAGATAATAGCATCTTGGAGGACGTGCTCAAGCATGGAGCCGACCTGAAGATATCCTTCGGGAAGTCTATGGTACGGAATCTCCACCGCTGGGCCTCATGTTTAGTCTTACTGCTTGCTGTTTTATGTGTTTCACCTGAACATTCGGGCATGTGTGGATTAGAGATAATGTGGTCTAAAAAAGTAATAAGGTTTTGTGATGGTTCAGTTTGGCTAACAGTTTCCCTGTGTGTTTCACCTCGTTCTCCTTATTACTAGAGATTTGTCTATGGGAGTCAGACCATGGAGATAGTCTCCATAGTAGAACCTAACCGCCATGAGCTATACCGAGCATCGATCAACTCTCCAGAGGAACTGGCTTTCGCGGCAACGTTCACGCACCAACTGGAAGCTCGAGAACTTGAAGATGAAGTCAAGGATGAAAGCCTGTTGGCTCTTCAAGAGTCCTATCGCCGAATCAACCAGGAGAAAGAGGCCTCTACGTAAGTTTTCTTTACTTATATCTAAGCAGGTGGACTCCGCGGATTGAAACTCAATTTGAGGTCAATTTTATGTTTATTTTCGCTCACAGTATCTCCGAAGAACCGCCGTTGTGGATAGCACGTTCTCGAAGGGAGGAAAGCTTGCAGCTTACCCGAAGAAGACCACTCAAGTTAGCCGGGCCAAACCCCAACACTCACTGGCTAATACGCCTTTATCAAGAGGTGCACGATCCCCCGAAAATTCCGCCCATATCAACGCGAAACTTGAGGCACTCCGTATTCCATTAATCCACCTTTTGGCAATTGGCCCGGATTCTGAACAAAATTTGGCGTCTAAAACAAGAGTTTCGAATGAAATCTGTGTTCGAATTCTGCAGAAAGTTGGGAACAGGGTGGGGAAGCAGTGGCAATTAGTTGACGATATCTACAAAGACCTTGACCTATGGGACTTCCCATATCCTTCCTCTGGCGATCGCGATCAAGCAATCGCAAACTGTAGAGAGGCTTTCAATAGGTTAAGGTTATCAAGGGAAGCAACCGAATGGCAAATGATTCTGGCCCCGGAGGATAGAGGGAAGGTTGACCCAAATCCACCACCACCACAACCCGTTAAACCGTCCTCGAAGTCGGTTGCGGCTACACCAAGCATCACTGTTACAGCTGAGAACCCAGAATCTAAATCATCTAGTCAAACATCATCTAGCAAGAAAGCTAGTGGTGAATCAATGGCTCGAACAGCCTCCTCAGCTAAAGCAGGGAAACCAGCGCCGAAGGATGCGATATCGCGAATTATAGGGAAGAAAGGCAAAAAGCCTACAGCAGTAAAATCTACCCCAAAGCCAAAGGGACCCATTGGAAGACCTCCAAAATCGACTACCACCAAAACAAATAAAGCGAATATGGCAAAAGAAGCCGTTGTAAAGCCTAAAGTAAAATCAGCTGAGAGAGTCGAGGACTCAGATGAGGATATCGAAATGGAAGATGCTAAACAGTCTCCACTCAAAACAACGGAAAAAAAGACATCCTCTCCCCCCCCCCCTCCCCCCCCCCCCCCTCCTCCTCCTCCTCCTCCTCTACGACAGCCATCGACAACCGCTGCTGCAAGGCCTCCATCGGTCGCAGGTTCTGGCACCTCCGATCACGATGTTGAAAATTCACGATTCAAGCCGAAAAAGGCAGCTACACAAAACATCAAGTCGCCTATAAAGAAACAGCGCCGCGATATATCCGGTTCTACTGGTTCTTCCTCTACAACGGCCAAAAGGAAGAACGCAAGTGTTAAAGCTAGCTCAAATGTTTCTAAAACTCCCATGTCGCGGGATTACATTCCCAGACGAAGTTCTAGTAATTCGCCGCCAAAGCCATCTCCGTTGGGGTCCTCCCCGCCGATAAATGCGTCAGATATTGATAATACATCGGTAGCATCATCTCCTTTTCTCGCCTCTATTGGAGGGACATCTACACCAGGTCGATCCCCTCTAGAACCAGTAACGATACCATCGAGGTCGAATAAGAGTAAATTTCTGCCTATATCGTCGCCATCTTTGAAGAGGAAAGCCCCTGCTCTGGCCGAGCGCGATGATCGTGGCCCCCCTTCCCGGGCTGGTTCTAGCAAACCGCCCACGTCATCTACCGCCGCTGAAATTTCGTCTTATTCTAGCAAGAAGCGACGGAACACAAGCTCCCCCGATGAGTTCACCCTCAAGATGGCACAGAGGTTCAAGGAGGATCATGCTCGCTATGAGCGTCTTTACAACGAGGTCTCACTGATAACAGACTCCATAAAAAGGAAGGAGAAGCTAGACATAGTACTGAACATGCATCGGGAACTAGCTACTCTTAAGGCTCAAATAACTGCGTCGACATCAGTGCATTGATGATTAATGGTTTATTTTCTTTTCCTTCTATTTTCTTTCTGTTATAATATAAAACGGGTTCGGGTTTGGGTCAATTTTTCTATTATTTTAGCTTGGTATTTTATTTTCTCCCTATTTCTTTTGGGGTGCGGGAACATCTTATGTTTAACATGGGTTAATGCAACGTGCAAGCGTCTTGATCAGCAGTATTCTAAGATTTAGAAATGAGTCTCCTAATAGTTTGCAAGGGATCGAAGACGCGATGGTTCTGTGATATTTAACCATTCTTATCCCCATGCTGGGCGATCCAGATGATGGTTTTTTATTTTTCATATGGGATTAGGATTCCTTTTTCCCTTATTTCTGTACAAAAAATATTGTTTGAATTAGGGCTCTCATGGTTTTCTATCAATGACTTCAGTGCTTTGTATAGATGATTCTTGTGTATTAGGGTTCATTGATGCATAATCATCGTTAGAGGTCTCTGTAAAAACTATACGTATGATATGGATTTATCGTACTGGTATAATAGAGTTGATAAATATACGAGGATAAGTTCATCTCATGCCCAGAGAATTGGAATAGATATAAAGTCACACCACACTATCGATCCACGCTCCATAGAGGCTTTCGGTGTATGCCCGGAAAAGCGAAACAGATGTAGCCAAGCATTCAGCAAAAGGCTCATGTGGTTCGAGTTGATGTTTGACTGCGTTCGAATTACTTAAGGGGTGAACCGAAAGACTGTAATGGGGCTAGAGCAGAAATCATGATCGATCACTCACCTAAATATTAACAATCCAGTTTTTTTGTTTAATTCATTAATTGCATTAACAATCCAGTTATGTAGTGTGGGTGCAAAACAATTAAGCCTAATGCGACTGAGGAAGTATTTGGCGATTCTTTTTTTTATGTTCAGAAAACGATATGAAAGTCCTAACGACTTCACTTCACTTTCAGTTCAACCCTGTAATCCATTTTCAAAGTGAGAGGGAAAATCGAGACACATGAAATTATAAAGATACTAAACCTCTCCGTGCAAAAAATTTATATAGGGTGGAACAAACCTAGTCTACTTTTGTAAACAATTTAATACTCAACATACATAAGCTATTTACCTATTTTGAATAGATCATTACATGTAATTAAGATATTTATTTGATTTATTGGTTATGTTATATTATTTTAATTGTAGTAATAATGGAGTTGAGGACCCAATCAGATGATATTGCAGGTGTAACAGAGCCACAGTAGGGCTGTTACAAAAGTAACTGTTCTACCAGTCAAGCCATACGACCCTAGGGTAATCACCACTTGTTCTTCATCGATGGGTGAAGATAAGGGCAGATGACCCCTACCTCTATTGGTATTGTAACGGAGCCATTCCAACTGTCTGGTGTATGAGTACACACAGGGCCCGGTTACATGCTGAGAGTTATTGTTAGAAGCCAGTTGCACAGTGACATGCAAGTACCGGCAGTGTGGTTAGCTACCAGCTGTCAGAGTAACTACATTCTGAGCGCTAGGAAAAGGATCTATTCATGGGAGTAATGACTGACGAGTCAATACCTCGCCGATGATTAGAAGGCCAGCCAGAGTGAAGCTCTGAGTGCTCGGCGATCCTCTACATCCTCTGAGCATGATAAGTCCGCCGGTAGTGGCAAGGACTATGCCTGGGAAAGTCTACAATAAGCGAAAGCTCTACAGCAATGACTAAGCTTACACCTGAGCGGCAGCTCATTCATGCAGGCCCCCGGTTGTGTGGCAACCAAGGCTGCAGGTGTTACAAAGGCTTCGACAAAGGGTGGTTGCCTTCGGAACCGGAAGCACTCGCTGACGCTTAGAGAGAAGCGGGGTAGCGATGGTATTGCTTCCCTTCCACTAGGAGGCAGCACCGGAACTTAGTAAGGAAGTAGGAGCAGAGAATAGAATCCTTTGGAGTATAAGTACTCAGGATCATTCCCGCCCAACTGACCTGATCCTCATCTTCGAGTAGACCATTATCGGTAGCAGAGCCCTTAAAGATTATTGAGTTCTAAGCGATAGTATCTTTGAATAAATCTGCACCTGATTTCTATCTTGCACGGCCGCATCTATTCTATTGGATTCTAGCGATACATAGATAGTCCGCCCCCGTTACAGATAATCTTTAAGGCTCAAATCACCTTCAGATTATTCTTTCCTCTTACAACATGTCCGCCCTCCCGGCTCCCCAAGTGCCTCTCCAGATTGAATGGCAACCGGCAGCCTTAGGATTCCAAGAGGGTCAGACACAGTTGATCCACAAGCCCAGGACGGCGCTCCAGTCCTACATTCCCGGATGCGAGCCCACCTGGCAAGATACCGATGAAGTCACTTTACAGGACTTCTTTGCAGAGTTGCAGCGCTACCTGAAGCACAGCCTGCAGCAGGAAGTCATCAAGGCCGGCAATGCGCTAGCTTTGGTGCAAGAAAGACAAGAAGCCGAGGCGGTCCTGCTCCGGAATGCCTTCGGCTATATGCAAGAACAAGTCTCCTCAGTCCAAGCACAACTCCAAAGTTATGCTCAGAGAGATGACTTAGGAGCGGATGAGATGGAGGACATTGAATGGACAAACCCGGCGATGCCCCCAAACTTCCTGGAGGATATTCAGAGAGCCATCAATGAAGGAAGGCTCTCCATTGCCAGAATGCCCACGCCAGCACCTGTCCCCAACCCCGCACCTCCACAGAACTCCAGGGCGTCCTCCAGGGCGGCCCTGAGAACCTTCCACCAAAGGGTGAACCCCTTTGCAGCGTTTCCGGTCAGGTCTAGCAGGCAGAGAACTCTTCCCCTGATGATGCCATCGGCTATTGGAGGCTCACCTCTCCCTCCTCAAAGAGCTCCAGCAAGCCCGCTGGCAGGTGGCCTAGCTAGGCCCCCCCGACAACCCATAGGAGACGATGACTACTACTCCCAGACTCCGGTTAGGAGTGGTCCCTCTGGGCTCCCTCCAGCCTTGGTCCGCCAGGGGTTATCCCCGGAATCCCACAGAGGCTCACCACCCCCGGAGTCGCCTAGGAGGAACCTCCAGCCAGAAGGAAACCCTGGTGGAGAAAACCAGAACCCAGAACCAGCGGGTAATGGTGGAGGAGATGGAATAGTCCCCCCGGTTGGCGGCGCTCCCAACCCAGGAGGGGACTCAGATAGTTCAGACCCGGAGCCTGAGGATGGTGATAGAAGAGGATGGCGGAGATACCTCAGGAAGAAGTTGGAGAAGCAGCAGAAGGAGCTTCTGGCCTCCATGGCCCAGTTCATAAGACCTCCGGCCCCTTTGCACCCCTCCGCTGCCTCCAGGGCCCGAGAACCCAAGGCACCCCCTCCGGCCAAGTTCAATGGCAAAGCAGATAATGTGGAGACCTTCATCCGGGAATGTGAGAACGTCTTCTCCATTGAAAGCCAGTCCTTTACCTCTGAAGAGGTCAGGATCCGTTATGCTGGCAACCTGATGGAAGGAGATGCTCCGGTCAAATGGTATGAAGCCTATCACAACTCCATTGACCAAGCTTCTGCCAACCGGATAGCTGGGATGCCTGTGGTGTTGGACGAGAGATGGAAGCGCTGGGATTCCTTTGTGGATGCTCTCAGAGCAGCCTTTGGCGAAGCCATCTCTAGGGATGATGCTGTAGCCCAATGGAACACCCTTACCCACACAGCTAAGGGAGGAATAGATTCCTTCCTGAATAGTATTATTCAGCTGATGTGGAAGACTGGCTATGAGGGTCAGTTAGTGGATGATAAGATCCTTAGTTCCCTCCTTCCGGACCTAGGCATGAGTTGGGCCCTCTTTACCCCCAAGCCAAAGTCCTTGATGGAGCGGATAGCTGCTCTAAGAGAGCTAGGACACACCCACGAAAGATACCAGACGGTAGTAGCTGAGAAAGCACCCGCCAGGACCAAGAAGGAACCTCCTGCTGAAAGGGAACGGCACCCCAAGAGGAAGAGAGAAGCTGCAAGCTCCTCAAAACCTCAGAAGGAAGCAAGTTCCAAAGATAAAGCGGTGGAACTGAAGGGTATCCCGGGGGATATCCTAGAAGAAAGAAGGAAAGCAGAAGTATGCTTGAAGGTATGACCTTCCGGTACTCCCTATTGGTAGAGTGCATAGACTGACTTGTGCAATAGTGCGGCAAGTCCAGACACAAATGGACCGATTGTTGGTCCAGGGAACCTACTGTAGTCCGAGTGGCAGCAGTGAGGGTACAAAAGCGGAAACGAGGAAATGGCAAGCCCAATCCTCAGAAGAAAGCTAAAGTGGCTGCTGTTGTAGCAGAGGAACCACTTGTTGTACTCCCAGAGGTTACAGGAGATTTCGTCTTTCAGCCTGAGCAAGACTCGGACAATGAAATCATCTGGTAGTAATGTGTCTGTTTAGAGTTATGTTTACTAGTTTTCATTTGGGGTCTTGATTTCTTTGTTTCTCTTGAATAAATTATTGTGTTTTTCGCCTATTTGATTGTTTCCAAGCACTCTGAGGATGGGTTTATGACCCGAAACAGCTGGTCTGTAAGTGCTCTGCCAAAGTTACATTTGCTACAAGACACTTCCAGCCCGTTACCAGACTTCCACACAATACACTTGCTATATTATTGCTTGGGAATAGAACCAAAGGATCTTTGGATCTTAGTAGTGCCCGCAGCTATTAGCAATGGAGAAAAGACAAAGAGAATCAAGCCCAGAATCCGCACAGAAGCGAAGAAGAATGGAACAGAAGCTTCCATCCTTACCAGTACATGGCAAGAGGCCAATACTGAAAGCAGAACTGTCATGGACGGTCAAGAACAAAGTTGAAGACGCCCAAGGGACATTCCTCTTTGACACCGGTTGTACAGGAGCAATTCTCAACCAGAGTTTTGTCAGGAAGCATGGAGTTCCCTTAGTGCGGCGAGATCAACCTCTGACAATGTATGATGCTCAAGGAGATGTCATGATGGGCGGAGGAGAGTATTACACTCACCCAGTCCACATGAACATGGGAGATCATAAGGAGACACTCCGATGGGAA